GGTGGGAATCCCGCCAGCCGGAGGATTGGTCCCATCTGTTCCAAGATGGTTGCCACGCCATGAATCTATACGTCTGTTTGAACCTTTCTAACTAGTCACCACCTGAGAATTGAGATGTTCCGCTACGGCACAGTTCAAGCAATCAACGCGTTGGCCCAAGGTTGCAATCAATCTATGTATGTAAGGTGTCAATGACAAGATTGCCATGAATTAAAGAAATGATTTTGCAGGAAAAACCAAACAAGAAGGTGGACAGCAAACTGAGTTCTTGCCAGAAACTGCACAGCACATTGGTTATTAGTCCTTCCCTCTAACGATCAGTCATCATTAGACACCATCATCATCATTATCATCATCATCGTTGTGAAAACCTTCAAGGGGCACAGCGAGAACATGCACTGTTTTCCACAGACCAGGGAAAGAGCTACCGGATCTGATTTGGTGTTTCACACCCGACCTGCCAAAAGTTGATTGAAATTACTGCCAATGCTCCTATTGCCTCGGGCATCAATAGCAGAAACTGGAGCTTTTCGCATCAAAGGAATGATGAGACAATTGATTTGCGTAAGGTCACTTCTTACAATCCATTTCTTGTCACGGCGCATGTGAACCACCCCGCGCAATCTACAAAGGCCTTGAGCTTCCGATCCCCCACCAGAATTCATGTGTTGTGAAGTAATTTCGACGGTCCCGCCGATAATTGCAGGCGTCGCCCATTTTCCACTGGTCATTACTCGGTGAACAGCATGTTTTATATCCCAATCATTGTCCGACACCGCTACCCGGCAATAAAACCCGACTGCATCTACATCCGACAGTGCAGGTTTGATGTTCTTCTCAGACATCACCCGCCAGAGACTACCAGTCTCAGTTCCATGAAAGAATGAATACGAATAACGCCAAACCGTGTTCATTGTCGGCGGCGTGTCTTTACAGAGGTGAAAGAATCACATAGCTGATGTTTTAGAAACTTTGAACTCTACTCGCTCCACAATGTCACTAAGATTCTTGGCCACGGAACAAAAAAGAGCAGCAGCATATCTGTTCTCGAATTCAGGAAGGTTAGGAATTCGTGCTTGTGTGTAGAGTTGAAACAGTGAATTCATCATCAGCCTCCGTTCATCTTGTGGAGGAGCCAAAAAAGTGAGCTTGCTTGGCCAACTTTGAAATCCATCACGATTTGTGAGGCAACTTGTTCAGCATCGACCAAAGGAACTTGCTCCATCATTTGCCAATTTCGGATTGCCGGCCCTGTTCCAAAAAATTGTGTGTTGGGTGCACCGGTCTGCCCATCAAAACCCAAAATGCTGGCACTGTTTGCTGCAACAGTGGAATTTCTTGTTGAGAAACCCCAAGTCGCTGTGGTAAGAATTGTTGCGGTGCATGTGATGAAGCAAGCACTGCTGATGAGTGTTGTTGGTTGGCATTAGTGTGAGCTGTTAGCTGTGTTGTGAGCGGTGTTGATTGCGTTGCTGTTGCTGTTGGAATAGGAATGGCTGGTGGTGGCGGCGGCGGTGGTGGTGGTAACGGCGCGTTGTGCGCAGGAGTAACCAGCTGTTGGCGACCTGCACTGCTGCGGTCTTGCAATTTGCGACGAAGAGTTTCGACAGCAGTGTCAGTTGTTTGCCGAAGTGACTCCAACATCTGAGCTGGTCTGCCCCAATGACCCGGTGCAAATCTGGTTGCTAGTCGCCCTGGAAGTGGCGGAGCTGCTTTTGTTGTTGCTTGCATGTAGACATATGGATCGGTTCGCTGTTTTGGAACATGAACGGGCACTGGATAAGCGCATGTATTGCAACCTTCTGCTGGTGTTGCAACAGTGGAAAGCAATGTCGTTGTTGTTGGTGTTGCGGCGTACGCATGTGGGCCCGGGGGTGTGAGCCACCTGACCTATGCGTTAGGCGCTCCATCATGCGGCTGATTGCTGGATTGGGCTGATGCGTGTGGATGATGTGAATAAAGCCAACAAACCCTGGAGGAGGTGAGCTAGGACGCGGTGGTAGTTTACAGGACGGTGCGTGTAGCACAGGTTGGATGTGATCATCCGATGACAAGGAGCGGGATTTTGAGCTCGCCTCTCTGAACCGTTGGCCACGACTACGACTTCGTGGGTGTTTTGACCTCCTAGATTTTGCTTCTTGTTTGCTGAGAAGTTCAACTGCAGGACGTTTTCTATGTGAAGAATCAGGTGAAACATGTTCTCTGTGTCCAGGATCCCTGGGCCTCTGACCTGCTGTCTGTGAGGATCCAGCACCAACTTGAAAACCACCTCCGAAATAGAAGTGGTAGTTCGACATGGCTGCACTTGAAAATTACGAAAACGTGTGCCAAGCACAGGCAAAACCATTGAAAATTGGTTTTAAACCGTCAAGACCATTAGTTGGATTAGTGTTGACTCTTGTGTGGCTGATGTCTCCTGATTGCAGCTCGAAAGTTATTTTTGATAAACACAGATTGCTGCAGTGGGAAAACAGCAAGATTGAATGACGTCAATGATCAAGTGGAAGAATTAACGGTTGTTAATCAAAACCATTCATTGTATGTGGGGTGGCGCACTGAATAAAAACAGTTTCCGCGTACGTGTGCGCTTCAGAAAAAACAATGATGCCATGAGCCAGCATCAATGCTGGGCCTCACATTTCCACATTGCAAGATTCAGAAACAATGTCCCTCGCAAAAGCGGATTCCAAGAAAAATGGTGAACTGGACGCATGTCACAAAAGAGAAAAAGTCGCTGGCTGGTTTGTCTGAGTTTGTATTGTTGAATACAGGTTCAAGGACGTCATGTAGACGTGAATTTTCCTGTATCTTGTTGACCATCAACTCTCAGTATCGGAAACCAGTGAACGCACTGTTCAACTGGTGGAAACTGTTTTGCGTTGAAAGATAGCGTTGCATGAAGATTGCAGACCTGCTGCAATGGAATCCCGGAGTGAACCGGATCCAATCACTATGAAATCGAAATACCGCAGAACAACCGATGGAAACAGCCGGGCGCCCCCGGTCACGACCAGCTCTTTGACAGTATCTGGCCGAAACACACTTGTATCCGTCCCCAACTGGTGAGGAGGTCGCCTACTGCGTCATCAAGTCTCATTCTGCAAGTCCTGAAAAACCATATATACATGGGCATCATGTGCCCAACGTCCTGATAAACCAACATTGATACATGAATTTAAAAGTGGATTCATGTGGGACCCAGCTGCGACCATTGCGCCCAGGAGCATCCCTAGCAGGTACGTTTACACACCTGTCAATGACGGTCTTCGTTGGCCGCAGCGTCAAAGACAGGCCTGCGGCCCCCTGCTTACGTAAGAAACACAAAACTGAACATCTCACAACATTCTTTGCCCTTAGTAGCAGGGTTTGACACACAAACACACACACACACACTGTTGACACACACACACACGCTGTGTTTGGGGTCTCTTGCCCGTGCAATTTTTGGTTCAATCCCTGCCCTCCGTTCAGATCTCCACGCCTGCGTGGCACTACCTTCGGCCCTGGAGCCCAAGGGCCACAGCGAGGCGCCGAAACAAGCGATGATTCGCTGCAGGGGACGCCAGTCCACCTGGGGAAGCCGAGAGCCCATTGAGGGGTACCAACTTTACCAGAGATACCCTCTGGTAAACATACAAAAAGCCATGGAAAATGACCCATTTATAGATGGTTTACCTATTAAAATTGGTGATTTTCCATAGTTATGTTAGTTTACCAGATGGTAATCATAGTGAAGATTAATCATGGAGAATTGGATACTTCTCGTAATGGTTAAAAAATGGCGACTTAACCAATCAAAATTGTGATTGACTGGGATACAATAGGAATATATATATATATATACATAGTATATAATTTATAAAGTATGGGTATACAATAATGGGGGGGTGTAAATCAGATGATCACGGAGGGGTACCAACTTTAGCAGATTCATCAGAGATAATCATGGTGAATGAAGCTTAATCATTGATAAGAATGGATGATAATGGGATACTGAATTAGATATTTAGAGGAATACCCTCCGGCAATGGAAAAATCCAATTGCAAATGGAGGTCTAGAGCTGGGAAAATCATCTGCAAGTGCGGGATTGTCCATTGCCAGGTTTGATTACCGGAGGGTATACTGGTTGGTTAATAGATGTCCTGATTTTGTGGGTCATAGTAATCCCCAAGAAGCCAGGTAGTATAACCCCCCAAGTAAGCCAGGTAGTTGATAGGATGAATTGGGAATTGGAGATCCACAATGGTGCTAAGGATTTGGTACCTGAACATTCCAAATTCTGTGATGGTCATCACGTTCCTTTTTTGCAATGGCCATGACTGCGGCACAGCCCATTTTCAGACAAACCTCCAACGGGAGCTGGTTCTGCAAGGCTTTGAAAGATCAAAAATATGGGGATATCATCTAGAAAAGTATGGTTGGCTGATGATTATAATCCAAACATAAACAACATTTGCAATACTATTGAGCCGTGCGCTTTACAGAACCCACTTGGTGTTCAACCGCAAGGAAGGTTGATGATTCTTACCATTTTATGGAGATATGGTTGGGATGGATGATAGAAGATATTTATAACTGGGGCAGTCAAGAAGACCCATGCATGGACTAGGTTGGATATTCCTAACCATGGCAGGGGGCTATCATTGCACAAGAATAGTTCATGATCATGCCGTCACACCAGAATCAAATCGCTTGCAGTCGATTTGTCGATTGAAAATGGTGATGTTCCCTCCTTAGGCTGATTGCTACCCAATGGCTCCCACAGCAAAAGGATCCTGACCGTGACTCAAGTTTTCTTGGTATGGTGCAACTCGGATCTCATGTAAGCAAGCGTGGTTGCGAACCTCTGCGGATTCGTCGGACGCCTAGAAGTTATTCTCCACTAAGCTATATCTGCTGGGAATTTGCTACCCTTTAGCCTTTGTGTGCTCGCTATACAGCGAAAATACTGAGATGTTGGATGCTCACATGCCCTGTCACCGACGGCACAGCTCATTTTGCATCGCATCGTGTGGAGCTTTTGACCCGCGCCAAAGACTCGAAAGTCACCTACGGACCTACGAAACTATGCACTCGACCTACATGTTTCAGATGTCGCTTTTGGCATCAACATGTCTAAAGTCAAATTTAGAAGTCACGAAGTCGAAAAAGAAAAAACACAACCGGCAACCAACGCTTTTTTGCACCTGACAATAGAACGAAAACGTTGAAGACTTCATGTCGGCCCAACCTATGTGGGTCGAAGGCATGCATCGGGGTTCAAAAGTGGGACCAACCTGATTTGAGATCTCACATTCCCCTGGAAATTCAAACAGGCACATTGCCGGTCTCATCGACCTATCAACGCGATGGGTAGACTGTGTGAGTCAACAACACCTCACCGTCGTAGTTCACCGACTCAATGAAGATCTCCTTCTTGCTGATAGTCAAGTCATAGAAGCCGTACTGAGCCTCGCCGTACCAGTCCTGGCACCACATGTGGGACCGGGGGGGGGAAACTCACTGCGAAGCAAGCTGATGTTTGGCAATACCCATCTTTGCAGTTGATTCGCCATCCCCTGCAACAGTTGCTTTTCAGTCGGATGAATGGATAATCCCAAAAAGTCTACAAATCTAGCTGTGTGTGGCAACCCGATCCATCCAGCTTTCAAAAGCAGGGTGCCCCAAAATCCAGTGATTTATCATTGATGTTCCTATTAAATTCTATGTTGGTTGTAATTTTCAGACACATCCAAATCCATTGCTCATGGGGTTAAATCATCTTAAATCCCTATCTTAGATCGTTAAATCACCATGTTTCTTGAGCAAATCCCTATTTTGGGTGGGTTAAATCACCATTTTGCTTGAGTAAAATCGAGCAGTAAATCCCCATTTTGGATGGCTAAAATCACCCCTTTTCTTGGCCCTTCAAGCCGTGCTCCTCAGTGTGGTCCGGATCCGGGGTGGCCTCAGAGGTGATTCCGCCTCCTCCACCGGTGACGATGCAGGTGATGCCCATGTGGTTCTTGGCGAAGTCGTCGGGGAACCAGAGCTCCTGGTCATGGCGATGCCCGGTGATCAGCAGGTCCAAGCCCATGTTGGCCAAGCTCTTGTAGAAACCTTTCGCAGCACGCGACTTGACACGACTCGGGATGATGGGTTTTTGTTGGGGTAAAGAAGAAACAGAGTTGGGGCGATCCTGAACCGCAACTTAAAATTTAAAAGGTACGGTACTGCCTCACTTTCCAATGAATCTTCATCAACCTTTTCCCAAATTTCCAACCCCTACAAAGTAGCCCCACCTTGTTCGTGTCCACAGGGGAAGTGGGTCACTGCAATCTGCCACGTGGCCTGGCTCTTGGGCAACAGCCGGGTGGCCCACTCCTTCTGCTCCGCCCACAGCGCGGCGAACCACCCGGGGCAGCTGTCCACTGAGACTGGGCCGTCGGCGGCAGCACAGGTGGCCGAGGGTTTGTTGTTCTTGCGCGAGCACATGTTGTGATTGGGATCTTCCTGCCAGAAATCAACAAAGAAAATCTGACTTTCAACAAGGCTAACTCGATGGAACGGAAGATGTACATTGTGCTGAAAAGCCTCTGAACATGCAAATAGGGGAATAGTGTGTGTGTGTGTGCGTGTGCAAACGAAAATCGGGTTTGTGAAATTATGACTTCAATCATACTCGATGTCTCAATCCAAGTATAAGACTTGGCCCTTGATATCCATTGTATGGGTGAATGTTCTCTATATAGGCATATATATATATATGCAAAAAAAAAAACTAAACTCGTCCTCAGGAGGTTTAGCATCCACAAAGTTGGAATCCAAGAAGTAGTAATCCACGTCAAAGCCCAGGTCCGCATAGACCACGCTGGTCTTGTAGTAGGGCGCCGGCATCACCCAGCGGTCCGAAGCCCAGGTGTAAGACATCTGCTGGTCCCAGCCGTTGTCGAACTTGAAGCCTCCCAGGGGTTGGAAATCCTCAAAGCAACCGTAGATATACTGAGAAAATAACGGGAAAACGATAGGCATATTTACCCTCCGGTAATCAAACATGGCAATTATGTAGAAATCCTCTATAAATATAAAGATTTTTTGGGGAAAATCAACTATAAATGAGAAATTGTCCATTGCCATGCTTGATTACCGGCGGGTAGTCTATATAGTATATGATTTAGACATCTCACAAGAATGCTCGGCTTTCATGGATATTCCCAGTGTTTGGATTATGATGATCCCAAAATATTGGTCCATGAAGTGGGGCAAAGATGGAACCCAAAATCGTGATTTTCCATTACTGGACCTGGCCAATTCCGTGCAAAGGTGGTCCTTCAATAATCCTAATCAACTTTCTCCTTGGGGGTGCATCTCAGTTAGTAGGGGGTTAATAAGTTGCTAATTTTGCTAGCTATATCCCATATTGTCTATATATATATATCTCTCTCTCTCTTATATATATAATAAATATATATATATAATCTAATTGAGTTCTTTCATATGGTAAATAAGCCACTGAACTGATGCCTGGGACCATCAATTCCTGCAGACCCTTTTTTCCCCGCTCGAGCTGCCTCCCCAGTCGTGGTTGCCCAAGACGCTAAACCAAGGTTTTCCGCTGAGCCCAGCTCCTTGATACACGCCCTCAAAGATCTGATCGAACTGGTGCTTGGTGGGGTAAGAGATCCTGACCATGGTGGGATTTTGCCACTGGAAAGGAAAATTGTGCCATCAAAAAATTGGTTTTTGAACCATCCATGAATATACTGTATCCAGATCATGCAGTTTCCAAATCTCATAGTTTCAGTGCAGTATATGTTCTTGAAATGAAACAGAGAAATGATTGGAAAGAATTGAAGTGAAGCGAGACTAATGAAAATCAATTGTTTTCAACCACTCATCCAACAATTTAGCCACTTGTGGGAAGTTTCCTGCAAGCGTTTTTTTCCCCCAAACAGTGTGTCCACATTGAAGGGTTCTTACGGTAGGAGTTAAGGCCGGTGCTTGGTCAGAGTGCTCAATCTGTTCTCCGGCAAAAATTTCCGCATATGTGCATCTCGACTGCGCAGGCTCGCACAAAGTCTGCCGCGCGACTTTGGTCTGCGGCATTTTTACCTGTAAATTCTCGCATAAAATGGCTCTTGTGACATGTCCATGCGCGTTTCGACTGCGCAGGCTCGAACAAAACGGCTGTCGCGGCTTTGGTCTGCGGCATTTTACCTGTAAATTCGCGCATAAAATGACTCTCGTGACATGTCCATGTGCATTTCGACCGCACAGACTCGCACAATAAAGGTTGTCCTTGCGAGAAGATCTTGTGGAGATCCTGGTGACGTCCTTTCTAAGAGGTCCTTGCATGATCTGGTACAGGTCCTTGTGAGAAGATCTTGTGGAGATCCTGATAGAGTCCTCTCTAAGAGGTCCTTGCATGATCTTGTACAGGTCCTTGTGAGAAGATCTTGTGGTGACACTGGTGAAATCCTCTCCAAGAGGTCCTTGCATGATCTTGCAGCTGCCACGTCTTACAGGTGCCATAGGAAGTTCTTGTATGAAGATCTTGTGAGCTCCTCTATATGTCTAAAGTCTACATAGAAGGTCCTGCTGCTGCGGTTGCGATGATGTCTCGCCTCATCTGTTACTGTTCCATAGCTACTGTTGCTTGTACCTGGTACATTGACTTCCTACCCCCCACACTGTTTGGGGTCTCTTGCCGGCGTAATGTTAACAAATCTCAATCTCAAAAAAAACACCTAGACTCCGCAATCAGGGAGACCGCCATCGATTCAACAAATACACTGTAAACAACTTCCGACTTCCCGTTGTATTCCGGAAAAAAGTGTATTCAAAACAGAAAATACACCTCAGAAGTACGAACATCCAACAAACTAAATACCCCTAAACGTCGGTTCAAACTGGAAACTGGTGAATATTTCGAGCATTCTATCCCATCGTGTGAAAAAGAACTGACCCAAGTTCAGTCCAAAAGTCTTGTTCATGGGCTCTCCACAGGTCTTTTCGATGCCGCCCCAGTAGAAGTTGTCGCCCACGTTCAAAATGTACTGCGGATCTTTCAGGGCGGCGCGTGCCTTGAAGGCGTTGGCCACCAAAATCTGCGGGTTGTCATCCACGCCTGGGGCTCCAAACGTCCACCAGGTCGGTTTGTCTGAATTTTGAGGGAAAAATGGATGATTCATCATCATTTTCCACATCAATTAATGGTCATTCAAGTGGGTTTTCCGCTATTTTCAGACTCAAGTGCTGGTTTAAAGGGTTAGTTTAGTAAGGATGATAGGAGGGTGAAAAAAAACACATTTAGACCATGTTGTTTCCTTTTTCCTGACTGCTTTTTGGGATCTCGACCATTTTTGGTTTTACACTTACAATTCAAGACCGGAATCAATGAAACGTTATTTGAACATGAAAAAAGGCCCACTCAGCTTGCTGAAGAACTCCTATAGCCTATACCCATTTTTGTTCTGTGCAGTTCATCGCCCATATTTTTTCTACCCACCTGGCACATAGCCACACTCCGGAGTGCAGGGAGGTTGTCCGCGGGTGTTGAAACATTCCACCAGCTGGTCGTGGTCACAGAACTTCACAGTGTGTGCCTTGTTCCATCGACTCCTTGGGAAGACGCTGGGTCCAGGACGCTTACCCCAGTCGTAGGCCACGATGTTGGGACGGCCCTCATTGGTATCCAGGGATCCATCCATACCGCCCCAATCGCCAATGGCGAAGATGTGCATCTCCTGAACGCCGTACACCACAGTGGTGGGCCAATGCTGGCCTTTGTATCCTGAGTTGCGATCCAAGCATGCGGGAGAATATTGCATCGAACATCTATATCATCTAGAATATTATATATGTATATTATATTATCATATATGTATATTATATATATGTAAACTTTATATGTGAGTAGATTATATATATTATGTTTATATATATATATATATGTGTGTATGATATTTAAATATATATATATATATGTATATTATATGTATGTATATTCTATATATATATATATATTATATATGTATATTATATATAAATGTTTCTTATGTATATATTATATATATGTATATTTTATATATATATGAATATTATATATATATGTATATTATACATATATATATATAATATATGTGTGTATTGTATATATGTATATTATATATATGTATATTAGGTATTCCATATTATATATATACATGTATATTATATATATGTATACTACATATTATATATATAAATATATGTATACTACACACATAATATGTGTATATTATATATATAATGTATGTGTGTGTGCGTGTGTTATTATATGTATACATCCTCTCTCTCTCTCTCTCTTAATCTCTCCCCTGATTTATGTTCCAGGTCCTATGCCTCCCCCTCCTCCCGTACCCTTGGTCATGGTATCCCTCTAACCCTTTTTGCTGGCAACATATGCAGTGTGTTCATGGTATCCCCCCTCCCCCCTGTGGTGCGGGTTGGGGTGGAGGGGCGGTTGCATATGTTGTATGGGATTATAAGATAGCTGGCACATCCCAATATTTCACCTGAACTTGGGGGCAACCCGAAAACGAGCCGCAGCTTTTCGGCTCCCAAGTCTCCCATGGCCGACTTGGGTGGCACACATCCGATACCTCGGTTGTTGCCATCACAGCCAGGCCTCAACGAGGCATAGATCTGATGCCCTGCGAAGCAATCGTTGCAAGGCTCCTGGCTGCACCCGGTGCAGGGTGGCACACCGCAAAACTTGTCTTTGCCTTGGATTTGCGATCTAGGAACCCCCCGGAACCCGAAAAAAATCAGCCAAATCTTCCTGAAAACGATTCGTAGTGGGGTTCGCGCCTTGAGAAAATCGGCCAAACTCATCAACAAATCCAAGATGCCCGGAGGTGCGCAGTAGTAGAGTCGTTGGAAATCAGCCACGTTGGCCTGGTTAAATTTCACTCCGGAAATGCTGGGCATGTTGCGGAACCAACCTTCGGCGGCGGGGTCGTTCTTACCACCGCCGGCGGCCCATTCCACCACCTCCTTACCTGGCTTGCACGCGTGCTTCGAAACATCCAAAACATATAAATGCATATACATGTCAATCTTTTGGCTCTCGGTTCTCTATCAAATTCTTTCGGCAAAAAAAATCCGCCCGCACCAAAGGTGCTGAGGCGTGATAGTTTAGGAGTGGAAGCAAGCGGACAGATCTGTCAGACCGTTTCGATCATGTCGGCCCAAGTTGAGATCCATATGGCTTCAGAATTGGGGACATAGCCAGCCCGATCCGAAATCCTTAAAACGCTCGTTTTCACTGGTATTTTCCGCGTTTGTTTGCTATCGATGATGCTTTGTTTTAAGCAATGTTCCCCATGCTGTGTCTCCGTTGGGCCCAACTTGGTGTGAAGCTGTCGCCAAAGCGTGCCAAGTTGCAGCATGTCTGTTAGAACTGACTTGGGCATACTTGGGCTTCCATGTGCATCACATGGCTTCAACTTAGAATCCATCTGGATCGCTTTGGGCCCAACTTCAGACCAACATGACCAATTCAATTGGCGCCAGCTTGCTCTCCAGTTGGGTCCAAGACACCGCAACTTGGGCCCAAGTTGGGCCAAGTTGGTCCCCTGTGGGAGCAGCCCGGGGTAAAGTTGGGCCTAACCCGAGCCAATTTTGCGGACTCAATGTGACACGCTGAAAACTTATGCTTTTACTGCTATTTCCAACGTTTTTTGCTTTCATTGGGCTTGTGTTGGGCCCAACTTCGGCACCAGATGCCCCAACACAGGACCTAGTTGCGCATACTAAGCCCAACTTGCGTCCAAACGTGCCCAAGTTGCGCCATGTTGGACCCCAGTTGGGCTCAAGTTGGAGCCAACTGGCCCGAGTTCGGTGCAAGTTACGCCCAAGTTGGACGCAAGTGGGCTCCTGTTCGGTCGAACTTAGGGCCAAGGACGGCCAAGTTTGACCCCAGTCGACTTTTGGTTGTATACAATGAAGCTAATAAAATATGATGCACGGTTTTTCCATGGCCATCATCTTACCTTCTTTCTCAGCACACTGTCATCCGATATTGTCATTAATTACCAATTCTCATTCATTATTATCCATTATTCATTATTCACCATTATTCTCCATTAGCCATTATTAATAACCATAGAATGACAATACTATCACTCCTCACCGCGCCCGGTTGCACTGCGCATTCTCCGGCAGATCCAAAGGACCACATCGAGCCCCGCCAAGCGCCGTCACCTCCACGGCCGACCGGCCCAGGAATTTGGACCGGTTCGCAGCGCCCACGTCGGCCGCGGCCAGCGTGGCGCCCACCGTGAGGGCCAAGCGAAGTGGGAAGGCCATGATTTGCCAAAATTGTGCCTGGGACTTGAACCATAGGTTTTTTTTTCGGATGTTACGTCATGCTGTATTTGAAAGATTGGGTTGCGTAGGTGAAAACTGCCATCTTCTTTTTCCGACGTTGCGACCCAAGATGGAAGATGGAGTTACTCTCCAAGTGCAACACACGGCAGTGAATGGGCATGGATAAAATTGTGGTGAGCGCCTTCTTGGGAATTGGATGTTTTTCCCCACCTGCCAGGTGAGGGTTGTTAGATTTTACGTCAGTTGCCTCCTCCTTCTCCTCCTCCTCCTTCTCCTCCTCCTCCTCGTCCTCCGCCTCCTCCTGCCTCGTCCTCCTCTCCTCCTCCTCCTCTCGTTGTCCTCCTCGTCCTCCTGCTCAACTGCGACTCGCGATCCACAGTGTTCGCTGTCGGACCTCAACCACGACCATCCACGCCCAGTGTTCCCTGCCGGACCTCAACCACGACCATCCACGCCCAGTGTTCCCTGCCGGACCTCAACCACGACCATCCACGCCCAGTGTTCCCTGCCGGACCTCAACCACGACCATACACGCCCAGTGTTCCCTGCCGGACCTCAACCACGACCATCCGCGCCCAGTGTTCCCTGCCGGACCTCAACCGCGAGTATCCATGCCAAGTGTTCCCTGCCGGACCTCATGTAGGAATGTCAGATAGACTGCCAGATAGAATGCCAGATAGAATGTCAGATAGGATGCCAGATAGAATGCCAGATAGAATGCCAGAAAGAATGCCAGAAAGAATGCCAGATAGAATGCCAGATAGAATGTCAGATAGGATGCCAGATAGAATGCCAGATAGAATGCCAGAAAGAATGCCAGAAAGAATGCCAGATAGACTGCCAGATAGAATGTCAGATAGAATGTCAGATATAATGCCAGATAGAATGCCAACATATATGCCAGAATGTATGTCAGATAGAATGCCAAAATATATGTCAGATATAATGCCAGATAGAATGCCAGAATATATGCCAGAATATATGTCAGATAGAATGCCAGAATATATGTCAGATATAATGCCAGATAGAATGCCAACATATATGCCAGAATATATGTCAGATAGAATGCCAAAATATATGTCAGATATAATGCCAGATAGAATGCCAGAATATATGCCAGAATATATGTCAGATAGAATGCCAGAATATATGTCAGAATAAATGACAGGTAGAATGCCAGAATATATGTCAGATGAAATGTCAGAAAATATGTCAGATAGAATGCCAGATAGACTGCCAGATAGAATGCCAGGTGGAATGTCAGGATATATGCCAGATAGAATGCCAGAATATATGCCAGAATATATGTCAGATAGGATGTCAGAATATACTAAATATATGTCCAAATATACGTCCTGACATGTCATGGTGGGGATCACACGAAGTAGAGTAATTGGATTTAGAACTGGGGCAGTCAAGAAGCCCCATGGACTCCTAGGTTGGATTTATAACCATGGCACGCGGGCATCATTGTACAAGAATGGTGCATGATCATCCCATCACACCAGAATCAAATCACTTGTAATCGGTGATGTTCCTTCCTTAGGCTGATTGCTACCCAATGGCTCCCACGGCAAAAGGATCCTGACTACGACTCAAGTTTTCTTGGTATGGTGCAACTCGGATCTCATGTAAGCAAGCGTGGTTGCGAACCTCTGCGGATTCGTCGGATGCCTAGAAGTTATTCTCCACTAAGCTATAGCCTTGATGGGGATTTGCTACTCTTTAGCCTTTGTGTGCTCGCTATACAGCGAAAATAACGCGCAAAGAAAACATGTTGGATGCTCACATGCCCTGACACCGACGGCACAGCTCATTTTGCATCGTGTGGAGCTTTGACCCGCGCCAAAGACTCGAAAGTCACCTACGGACCTACGAAACTATGCACTCGACCTACATGTTTCAGATGTCGCTTTTGGCATCAACATGTCTAAAGTCAAATTTAGAAGTCACGAAGTCGAACAAGGCAAAACACAACCGGCAACCAACACTTTTTTGCACCTAACAATAGAACTAAAACGTTGAAGACTTCATGTCGGCCCAACCTATGTGGGTCGAAGGCATGCATCGGGGTTCAAAAGTGAGACCAACCAAGTGATTTGAGATCTCACATTCCCCTGGAAATTCAAACAGGCACATTGCCGGTCTCATCAACCTCTCAACGCGATGGGTAGACCGTGTGAGTCAACAACACCTCGCCGTCGTAGTTCACCGACTCAATGAAGATCTCCTTCTTGCTGATGGTCAAGTCATAGAAGCCGTACTGAGCCTCGCCGTACCAGTCCTGGCACCACATGTGGGGGGTCCAAGGTCCAAGAAACACCGAGGGGAAAAACTCACTGCGAAGCAAGCTGATGTTTGGCAATACCCATCTTTGCAGTTGATTCGCCATCCCCTGTAACAGTTGCTTTTCAGTCGGATGAATGGATCATCCCAAAAAGTCTACAAATCTAGCTGTGTGTGGCAACCCGATCCATCCAGTTTTCAAAAACAGGGTACCCCAAAATCCAGCGATTTATCATTGATGTTCCTATTAAATTCCATGTTGGTTGTAATTTTCAGACACATCCAAATCCATTGCTCATGGGGTTAAATCATCTTAAATCCCTATCTTAGATCGTTAAATCACCATGTTTCTTGAGCAAATCCCTATTTTGGGTGGGTTAAATCACCATTTTGCTTGAGTAAAATCGAGCAGTAAATCCCCATTTTGGATGGCTAAAATCACCCCTTTTCTTGGCCCTTCAAGCCGTGCTCCTCAGTGTGGTCCGGATCCGGGGTGGCCTCAGAGGTGATTCCGCCTCCTCCACCGGTGACGATGCAGGTGATGCCCATGTGGTTCTTGGCGAAGTCGTCGGGGAACCAGAGCTCCTGGTCATGGCGATGCCCGGTGATCAGCAGGTCCAAGCCCATGTTGGCCAAGCTCTTGTAGAAACCTTTCGCAGCACGCGACTTGACACGACTCGGGATGATGGGTTTTTTGGGGGTAAAGAAGAAACAGAGTTGGGGCGATCCTGAATCGCAACTTAAAAATTAAAAGGTACGGTACTGCATCACTTTCCAATGAATCTTCATCAACCTTTTCCCAACTTTCCAACCCCTACAAAGTAGCCCACCTTGTTCGTGTCCACAGGGGAAGTGGGTCACCGCAATCTGCCACGTGGCCTGGCTCTTGGGCAACAGCCGGGTGGCCCACTCCTTCTGCTCCGCCCACAGCGCGGCGAACCACCCGGGGCAGCTGTCCACTGAGACTGGGCCATCGGCGGCAGCACAGGTGGCCGAGGGTTTGTTGTTCTTGCGCGAGCACATGTTGTGATTGGGATCTTCCTGCCAGAAATCAACAAAGAAAATCTGACTTTCAACAAGGCTACTCGATGGAACAGAAGATGTGCATTGTGCTCAAAAATCTCTGAACATGCAAATAGGGCAATAGTGTGTGTGTGTGCGCGTGTGCGAACGAAAATCGCGTTTGTGAATGTATTATTACAATCATACTTGATGTCTCAATCCAAGTATAAGACTTGGCCCTTGATATCCATTATATGGTTGATTTTCTTCTATATAGGCATATATATATGTATATATATATGTATATATATAGGATGCAGCCCTCCCTCGTCCCCCCCTCCCCCCCAATGGGTATGGGCATGGGTAGACTATAGGTAGCACGTAGGTACTTTGGGGTGCTACCTGGGGACCCATACCATTGGGGGGGACCTCGCGGTCGGAAGACGGGATCATATGTATATATATATATATGCAAAAGAAAAACCAAACTCGTCCTCAGGAGGTTTAGCATCCACAAAGTTGGAATCCAAGAAGTAGTAATCCACGTCAAAGCCCAGGTCCGCATAGACCACGCTGGTCTTGTAGTAGGGCGCCGGCATCACCCAGCGGTCCGAAGCCCACGTGTAAGACATCTGCTGGTCCCAGCCGTTGTCGAACTTGAAGCCTCCCAGGGGTTGGAAATCCTCAAAGCAACCGTAGATATACTGATAAAAATAACGGGAAAACGATAGGCATATTTACCCTCCGGTAATCAAACATGGCAATTATGTAGAAATCCTCTATAAATATAAAGATTTTGAGGGAAAATCAACTATAAATGAGATTTTTTCCATTGCCATGCTTGATTACCGGAGGGTAGTCTATATAGTATATGATTTAGACATCTCAAAAGAATGCTCGGTTTTCATGGATATTCCCAGTGTTTGGATTATGATGATCCCCAATATATTGGTCCATGAAATGGGGCCAAGATGGAACCCAAAATCGTAATTTTCCATTACTGGACCTGGCAAATTCAATGCAAAGGTGGTCCTTCAAAATCCCAATCAACTCTCTCCTTGGGGGCGCATCTCAGTCAGTAAGGGGTTAATAAGCTGTTAATTGTGCTAGCTATAAATCCCATAGTCTATATATGTATCTCTCTCTCTCTCTTATATATATATCTATATACATATAATCTAACTGAATTCTTTCATATGATAAATAAGCCCTCGAACTGATGCCTGGGACCATCAATTCCTGCAGACCCTTTTTTCTCCGCTCGAGCTGCCTCCCCAGTCGTGGTTGCCCAAGACGCTAAACCAAGGTTTTCCGCTGAGCCCAGCTCCTTGATACACGCCCTCAAAGATCTGATCGAACTGGTGCTTGGTGGGGTAAGAGATCCTGACCATGGTGGGATTTTGCCGCTGGAAAGGAAAATTTTGCCATCAAAAAATTGGTTTTTGAACCATCCATGAATATACTGTATCCAGATCATGCAGTTTTCAAATCTCATAGTTTCAGTGCAGTATATGTTCTTGAAATGAAACAGGGACTTGATTGGAAAGAATTGAAGTGAAGCAAGACTGATGAAAATCAATTGGTTTCAACCATCCAGCAATTTTTCCAATTGTGGGAAGTTTCCTGCAAGCGTTTTTTCCCCCAAACAGTGTGTCCACATTGAAGGGTTCTTACGGTAGGAGTTAAGGCCGGTGCTTGATCAGAGTGCTCAATCTGTTCTCCGGCATACATTTCCGCATGTGTGCATTTCGATTGCGCAGGCTCGCACAAAGTCTGCCGCGCGACTTTGGTCTGCAGCATTTTTACCTGTAAATTCTCGCATAACATGGCTGTTGTGACACGTCCATGTGCGTTTCGACTGCACAGGCTCGCACAAAACGGTTGTCGCGGCTTTGGTCTGCGGCATTTTACCTGTAAATTTGCGCATAAAATGATTCTCGTGACATGTCCATGTCCATTTCGACCGCACAGACTCGCACAATAAAGTTTGTCCTTGTGAGAAGATCTTGTGGAGATCCTGGTGACGTCCTTTCTAAGAGGTCCTTACATGATCTTGCACAGCTCCTTACGCAAAGATCCTGCGGAGATCCGGGTGAAATCCTCTTTTTTAGAGGTCCTTCTCGTGGAGATCCTAATGAAATCATCTAAGGGGTCCTTGCATGGTCTTGTACAGGCCCCTGTGAGAAGATCTTGTGGAGATCCTAGTGACCTGCATGCTGTCCTGCATGATCTTGTACAGGCCCTTGTGAAAAGATCTTGAAGTAACATCCTCTGGGTGTCTTTGCATGACTTGTACAGGCCCTTCTGAGAAGATCTTGTCAAGATCCTGTTCAAATCCTCCCTAAGAGGCCTTGCGTTCAGATCTTGAAGATGTTCTGTCTTCAGGACAGAAGAGGCCCTTAACAGAAGATCTTCTGGACATCCTGGTGAGATCCTCTCCAAGAGGTCCTTCCATGAAGATCTTGCAGCTGCCACGTCTTACAGGTGCCATAGGAAGTTCTTGTATGAAGATCTTGTGAGCTCCTCTATATAGGTCTAAAGTCTACATAGAAGGTCCTCCTGCTGTAGTTGCGATGATGTCTCACCTCATCTGTTACTGTTCCATAGCTACTGTTGCTTGTATCCGGTACATTGACTTCCTACCCCCCACGCTGTTTGGGGTCTCTTTCCGGCGTAATGCTAACAAATCTCAATCTCCAAAAAGAACACCTAGACTCCGCAATCAGGGAGACCGCCATCGATTCAACAAATACACTGTAAACAACTTCCGACTTCCCGTTGTATTCCGGAAAAAGTGTATTCAAAACAGAAAATACACCTCAGAAGTACGAACATCCAACAAACTATCTAAATACCCCTAAACGTCGGTTCAAACTGGAAACTGGTGAATATTTCCAGCATTCTATCACATCGTGTGAAAATTAACTAACCCAAGTTCAGTCCAAAAGTCTTGTTCATGGGCTCTCCACAGGTCTTTTCGATGCCGCCCCAGTAGAAGTTGTCGCCCACGTTCAAAATGTACTGCGGATCTTTCAGGGCGGCGCGTGCCTTGAAGGCGTTGGCCACCAAAATCTGCGGGTTGTCATCCACGCCTTGGGGCTCCAAACGTTCACCAGGTCGGTTTGTCTGAATTTTGAGGGAAAAAATGATGATTCATCAGCATTTTCCACATCAATTAATGGTCATTCAAGTGGGTTTTCCCCTATTTTCAGACTCAAGTGTTGGTTTAAAGGGCTAGTTTAGTAAGGATGATAGGAGGGTGAAAAAAACACATTTAGACCATGTTGTTTCCTTTTTGATATCAATCCTGACTGCTTTTTGGGATCTCGACCATTTTTGGTTTTACACTTACAATTCAAGACCGGAATCAATGAATCGTTGTTTGAACATGAAAAAAGGCCCTTGACTCAGCTTGCTGAAGAACTCCTATAGCCTATTCACATTTTTGTTCTGTGCAGTTCATCGCCCATATTTTTTCTACCCACCTGGCACATAGCCACACTCCGGAGTGCAGGGAGGTTGTCCGCGGGTGTTGAAACATTCCACCAGCTGGTCGTGGTCACAGAACTTCACAGTGTGTGCCTTGTTCCATCGACTCCTTGGGAAGACGCTGGGTCCAGGACGCTTACCCCAGTCGTAGGCCACGATGTTGGGACGGCCCTCATTGGTATCCAGGGATCCATCCATGCCGCCCCAATCGCCAATGGCGAAGATGTGCATCTCCTGAACGCCGTACACCACAGTGGTGGGCCAATGCTGGCCTTTGTATCCTGAGTTGCGATCCAAGCAAGCATCTATATCATTCATAATACATGTGTGTGTTATTCTATGTATACATATCTCTCTCTCTCTCTCTTTATCTCTCCCCTTATTTATGTTCCAGGTCCTGTGCATCCAAATATTTCAGGTGAATTTGGGAGAAACCCGAAAACGAGCCGCAGCTTATCGGCTCCCAAGTCTCCCATGGCCGACTTGGGTGGCACACATCCGATACCTCGGTTGTTGCCATCACAGCCAGGCCTCAACGAGGCATAGATCTGATGCCCTGCGAAGCAATCGTTGCAAGGCTCCTGGCTGCACCCGGTGCAGGGTGGCACACCGCAAAACTTGTCTTTGCCTTGGATTTGCGATCTAGGAACCCTCCGGAACCCGAAAAAAATTAACCAAATCTTCCCGAAAACGATTCCCCAGTCGTAGTGGGGTTCGCGCCTTGAGAAAATCGGCCAAACTCATCAACAAATCCAAGATGCCCGGAGGTGCGCAGTAGTAGAGTCGTTGGAAATCAGCCACATTGGCCTGGTTAAATTTGACTCCGGAAATGCTGGGCATGTTGCGGAACCAACCTTCGGCGGCGGGGTCGTTCTTACCACCGCCGGCGGCCCATTCCACCACCTCCTTACCTGGCAAATGCGCAGTTCGAAACATCCAAAGCATATAGATGTTAATTTTTTGGGTCTGGTCCAAAAACACTAGAACCTTAAACAATAAGACTACATATAGTAAATCTAATGAAGCATGATGCTTGGTTTTTCCATGGCCATCACTGGCCATCACCTTCCCTTTTTCAAAACAAATTACCTGATGGTGGATACAAATGATTACTGTGTACCCATTATCATCCAGTATTCGGAAGTTTCAAAGAGAGGACACCATAGGAGAGGTGGCTTGCTGTGATGCATCGATGGCAGGGCGAATCCACTGATGGACCGAAAGGTGGTTGGAGTTGTGCTTTTGAAATTCTTGCAGTGGTCACCTCAACCACAACTGCTGGATGTATTGTGGCGTAGTGTAGCGCAATGTAATTGTAGGTGCAGTTGTGGTTGTAGTTGTATTGTAGCGTAGTGGTAGTTGTAGTTGTAGTTGTAGCTGTTGTTGTTGTTGTTGTTCTTGTTCTTGTTCTTGTTCTTGTTGTTGTTGCTGTTGTTGCTGTTGTTGTAATGTTGTAATGTTGTAATGTTGTAATGTTGTAATGTTGTAGCTGAAGCTGCAGTAGTAGTTGTAGCTGTTGTAGCTCTTGTTGTTGCAGTTGGCCGTAGTGTACTGTAGTTTAGTGTGGCGTGGTGTGGTGTAGTGGTGTAGTGTGGTGAAGTGGAGTGTAGTGTAGTGGAGTTGTAGTTGTAGGTTGTAGGTTGTAGCTATAGTTGTAGCTGTCTTGTAGTGCAGTTGTAGCTTTAGCTGTAGTTGCAATGTTGTAGTTTTAGTTGTAGCTGTAGTGGCTGTAGTCGTTTTTGTAGTTGTAGTTGTAGTGTATTGGTAGTGTAGTGGGGTGAAGTGGGGTGTAATGTAATGAAGTTGTAGTTGTAACTGTAGTTGTAGTGGTAGTTGTTGTTGTTATCGTTGTTGTTGTTGCACTTGTACTTGTAGCGTAGCGGAGTGTAGTGTAGTGAAGTGCAGTTGCAGCTGTAGCTGTAGCCTGTAGCTGTAGCTGCGGATGATGTTGTTGTAGTTGTAGTTGTAGCTGTAGTAGAAGTTGTTGTTGTTGTTGTTGTCGTCGCCGTCGCCGTCGCCGTCGCCGTCGCCGTCGCCGTCGCCGTTGTCGTTGTCGTTGTCGTTGTGGCTGTTGCTGTTGCTGTCGCTGTCGCTGTCGCTGTCGCTGTCGCTGTCGCTGTCGCTGTCGCTGTCGCTGTCGCTGTCGCTGTCGCTGTTGCTGTTGCTGTTGCTGTTGTTGTTGATGTGGTTGTGGTTGTGGTTGTGGTTGTGGTTGTTGTTGTTGTTGTTGTTGTTGTTGTTGTTGTGGTTGTGGTGGTTGTTGTTGCTGTTGGCTGTTGGCTGTTGGCTGTTGGCTGTTGGCTGTTGGCTGTTGGCTGTTGGCTGTTGGCTGTTGGCTGTTGGTTGTTGGTTGTTGGTTGTTGGTTGTTGGTTGTTGGTTGTTGGTTTGGTTGGTTGGTGGTTGGTGGTTGGTGGTTGGTGGTTGGTGGTTGGTGGTTGGTGGTTGGTGGTTGGTGGTGGTGGTTGGTTGGTGGTTGGTGGTTGGTGGTTGGTGGTTGGTGGTTGGTGGTTGGTGGTTGGTGGTTGGTGGTTGGTGGTTGGTGGTTGGTGGTTGGTGGTTGGTGGTTGGTGGTTGGTGGTTGGTGGTTGGTGGTTGGTGGTTGGTGGTTGTTGGTTGTTGTTGTTGTTGGTTGTTGGTTGTTGGTTGTTGGTTGTTGGTTGTTGGTTGTTGGTTGTTGGGTGTTGTTGGTTGTTGTTTGTTGTCGTTGTTGTCGTTGTTGTCGTTGTTGTCGTTGTTGTCGTTGTTGTCGTTGTTGTCGTTGTTGTCGTTGTCGTCGTTGTCGTTGTCGTTGTCGTTGTCGTTGTCGTTGTTGTTGTTGTTGTTGCTGTTGTTGTAGTGTAATGTAGTGTAGTGTAGTGTAGTGTAGTGTAGTGTAGTGTAGTGTAGTGTAGTGTAGCGTAGTGTAGTGGCAGTGGCAGTGGCAGTGGCAGTGGCAGTGGCAGTGGTAGTGTAATGTGGTGAAGTGGAGGGTAGTGTCGTGTAGTGGGGTTGTAGTTGTAGTTGTAGCTGTCGTTGTAGTTGTAGTTGAAGTTATAGTAATTATTGCTGTTGTTGTTGTTGTTGTTGTAGCTGTAGTAGTTGTAGTAGTTGTAGTGTTGTAGTTGTAGTTGTTGTTGTATAGTAGTATTAGGAGTGTTAGCAGTAGTATTAGTAGCAGCAGCAGCAGCAGTAGTAGTAGTAGTAGCAGTAGCAGTAGTTGTTGTTGTTGTTGCTGTTGTTCTGATTGTCCTTCTCGTTGTCGTTGTCGTTGTTGTGTCGTGTGGTGCGGTTGAACGTCCAGAAATGGTCCAAACATGGGGTGTTTTACCATTTTGACTTCGAGATGTGCTTCGCGCCACAGCCGCGTGCACTTTTTCCACATGGGAACCTCCAAAAGTGCTCCGAGCATGTGGTGTTTTTAGCACTTTGACTTCGAAATTTGCTTCGCGCCACAACGGCGTGCACTTTTTCAACGTCGCAAATTCCAAACGTGTTCCGAACCTGTCAGTTTTTAACACTTTTGACTTCCAAATGTGCTTCGCGCCACAACGGCGTGCACTTGTTCAACATCTCAACTTCCAAAAGTGCTCCGGCGTTGAAGTGCTTTGTGCATTTTGACTTCGAAATGTGCATCGCGCCACAACTCCCCAGATGGCTCCGCACCCGCCGCTACTTAGCGAGCCTACTTTTGAACCCTCCGGAGCCACAAAACATTGGAAAAACACAGTGTTTCGCGACTTTTCTACCTTTTCGTGCACCTGCATCTTCTTTTTTCTAACTCTTTCTCTTCTCTGATCTTCTTTCTTCTGCCTTTCTCTTCTCTGACTCTTCCCACCTCTGCTTTTCGCCTGTCCATATTGTCGGAAGTTTAACTTCTAAACTTGCTTCGATTATCCATTATCATTATCCATGATTATCCATTATTCACAGTTATTCACCATATGACCATGCTATCATTCCTCACATCTCACCGCGCCCAGTTGCACTGCGCATTCTCCGGCAGATCCAAAGGACCACATCGAGCCCCGCCAAGGGCCGTCACCTCCACGGCCGACCGGCCCAGGAATTTGGACCGGTTCGCAGCGCCCACGTCGGCCGCGGCCAACGTGGCGCCCACCGTGAGGGCCAAGCGAAGTGGGAAGGCCATGATTTGCCAAAATTGTGCCTGAGACTTGAACCATAGTTTTATTTTCGGATGTACCCATGATGGAAGCTGATTGAAGTTACTCTCCAACTGCAAGAAAATGAAGATTCGTGAAAATATGCCATATGTGCCTTTTTATCATTCAACACACGGCAGTTTGGATGTTTTTGGCGGCTCCCCCAATCCGAACCCGCCATCGATGGTCAGCTGGTGAATTTTAGCTCGCAACTTTACCCATGTCATGTGAGTTTGAGGTTCTCTGTGTTCCATAAGAAGAAATGTCTCAAGATGGGATATGGCAGTGTGTCAAAACCTTGTACCCCTGGTGAACATTAAATGGATGTTCATCCCACTAAAAATTGTATTCATAGGTATTGACCCACTGCCATATAACTATAACATAACTATAACCATGTATAACTCATTGAGTTAGCCATAAAATGGGGAACGCATAGATGAACCATGGGATTTTGAGGGTACCCCATTTGCCGAAACTCACTGTTTCTAAAAATATTGGGGGTTCCCTTTTCGCCGTTGGTTTCCTGAGTAGAAATGACAAGTAACTTGGATGATAACATCTTCATCCCAAGCCAGTCATGTCGTATAGCTATCCATAGCCCTAGAGTCCAATGGGTATATAGTATATCATATCCATCAGTGGCAGCTTCTTCATACGGAAAAGAATGATGAAAAAGTAGATACCGTGGGATCTCAGACAAAATTTATCTGAGTCCCTGGTACTTGGCTCCCCAACTGGTTCCATCGCCAACTCCGGCCACATCTTGGACCGAAGTTCGTTACCGTCGTTAAACCGGTCGTTGAGGCCGCCATCGGAACGCCAAGGCCGCGGCCGCGGCGCGGGAACTTCCGGCCATGGCCCACCTGACAGTGGCAGCCAAAATGACTTAAGCGAAATTATAGGGATTTGAATCATGCTTGACCCTCTGGTAAACTAACATAACTATTGAAAATCACCATTTTTAATGGTAAAATCCACTATAAATGGTCATTTTCGATAGCTATGTTAAATTACCAGAGGGTATCCTCTGTATTCAGAGGGTCGGGGTGTGTCTGAAATCGAAGGATACCCCGCAGTGAAAAGGCCAATTTGATGAGGAAAATGAGGCGTTCAACCATGGAATTTGGGGCACCCTAACTTCACGCCAACTCGTAGGAGTTTATCATGTCCAATAAAGTCATCGGGGAGTATGAATATCCAACGTGACTAGTTCAATATAATGACCAATAAAGTAAAGCCAATATCATCGGACTTCAATACAATCATTATGAGAAATAAATATATCATTGCAAATAGAAAATCGTGAATTGAAAGGTAAGTTTTTGCAAACTTTCCGATGGGTGACGCTTTTGGACGGCCATGAACAGGTTGTTGGTTAATCGCTGGCAACCGAGCCAGCCCAGCTAATAAGTTGTCCCAAACGAAAGCTCCTTGCCATTTTGTTACCCCCAAGCCGGCGCATTCAGGTAAATCTACTATAGCCCAAGATGTTGGTTTAATTCAAAATAATCATGATATTAGCAACAACAATAGCAGAAATAAATGTAATTATAATGATAACAATGGGAATCACAATCCAATCATGATCTCAAAAAGTTATCATAATCATGGCAATAATGTGAACGCTGGATTAATACACCCCTAGGCTGTTTAATTGGGGGTGGTACCATTCAAGTATCAGATCATCACTATATTTGGGGAGTATCCCTCCTAACTAATAAACCATGGTTTATTCATCCAGGGTTGACACTAATAATCATCCACCATGTTTAAAGGGTAAATCCCCATAAATCATCTATCAATCCGTCATTTTTGCTATGTTGAATAACCAGAGGCTTTCTTTGCAATGATAATCATGCAATATCATGCAATGATACCCTCTGGTAATTTAACATAGCTATGGAAAATCACCATTTTTAATGGGAAAATCCACTATTTCTATGGCAATTTTCAATAGCTATGTTAGTTTACCAGAGGGTAATCATCATTTTGCAGCTGAAATCCAGCTCCAAAAACGGCTGTCCCAAACACCCTGCTGTTCCATCTGCTTCTCCATGCGCGCGGCGAGCGATGCCAACTCCTCCTGCAGATGCCCCAACCCAATGGGTCCATAGGACCAAGCCAAAGAAATGGCTAGTTTTAGCAAGATTTAAGCAACAGAAACGGAGGAGTTCACCAAAAATGGTGAGTTGGAGACGTATCCAATCAAAATTGGAATTCAACCAGCGAAAAGTGCAAGTTAACCAGAAAGCATGGTTCGTTTTGTCAAGCTATTTTAACAACCAAACATATGAATACCAATGATGTAACAACAAGAATGTGGTCGTTGAAGCGACGATAATGATAGGGATTTGACACACAAAGAGGATTTTAAACTAGGCATGCATGGTGAAAAAAAGCCAGTGGCCAAACCCCCTGAATTCTGGGTCGCGGGTCGCTGATGGGGAATCATTCAGGAAACAAGGTGTTTTAGATGGATACTATTCGGGGTACTCATCACCAAATGTTCAAGTTTATGAGCGTTCATGTACTCATGGAAACAGAAAGGATGAATTTGCAGTACCTGTTTGAAACGGACTCTTCATGACGAAGCTGAGATATGCCGCCCCTAAAAGTTTCCTCTTGTTATGATGCATGACATAAAATGCCATGTTTTTTCATGTATCGGCTAAGAATTAGGCCACCAACAAACCAAACCAAGGCCTATCCGGTCGTATATCCTCCGGTAATCTAACATGGCTAAACCAAACGGGCAAAGGCTTGGATGGCAGACTGTTGGATTACCGGTTGTGGTTTGGTACTTGGATGCTGGCATTGAACAACAAGACTTATAGACATCCTAGATTCCTAGATGTCTAGTGCCATCTATCGTGCTAAAATATCTCATTATATCCCATCTATAAGTGGTTCTAGATGCACAGCATGATCATTGAATCATCAAGAGTCCGATAGTCCCCGTACCCATTTGCAGCTGTGTTGATGATCCCAGTTGTAGCGATTATATCATATCCTCATTTCTCTTGGTGATCACTGTGTTTTGCACCCATTATATATCCCGAAAAATGGTTTGTCTGGGTTCCAATGTTCCTCATTTTGCCTGAGTACATTCACCATTTTCCCTGACAGAAGCAAAACCCCTATTGATATCCTGCATATATTCCGTTCTATTCCCCCTGATCCCCTCCCCTTTATATTAAACATCCCCTAAATGGTCCCACTTTGGTGTAAATCCCCTACGAAATTTACGGGATCTCATCCGGCGCACCTCCAGCAGCACCCTCCGCAGCCGCGGAAGAACGGCGCGGAAAGGCGCCGCGGCCAGGGACCGCAGCAGCGCCTTCCGCGCAAGGCGGCTCTGAGGCATCCCTGGCCGGGGTCCAACGGGAGGTCAACCATGGAAATAAAGAAAAAAACAACATCTGTCGAAAGTCAGCAAGTAGCCAACCACATTATTCAACTCATACCCCAAAGAACAGCCATTCCCGACTCATCCCCGGTCGCCGCGTACCTTTCTGCTGCATCTCTGCTATCAGTACCAAGGACAGCTGCCACAGCTGAGCATCTGCTGCTGCTTTCAGAGCAGCTGTGTAGGCCTCAAGCCATAGCTACCGGTAGCGGATTGCTGGATCTTCACTGGTGCCAAACGTATAGAATGGGGGAATGATCTATAATTTTCTATAATACCATCTGGTTATTTAACATAGCCATGGAAAATCCCCTATAAATGGATGTTTTAATGGGAAAATCATCTATAAATGGGCCATTTTCCATGGCCCTGTTAAATAACCAGAGGGTAATTCTTAACAATCATACCATTCCCCCATTCCCAAGCATGGACAGATCCACCTTGGAAGTTGCACGACATCCCAGGGGAGTTCCTCTGCGAGAAATTCGTTGACCTTTAGTCCCCCCAGGAGATTTCAAAGTTTGGCAGATGAGTCTTGATAGAAATGTCAGGTCTGTTCCCACAACAAAAATATCGAATTTTAATGAATTAAGCTCTGAGTTCTTTCTTCTTTGGAATGCCATGCCTATTTGAAAACCAATCAGGATCATCACACAGTGCTCCAAGACATTGAAGGACTCAACATGCCTACAAATCTGTCCTAATCTGTCCTAAAATCCTTGCTTAGCTGGAGGATGGTGCCCGCCAGTTATAAGTTGCTTTTTAACCCCATCTGAATATAATATAATTGTTTGCGTATCATACACTATTCTTATTACAGTTATGTTCACCAACTTAGCTAGCGAACTGGGGCCCAATCCTGTGGTTGCGTTGTACCAGCTGAGCATCCACACTGCAGGACCCCCTTCCTCTCGTTCCTGGGCACGGAGATATGGGTTTAGGAGGAAATTACCATGAAAAATGGTGATTTGACCACAGAAATGTGGATATCATGGGAATATCATGGGATATTATTTGGATGTGACAAGTTCAATGGATTGGTTTTGCTGGAAAAAATATAGGAAACCATGGATTTTACTGCCAAATATAGGGGTGTCCTGCAGATGTTCCATTGAACTAATTCTGAGATCCCAAAAAAATGTCCCATGTTTAAGCATACTCATTTTGTTTCGAGCTATATGGCAATCCCTGGCTAGAAACGACCTCCAGCATCGAGGCTCAAAAAGTTGCACTGCCAGAAAGGGCCGCCCAGCACGCTGCAACGCTGCCAGAGCAGTGGAAAAGCTGCTGTCATCCTTAGTCTATCCGGTGTGCTCCTGGGGATGGGTCAAAATTGACCCAGGGAACCACAAAACTTGGTGATTTGCAGTCCGATTATCCCACTTTAGAGTACCCAAGCTTGCTTTCATACCAATCAAGGAGAAAGCTTATTGAACCGAATGAAAATGGGGATACAATGAACCTTCAGCTAGGATGCTTCATTAGTATACATGAATGATATCAAGAAGGCACTGGTTGGCCTTCAAGTATCCCAAATGGTACATGCGGTAAATCGATATCAATCAGCTGAATATTGAATTCCAGCAGATCCACCCCATGTAGATTCGAAACCACCAATCATGCATTGCTGGTTGGGGGTTTCGAATCTATCTTTCGTTTCCATCCCAACCAACGTGACGCTCATTCTACAATGGCTTTTCCTGGGAGACTCAACCCTCAGCTAATCATTGGATCAGGCTTGAATTAGCACCGTTCTTCAAGAACTATCCCACTTGTACTTGGTAAATAGGTATTCCTCAGTTATGAATGAGACAAACCCAGGACACAGGGGTTTGTCAACCACCTGTCTTTAACACTTAATCGCTGTCTTTAACACTGACCCTCTGGTTATCTAACAGTTCGCCATGGAAAATCACCCTGCTATGAAGAACGGTAAACCATCTATTTCTATGGGCCATCGAAATCCCATGGCTATGGGTCGTCATAACCGGAGGCTCATCGTGTTGGTCAAAGCCCATGGTTCTCGGTGAGATCCGCTGTTTGGTCATCTGCAATCCCCATCTTTGGTGCGGAATCCCCACGTTTCGGTTACTTGGCAATCGATGAATGTTCTCCGTAAACGGACATTTCGTATATGGGAATAAAAACTTGGAATCTCCGGAATCCCCAGGAAACCCTGAAATGTGGGTACTCCCAAATCATCCAAATGTTCCTCCGATTTTTTTAGTTTCGAAACAGCCATGGTGGTTTAGGGCACCCCCTATTCTATTGGCGAAATGCCCATAAATTGCCTAGTGAATTACCAATTTTGCATTGGTTATATCCACACTCATTCTTGATGGTTCATCCCTATTAATCATTATCTTTTTAATTATGGTTATAATTCTTATCTTTAATGTTTCTTTTGTTATATATTTTATCATCATTATTGGTTAGTTATTAACCCATATGATCACCCGCCCACGCTGTTTCTGCTGCTCCACCGACTGACATCCTCCACCAAAACTCCTCCAAGCGGCTGGCTGCAGCTCAGCCCTGCGCATGGCGGTCAGCAGTTCTAGCACCTTCGGGCAGACGACTGGCGAATGTGGTTATGAGTCAAACGGCACCCGGATTGTTACATGGTACCCCAAGTTATAGATGGCCAGATGGTTAAAAGATGTTGAATCTCCCAGTCAAATGTCAATAGTAGGTAGATGGTGAATAGATGTTTATTCTCCCAAATATGGGAAGTTCAAAGGTTTTGACCCATCCCCAATGTGGTAGCACTCAAAAAGTGATGTCAAAATGTGGTGTTTATCAACCCAGCGGTGGGGGGGGTCAATCCACAAACAACACGATATATGATATCACCAAGAAAGGGAGCGTCATCATCGAAAACGGGACAAGTGTAAAAAAAAATACACCAAACCGAACATCTGATTAAATAGATCTAAAGTTGTTTAATTTATTGACATCGCTTGCCGGATTGGGATTCCTTGGCGCAGTCAGCGTAATCCCTAGTAATCCCTGGGTACCCTTTTCCTCTGGGTGCGTGACTAATTGGTGAGTGTCAGTTGCTCACATCATTGGTCTGGGGTCTAAATCCAACAGTGGAAATAGGTGGAAATCCCCATATCATCGCCATCAAACATAGCCCGTTTTCCCATTTGATGATATATACAGCCGTTGGTTGAAAACGGTTTCCCTACTATGCGTTGTCATAATCCCCAATAAACATCAATAAACTAGGTTGTGTAGTTGTATAAGTCCCAACACATTAACCAATCAACCAGGGTAATCGCATCCCCCTAATGTTGAACACCCTCATTCTATGGTCCCAATGATGTTGAAAACGCCAACCAAAAACCATGGTAACTCTAGTGGGTGTTTAAGATGAACAGGGGGAAGGGATTATGTACATCAACTATTAACTATAGTTGATTTATAAACCAATTTACCATTATGTACCATTGTTATATATATATACATATATATACATATATATACATATATATACATATATACATATATACATATATACATATATACATATATACATATATACATATATATATATAATATATATATATACATACATACATATATATATATATATGTATATATATGAGTTATTAACCACTTAGTAATGGCTTATCCGTTTTTTTTCGGCTCCGTTCCAGCGGCTCCCTTCGCCACCTCGATCCAGCGGCTGGCGTTACGACACGCCGCCAGCGCCGCATTGTACGTCACCCGATCCGCGGAGGCACCGGAGGCACCGCGAGGGGGTTCCGCCGCGCTCTCCGCTGCCCTGGTGATGTGGTAAATGTGGGAAACCATAGGAAAACCATAGGAAAACCATAGGAAAATGGAGGTTTGCCCTCTGGTAAACATACAAAAAGCTATTGAAAATGGCCATTTATAGTGAGTTTTCCCATTAAAAATGGTGATTTTCCATAGTTCTGTTTAGTTTACCAGAGTATAACCATCTGGTTGGTGGTGGACCTACCCCTCGGAAAAATATGAATTCGTCAGTTGGGTTGATAAAATTCTCAATATATGGAAAAATAAAAGCCATGTTCCAAACCACCAATCAGTCATCAATCTTTGGGGGATTTAAAAATTTACCATGGTCAGTCTGTGATTTTGTCCACTAAATTGATAGACATCTTGTGCTGCTTGGCCGGTGATTGTCCACTCATCCAAGGTTGGGGATGCTGGGATCATGGAATATATCTGGCTGAATGTCATCGTGATTCACTAAGAAGGGGGATTAAGAATTAACAGATAATGATGGATACAATCCCTATAAATGATATAATTCCGAGAAATGATGAACCTAGCTGGATTTCATCATGATTCACCGGAAGCTATAATTGAAATGGGCAGTTTGGGCATTATTCTCCTTACTACAACTCATCCAGATCTTTGGCCTTACCACGGAGGACCCCTGATGTCTATATTTCCGCATGCGAAAGCCTGCTTTAGTACTGGACCTATGAAGTAAAGTCCCGTATATTTTGGACCTTCATACTGTCCACGATGGTTAAATCATGTTAAACCACATTTTCTGATGGAAAAAAAAACCTCATGAATGATAAGATCTCTGATAGATGTTTTATTTGCGAATTGAAGGATCCCAAAACCCAAGGTCGCCGTGCCTTGCCAGCAAAGCTAGGGCGGCGGCCCATTCAACAGCTTCAGCACCTGAGAGCATGGAGAACAGGGTTCATTGAGATGTTGTCGTGGAAGGATCCATGCATATTTACAAATGAATGCATGAAACAAAGAATACATACACGTGTATATGTATATACATGTGTGCAAACGTAATGTAATGAAATGTAACGTAATGAAATGTAATGGTAAATGTAAGGGCAAATGTAATGGTAAATGTAATGGTAAATGTAATGGTAGATGTAATGGTAAATGTAATGGTAGATGTAATGGTAAATGTAATGGTAAATGTAATGGTAAATGTAATGGTAGATGTATATAATGGTAAATGTAATGGTAAATGTAATGGTAAATGTAATGGTAAATGTAATGGTAAATGTAATGGTAAATGTAATGGTAAATGTAATGGTAAATGTAATGGTAGATGTAATAGTAAATGTAATGGTAAATGTAATGGTAAATGTAATGGTAAATGTAATGGTAAGAGTAATGGCAAATGTAAATGCAAAATGTAAATGCAAATGTATTATAAATGTAAAGTAATAAAATGTTATGCTATGTTATGTTATGTTGTGTTGTGTATGTATACAATGTATGTCATGTATGTGACGCATGTAATGCATGGTAGTGTCTGTAATGTATGTAATGTCTGTAATGTATGTAATGTACGCGAGTACGTGAGTACGCGAGTACCTATGCACGTACGTAAGTACGTACATATGTATGTATGCATGTGTACGTATACATACGTATGCATGCATGCATGTGTATGTCTGTGTCTATGTCTACGCGTATGTCTATGTCTACGTCCATGTATGTCTATGTGTATGTGTATGTGCAATTGTATGTGTATGTATGAAAAATGTGTATATACAATGTGCATTTTTCAGTTAAAATATACATAGATATGTATGAATTTATATATATATATGATACACAATAAAGATCTGTACGTTCCATATATTGACTGGGTAAACCTACTCGCTGCTACTTGTCATGTGCTGTGCTTGCGAGGGGCAGTTAACCAAAATCCACCAAGGCCGTTCGGACATGCGAATGCCATCTCCCAAGACCAGAAAGCTATGGACTGTTTTTCTCACTCACTTTACTTGTGAATTTTGGGACAAAATTCATAAAGTAGTTCATATTTGTTTTTTTCGCTATACAGCAACTCATAAATGTCATAAATGACAAAAAAAACATAAAATAGTTAAACTCCAGCATATGCGATATAGTCTGCCCCTTAAATATCTTGGTTGTTTTGGGTTGGATGACCACTTCTCCCCCTGTGGCGCTGCATCGCTCCGCATCGCCGTGGCGCATGCTGTGATGCTGGCGTTCCAGGAGACTGTGCTGCGTGCTTCGCCAAGGGTCTCCAGCCTCACCCGTGGAAACACAGTTTAGGCAGCAAAAATGGGGAGGTTCACCTGGAAAAGTCGCGATTTAACCAACAAAAAATGTGGTTTAATCCTGACAAATCATGATTTAAGTAACACCATGATGATTTGGGGATGGGTCAAAACCTTAAATACCAAAATTTTGATGGTGGTGAACATCCATTTACAAACTACTTTGATATTCGCCAAGGGTACAAGGTCTTGACCCACACCCCATTTAATGATAAGAAATAATCATTTCATTTAACCAACAACAACGGTGTTTCAATCACCAATAAGTCTTGAATATGGGGGGTTGTAACACTCTGGACAACCAACACCAATCGGGGTCAAAGCAATAGCTAGAGCCCGCTCCTACAATCAAAAGGCAAGGAATGGTTGCTGCCCAGAACGCTCCAAAATTGTGGAAGAATGTGGAAGATCTATCTGCTCACCTTGAAATGAACCGCCAAGTGGAACTGACCAACCAGTTGAACGGTTATTTGATTACATATCTTCACCCACCCACAGACTTCATCTCTCAAGTGGGACTTGACCCCTGACCTGCTCACATAATCTGGCCAAATCATGAGATTTCACCGGCCGTCGATAAACTCAGAAACTGCTTGTGTGATGATTTTCAAACAACATTACACCAGCATAGGCCCCAGATAGCAAAAACATATTGTGTTCTTGTGGCGACGTATCAGATGATGTGGACACGTCTTTTTCCGCCGGGTCTTCCAGTGCAAGCCGTTGCTGTGGACCAGTCTTGCTGTTGCTGCTGCTGTTGTTGGTGCTGCCGCTGCTAGCTACTAGTGTTGGCAGTGACTGTTGGATTGTTGCTGCAACACTGAACAATCGCAAGGGAAACAGAAGCATGACCCAAGGCAGACATAAACATCCCGGCGGGTGGGAAACCGCGCTAGCGTTTTAAAAAAACTGTCTTGGCACTCCGTACGCATTTTTAGATCAATATTACCCTAAGTTTTCCTGGGGAAAATAAAATCACTATGAAGGAAGGACGTGGTATTTACAGGGTTTTGTGCCCCTGGGATTTTGGTCGCGATTTACTTCTGCTCTGGACGTCTCACTTTTCCGAGCGCGTGCTTAGAGCGTGACCGGTGAGACTCATGAAGTCTTTGCAATTTCCATGGTGCCATCGCCACTGCCAAATTCGAATTCCTTGATGCAACTGAGGATTAACAGCCCCACCTTTGCGTGTGCTCCACGAAGCTGACACTGCAACTTCGGAAACTTTCCACATACCATCGATGCCACCGGTGCAATGCAATGTACCCCATGTCTTCTTCCTTTTGATGCAAAAGATTCCCTCACTATGATTGCAAGCTTCATGAACGCAAGCATAGCATCACGTGTGTACGCAAGTCACATGAACGTTATTACCCCACCCCACCCCACCCCACCCCACCCCACACAAGCCCCAACCAATGACGCAGCAGCAGCGTAGCATCATGTGTGTGCGCAAGTCACATGAACGTTATTTCCCCGCCCCACCCCACCAAAAAAATGACGTAGCAGCAGCGTAGTATCACGTGTGTACGCAAGTCACATGAACGTTATTACCCCCCCCCCCCCCCCCCAAGCCCCAACCAATGACGCGCAGCGCGTAGTAGATCATGTGTGGTGCGCAAGTCACATGAACGTTATTTCCCCGCCCCACCCCACCCAAAACCATGATGTAGCAGAGCAGCGTAGCATCACGTGTGTACGCAAGTCACATGAACGTTATTACCCCGCCCCACCCCACCCAAACCAATGATGTAGCAGCAGCGTAGTATCACGTGTGTACGCAAGTCACATGAACGTTATTACCCCGCCCCACCCCACCCAAACCAATGACGTAGCAGAAGCGTAGCATCACGTGCGTACGCAAGTCACATGAACGTTATTACCCCACCCCACCCCACCCAAACCCCATATTGAAAACATAGCACGACTACACACGCGGTTTTCCACCCGCTAGCATAAACATGACACAGTGGAGACAGGGAGACAAGCTTGGAAGACAAGGCGGCAGCACCAGCCCAGAGCGGCCTGGAACCAAATGCACCAAGGGAGACAAACGAGAACAGAAGGGAGACACGGGGCTGTGAGAAATTTGCGGAGTCAGCCAAAACCAAATGAAGTCCCCGACCCATGCGGGAACAAAGTTTTTGTGGTGAGTGTGAGGCCTTGTGACGTTCCACATCCCAAACAAATATGCCCAATTCAATGGATGCACCTTCCAGGAATCCAACCTGGCAATCGCCATGTTTGATTTCCAGAGGGTAGAGCCCCCTGCATTCCCATGTTTTTTTCTGTGCTGCTTAGATCTAATTTCTCATGGTGAAAATCCATGCAATCCATCTTTTAACGATGGGATTCCCCGTTTTGATGGTGGAATTCCTGTTAGTGTTGGTTACAATAAATCAGGTGGAATCCTGATTTAGTGTGATAGTAAAAATCCAACGTGTCATTTTTTTCTATGTCTTTAAATGTTGATGGTTAAATGTAAAGTCCCAAATGTTGATGCTTACATCATACTGGGGGGGTTCTTAAAATGGGGGATCCCCAGGTCACCATGGGTTAAGCTATACTGAGTCATGGGCATCCATGACGACTGGATGAGTTGGAGTACCCCCCATGACAAAACGGAAAGCTCCATGATAAAAATCATTGATAAACCCGCTTATATTATATATACCATCCTATTCCATGTATATAAATATACGTATATATATATATACATATATATATGGCACTATGATGGATTGGAAACCTCCATATACAAATGATACACCTAAATAAAGTCTCTATAGTTGGATAATTAGATGACTATGCCTGTACTATGTATAGTTCATTTTAAGAAACCTCCATCTTCAACTGACAGGCAAAATCCCTCCATTTGCATCCAGCGCTGGATTTCGTCGAGCATCTCCAGCAATGCCTCGCGCCACATCGCCGCACGCCCTAGGGCGGCCAGCAGAGCGTTGTGCAGCTGTAAATCCGCCAGTCCTGGGACCGAAAAATTAAAGAATCTGGTTGGTTACTATGGGCAACACTACTTGGCTTATTCTGGATGACTATGGATGACCATATGTGTATATACATATAATACATATATACATATATATATGTATTACATATATATATATATTACATATATATATATATTACATATATATATTACATATATATATTACATATATATATATATACTACATATATATATACTACATATATATATGTATATATATTACATATATATAATATATATTAAAACATATAGATATATTACATATATATATGTAATATATATATTACATATATATATATATTACATATATATATATTACATATATATATATTACATATATATATATTACATATATATATTACATATATATATTACATATATATATATATTACATATATATATATATATATTACATATATATATTACATATATATATATATTACATGTATATATATATATTACATGTATATATATATTACATATATATATATATATATATTACATATATATATATATATATTACATGTATATATGTATGTATATTTATATTATTACATTATATTACTATGATGACTATGTATTACATTGTATATCATTGTATTACTATTTCTATTACCAACCAGTATACCCTTCGGTAATCAAATGTGGTTTGTAATGGACAATCCCTCAGTATTTCGGGGATTCTCGAGGCAGCCACGTTTGATCAAACTTGGAACCAGTTTTAGCCAACCAAAATGGGTTGCATAAATAGAGCTACATGCAGTACATGTTGTTTGTGTTTCAACATGCACTTGGCATAAAGGGCTATAAATCAAAGGATGTAACCGCAACCTCCTACTGTAGTAATAGAATTATTCACCCCCAAGAGAGATAGTGATAGTAGTAGTAGTAGCAGCTAACAATTCTTGGCAGGGACAACCTCTTAAGAACAAACTATCATAAACCACGAAAAATGGGACTCTTAAACATGAACAAGTCCAGGTTCGTTGCACCGGGGTTTCGACCGGGTGTTCGTTATGATTCACTCATCAAACAGGTGGATTTTACGATCATAATAGGAAACTCTGCACAAGTGGCTCTTTACCCTCCAATCAAACATGGCCAGCTGGAAAATCAGCCTTTTTGAACCGTAAACTCTAAAGAATCTGCTACTTTTGGATCATCAAGCACCAGGCACCTTCGATCACTCAACTATGGACCCACCATGCCTTCCTATAGCATTTGCCCGTTAAACCATGGATATGCTTGAGATCAAAACAAGATTCCCCAAATGGTGGCTTTCCCATTGGGAAAATAAAAAATCACCGACTGAGCAAACCCACGGAAAGGAGTTCAAGCCTCATGTTTGTTTGCCAACTTCTCATATTTAGACATATTTAGACTGTGAAATTCCAAGCTTTGCTGTAAAAACTCGCTGAAAATTGCTTAAACAAATGACAGAAAACACATGTTTTCCCATCATGTTCTGTGGTTCGATATTTGTCCAACTCACTCAATCTCCGAAATCATCTGAGATCTTCCAAAATCATCAATCATCTGAAATCCAAAGTTTTCCCTAGAAAATAACATGATTTCCCTCTTAAAAAAGAAGAGAAACAGCTCCAAAAGAACCTCATGTTCAAAAAAAGCTCGTGTTTTTGCCCAGAAAACCATCCATATTACATATCCATCCATTTCCCCTGGTAAAAATCTCACTTGGAAATCGCCGACCTCGGCGTTGCGCCAGCTTCATCAGCTCCAAAGCCTGCGTCCACCGAGCCCCGCGACCGCAGGCGCTGAGGCTGCAGGTGAAGGCCTGAAAAATGGCAACTTGGAAGAAAGTTGATGATAAACCCATAAATAATAGGTGCCATTCTATAGTAAAAACTGGCCTGCCAACTTCATCTCTATAGAATCGTATGCCCAGGTTCTGTATTCTATAGAGTTAATTCCAAGGAGGATATAAACCCTATAAATAATGGAAACTGGTGGATTTCGCAACCATCCACAGTATTTCAGGAAAAAAAACATGACAAAATTGGATCAACTTGGAGAAAACTGGAGAGACTTGTGGACAAAGTTACGTCTTTTTTTTAATTGGAGAAAGTGGATGATGTATTGGCATTGGATGGCAATTTCTTTCATGATGTTCACACCGATTTCTTGCTTTCTTCAGAACATAGAGTTAAGTTTCAGGAAGATAAGAAGCAAGGACGTGGGTAGATTATATATATATACAATATATATATATATTCATAAGAATTCAAACATGTGTTTTCTCAACGAATCGTTGGAAATTATATATAATTTTACAACAAATTTGTGGTCGGAAACATCACAAACATCACAAATTTGAATTCTAGCCAATTCTAGCCCCAAACACTCGCAGCCTTGACCCTATTCGTAGCTGGGTTCCCCGCCAAAATCCAACAACTTTGTATCATCACAGGTTCTTCGGGAACCCCTAGTTGAGCGCTAAGCGGTAAGCTTCAAGACAGATTCAAAATGCCTGCCCTCCAGTGAGAGACGGCAACAGAAAATTGCAAACTGGAAAACACACCGCTACAACACCCCATCCGTTCAGCTTGAGAGTCAATCCGTCATGGTATGCCCCCACCTGCGCATCTGGTGGAATTCTTGCACAGGACCTTGCATCGAAATGGTCGACCGACATCAAAAAGCCTATGGCTTTGTCAGGTACGGTACTTCAAAATTCCATGGTTGGTTAGATTTTCCCCATTTAAAAGGCCATAACTCTGGGGGAATCTACATGCCAAAAAAAGGGGGTGCAACTTCGAACATGCCCGCGAAAAAGGTGGCGGTGGATGTGAGCGGATGTGCATTCCTTTGGACAAAAACAAAGAGCCATAAACAGCTCCAGTATGCTCCCCTCCCCATTCCCATTGGGGAAAAATGGTCCCTTTCTGGTTGGTGGTATACCTACCCCTCTGAAAAATATGAGTTCGTCAGTTGGGATTATTATTCCCAATATATTTCAGAAAAAAATACCAAGACCTTGTGACCAGTTCCAAATGGTTCCAAATGTTCGTCAGAAATCCCCTCACACGCCATGGCACATGTCTCTCAACAACATCAAGGCCTGGAGGACGGTACGGCGGTACCCTCTTGTGATTGGGATCGAATCTCAAGTAATCACATCCTATTACCCATACCCCCCACTGGATCTATTCCTTTGGGGGGGCCCTAAAAGGGTATATAATTTAATACTCAACGGGGGATGGGATTGTCATTGGTGATTGGCATGTTCAGAAATGAGGAACCTCCACACGCTGGGACAATTTTCCAAAAAACGATTTCTCTCTCGTGATTCCCGGCCAAATTGACTATTTGAGTCGATGGGAGTATTGGTGGTAAGTGTCTCCATTGTCTCTTTCTCAAAGCAAACAGGATGGGCAGTTCCCATGTGTGTTTGCCAGGCGGTGAGATCGGAAAAACACGCCCAGCATTGCCTCCTCCCAAGCGCCGTTCTTGCCAAAGGCCTGATCCAGCTGAGCAGTGGATGCTGCTTTGGGCCTTCGGGGGAAAACTCCATCAAGGGCGGAGCATCTCTTGTTTCATAGCATTGTTTGGACAATTTTGTGCATACAATCTGGTTGGTGGTGTACCTACCCCTCTGAAAAATATGAAAGTCAATTGGGATTATTATTCCCAATATACTGTATAGAAAAATAAAAGCCATGTTCCAAACCACCAACCAGTTATTATTTCTTTCCTAACCCAAAAAAACAAACCGTGTGAGGAATCCTCTGTTGCCCGATGACGTCCCCATGGGCATGTCGGCCTGTAGGGCGGATCCATAACTCACCCGGGAAAACCTCGGTGGGTCCATCTTCGGAGATGTACAACAAGAGGCTTTCCATATCATTATTCTGTCATTGTTCAACAAATTGACAATATATGACAACCCTATCATTTCAAAGTTTTCCAGCGGTTGGATTTCTCCACCCCTGCACCACATGCATGCTGGTAGTTCTTTGCAAGCCTCAGAGAAAGGTCAAAAGTCTATAAATGCCAGGAAATTATGACGGCCTTTACTGACGTGAAACATTCTATGCTAAGAGACCCTAGGTTTCAGACCCCTTTTCATCACAATTCATTGTAAATACCAGCGTTTCGGAAGGATTCTCTGGGTCCAAAATCACTCCCAAAATCAGGTACCGTTCTCATCTTCAACCCCCAGACCAGAAATTCGTGGGGAAACGGCACAAATGACGTGCTTCCTATGGCAGCCAGGGTGTATACCACAACAACTTATCATCATCTACAGATCCTCCGCCGCCAAGGAAGCTTGACGTGGACCTGTCGCATCTCGCGCAAGAGTTCCTGGAGATCCAACGCCGCTTCAACTGGTTAAGGATGCCAAGCGAAAAAAAATATCTTCGTCATTGAAGCAACAACCATCAACAAGCAAAGAATCATATGGTTGAAGAAAAATGCTGATCATCATCCCATTTCCATTTTTTGAACAAAAAAGGTTCCAGACCATCAACCAAATAATCATAATCATAGTTTCTGACCAGTCTTTATCGTCCCATGATGGAACCCTGTCTATGACCATTGGAAAGGGCTGATTCTAAATGGGGAAATCATCTATCCGTGGATGCAAATGCGGGATTTCCATGTGCCAGGATATGGGAATATATCGCCATATGGGTGAAGAAAATGCTCTTAACACCTCCTAACCATGGCATCCATGGATGAAAACCTTGGTACCTTGCTTTTTTTGCAGCAAAATAGCTGGTGCCTATGGATGGTCATCCCCGCATCGGAAAATGATCGGTTTTGAGCTAAAGACCAACCCCGTTTTGGATGGTCACTACGATTTTGGTGCCTTTTTGTTGCTTCCTAACCCGTATCAAACGAGGCAGTATGACCCTGAACGAAACCACCAACAAGCAGAAGCCAAATGGGCATTGCTCGGTTTGAGCTCTGGCTCAAAATTTCTGAGCAAATGGACCTACAAGTTTGGTCCTTTTTAGTATTCAACTATCCAGTTTTGAGGGTCCAAAAGTTGACCCGCACCAATTGGTTCACTTGTCAACCCAGCACTAATCTCTCAAGTCGCTGCCCATTTTGATGGTTGTGGACCATGTTTCAAACGATCAAGGTTCAAACCCTCTGTCATTCCATTCTACTGGTTGCTTAGTAAATCGGGATTCCTGTCATGGATGATGATAGTCTTCAATATAATGGGCATTTCGATTCCCAAAAAAAATATCAAGCAACAGGAGTTTTGAACAAACCATATCCACTATGTTCCACTATTCATTGCTTAAACCACCATGCTTTGCTTGGTTATCCCATGAACATCCCATGTTTGATGCCAAAAAGTCACCCACTTGTCCCATGTTGGTCAACTCCAGCACAACCCCCACCATTCCTGGTCTCTCCTTAACGAGTTCTTGCGCGGTCAAGGCATCTCTAGTAGACGCCGTGGGCATACTGCAGAGGGCCTCAGGCGAGTATCCAGCAATGGCTTACCATTTGGTTATTTAACATAGCCATGGAAAATCACCATTTTTAATAGGTAAACCATCTATAAATGGACCATTTTTAATGGCTATGTTAAATTACCAGAGGGTAAAACCATTGCTAAAACCAACCGAACTGGTGCGTCAAGCCATGTCACGCCTCAAAAATGTGGATTTCACCCAGCGAAACTCGGATATTTCACCCATCAAAAAGCATGCGGATTTCACCATCGCCAATCTGGTGATTTTTTACCATCAGAGGGGAACAAAAAAGCTATTGCGGGCCTGGATTCACATTGTACAAATCTGCATTTACCGTAATTAATTACCATCAGCTATTGGTTGTTCAACGGGACATCAAGCCATCTATTCATCAACTAACGGATCCCAATGGAAAAGTATCCCAAGTTTCAGGAGGAGCACAGGATCTAGCCCCAAAGTACGGGGCTATGGGACCAGAAACCATTCAGTGAATATCAGGGCTTATTGTGTGGTATGATGTGGATGAAGCCAGCAGACAACGGCAAGATCATCAATCAAAAGAATGCGAATGTGTCAAGTCGTTGGTGCCCAACTATATCAATAATATATATATAATATACATATATATAATATATACAATATATATAATATATATAATATATAAGAAAACTAAGATCCATTGGGTCCATTGAGATTATGAAAGTCAAACTTCAAGCTGGCCACCAGCTTCAAGATCCAGAAAATGTCCGGCTGCACAGCAACAGATCCCATCATTCCATCGGACTTCTTAGTGGGCGACGGAAAGAAGCGCGTTGTAGATCTCCACGGGGCAACGACCTGCACCTGCGAAGAGGAAGAGGAAGAAAAAGAAGGAAGAAGGATTGATTGACTAAGTGAGTGATTGATTGCTTGAGTGAGTGAGTGAGCGATGATGATGAGGAGGAGGAGGACAATGGTGATAGTGATGGCAATGATTGTGGTGATGACGATGATGACCACGGTGATGATGAGGACGGCGATTAACCCACACAAGGCGGAGCTATTCTTCCCTGGGAAAATTCCTCACTTCACCTTCAAATTGCAAAGATTTGTCACTTATGTGAGATAGGGAAATATCTTCCCCCAAAAGCGAGACACGCAAAAAAGACTGAGGATAATACTGCGAGAAAAAGAGTAGGGAACAGTTTTTTCGGGATGACCTTGGAGAGGACTCGAGCCCCCATACATTTAGATAGATAGATAGATAGATAGGTAGGTAGGTGGATAGATATATCGATAGAAATTATCATGTCAGTATACAGTATAAGTGAGAAGTTGTCAAGTTGTTGGCGGTTCCTGGTTCCTGCCTGCCATCAACCTTGCTCAGGCAAAAACAACTTCAGCTAGCAGAAGCTAACTTTCTCGTGATTTGTGTCACGAAATCCAGATAACCATTCTCACATTCACGATTGTACAGAATTGTACATAACCAATGGAAGTAACATGAAGTAGACATTTTTGGTGGGCAACAATTTTCAAGCCGACCCCTTGCCATATGAATTTCCGGTGGCCCAACGTCCCAAAGGCGGCTTTCCGCTGCGCCTGGTTTCAATGCTAAGGCAGCTTCGTATTGTCCCAAAGCACCTCAGAGGATCACCAAACTTCGCCGGCTGCCAGCTGCCACGATGAAATTGCCAACGTGAGCCCCATGGAGAATCCACCGCGGGGAGAAAACTCTTGGCAATTCAGTTTTCTAGAGGCCATCTCCAGGCAACTCAACAATTCCACAGTCAAAATCCTCAATACCCTCTGGTAATTTAACATGGCTATTGAAAATGGCCATAGAAATAGTGGATCTTCCCATTGATAGCATGGTGATTTTCCAGTTCGCTATGTTAGTTTACCAGAGGCTAATCCCAAGCTATTTGTGGGGGCCTCCCCTTCTGGACTCCAAAAATGACGGATGGTCCACCACATTCCACCGCTCGAGGCACCGTAAAGCCGGATGCCCAGGAGTAAGGCAGGCATGTCCGCTTCCACGGTCATGGACTTGAAAATCCTCCGTAGCGAACGTGCGAACGTGCAACGGGTCTAGGATGAACCATCCGAGGAAGCGGTGACTCTCTAAGGACTATGGGGACGCTGGCAAAAATTTGATGATCACCTGCTAGCCATTTTCCGATCGTTTCCTATCGCCATAAAAAAACGTTGGTTTTCCTCTGCATACCTCTGCAAAAATTGGGTCACTGAAAACAGCTTGTCCCAGATTCTCCATGCCCTCTTTCCACTTCTTGGCCCGCACCATTGCCTCAGGTGTTCAGGAGAAGGGCTGAATGATGTTGGATCTGCGATGCAAGTTGAGTGGGATTAATTTGGAAAATGTATATATATATGTAATTTATCACCACCACATCAGGTCCAATTGTTTGTCCAAAATTGCGGTATACTCCAATGCATGGCCGGTAAATAATGCAGAAAATGAGACTTTAAACATGTTCAAACCATTTCAAACCGTGGGAAGTTCTGTGTTTCCCAAATGTTTTGTCACGCAAACCCATACCTTTTTAGGTTGTAAAAGAAAGATATCCCCTCTTATAGTTATCATCAATCATCCGATAATCATACCATTTCTGGGTGGTTACCCTACCATGTTTGCCGTTAGAATGACGATTTTCGTTGGTTCTAACCGTTCTACCCCCCAAAATCAACAGATGGAGATGGATTGTGCCCCATTGACCAACCCGCCCCCGCGCCGTCATGGCCGCCGTATACGTCGACGCATCCGCACGGCAGCGCACGCTCTCCACGGCGGTGAAGAGGTCCAGGGCATGACGCCAGGCTGCGCCTGACATCTGGGCGGATGGTAACGGGGGGTTCAACCATCGAAGTATGGGGGATTGACCATCATATGGATGGTTTTAACCAATGGATTGGTTGAAGTTTGGGGGAAAATCGGAGGAACTGGGGCAAATTATATACATGGTGTCCGGTAGATTTCCCAGAAGAATGCTGGCAACATTTTTTTGTGACCACTATAAATAGTGAACAATATCGACCAATATTGGTTAAATCAAAAATATTATGAGTTCGCTATTGGTTAGCCAGTATAGGTGCAAGAAAATAGCAATTGATGGTTATCCCGACAATAAGTTGTGGATCTGGCCAAAATGTCAATATTATCAATGCAGGTGGTAATCAATACATATGTTGATTTGACGACCAATATATTGGTAGTATGTCATAAAGATCGCATTTTAATCTATCTTCATTCTTGATATCAAATTTATAGTGCTGATGCAGTTGATTGAAGTATTGTTCTACGGGGATACATAAACCTTAGTCAATGGAATAGTCAGTAAAGTACAGAGAAATACTCAAAAACAGAGAAATGCTCAAAACAACAGTGGCTACATGTATGAGTACACATTGATTGCCCTATTTTGATATATTGATTAATCATAAAGATGTTGTATGTAGAATTGTATATGGTAGGCTGTATTAGTGTGATACATCGGACATACTTGGCTATATGTTTGGGATAACTTATTTCGCTGGTTTCATAATGTGTCTTGGATGGGATAAGTTATCCTTGCCTAATGGAAATGTGTGTTGGTGGCTCATATCCCCCAGGGTGACTTACTTTGCATTTTGCCAACAAAAATGAGGAGTGTCAACCGCCAAAACCTGGGGTATACTCGGTATCTATATCCCGTTGTGGGTTTCAAACATTTTACCTGGAAATCGTGATATTTACTGTAATCGCCATGGAATGGGAACATAACAAATATACTACTGCTTCGTGGTGTCAAAAACCCTTTTTTGTAATCTAACCTAGCAATGTAAAAAAAAAAACTTTGTCAATGGATGTTCCATTGCTACAGAAAAGGTTTCATTACCAGAGGGTAGTTCCTTTGGGCTTCAACAAAAAGTTGAAGCTAACCTCTATGAAACCAGCAAATGGGTATCGTGCATCGTTGGTGGTCTGTTGGTCCCCTCCTGAAAAAGTCTTTCTTTTGGAAGGATGTACACATTAATTTATGTATGTATATATATATATATATTAACTATATATTTCCACACATAATACATGTACAAATTCTTATATATATATACATGTATACATTAACTATTTACACACATTAATACTACATTAACTATTATGAACTATGTCTATATATATATATTAATAATTAAATTGGTATAAATCCACATAAATACCCATACTGGTAACCTCACCTGATCCCAGACGCGGCTACGGCATCCAATGCGGCGCCTGCACAGGCCGCCCCCAGAGCCGCATTGTGGACCTTTGGAGAAGAGCTTCGGACGCCTGAACCGTTGGACATCGTTGGACATCGTTGGGCCCTTGGAGGATGACAGCGAAAAATGAGATGTGAACTTTTGGAAGGATTCACACCCAATGATTTTTTTTGGGTGTTCATATTGTTATATATATATATTGTCAATGGTTTGTGAATCCGGGTTCACACCGAACTTAAGCATGCTTGACACAAGAAAGAATGTGTGAAAGGATTTTTGAAGCCAACAACTCCACGTTTTTGGTGGTGAAATTGGAAATGCTCCACTGGAACATGTCAAGGATTCATGATAGCCGAGTTGGAAATGGGACAACAGGAATTCGCCCCACTCACCAACTTCCCCTGCCTGCAGCCTGATAGTCTTGGAACAGGTCCAAGGCCTTTTGCCACTGGCTATTCTTCTGGAGGACGCTGATGGCAATGCCTGGGCCAACTATCATGGAGATTTGAAAAATGGAGATCTTTCGTGGGAGTTGGTATAAAATCAAAACGGGATGGTGATTTAACCAACCGTTGGTTAAGACTTACCATTCGATTTGGCTATTGGACGATACATCCATTAGATTGGACGGATTGATAAATCAACTGACAAAACTGGCAGGGCAATTTTTTTGTTTCTATATGAATAAATGGAGCCTTTCAGAAAGGGGTCATGTCTGGACCATCCTAAATTTGGGTCGGGTGAATGTCTGATTAAAACGGATACGTTGAGTCTCCGAAAGATTGACCCATCCCATGCACCCTCTGGGCGCCGGAGATCCGGCCATGAAGATTCAGTAGCAACCTTTCAGCATTTGGAGTTATATATATATATATAAGACCAAATCATGGTATCTGGAACCTTGCTCACAAGCAACTGGGTCCTTGACAGGATCCTTGTGAAGTAGCAGAAATGGGCGCACGTTTTTTTCCCACGCTTCTCAGCTTCTGTGCTCGAGGAAACATGTGCCATGTTGAGAAACCCATGTTGCAGCATAGGCCTATTCAAGATATATGATTTTCATTTTTGCATGGATATGTCTGACTATACTATATAATATTTATAACCTGGATTGGGTATCATTCACTTCCTAACACTTTCCGGCCAAGTGTGGCCAATCTGCACAGCAATGGCATTGCACTGCAGACTGGACTCGCTGGCTCGCAGCCGCTGACCCTCAGCTGATATTATGAGAACCTCAGATGAACAAGCTGCTGACCCAAATTGATGAATTTCTGTCAAACCTGGTGCGATCAATCCAACATTCGAGCACCATCCTTAGAATTAAGATTGCAAACTCGCACTCTTTTCCGCTGGACTGGAAAGGCACTGCGGGTGCTTCTAGGATGGATTGGAAATCAACACCCCATCAAGCCGGCAAACTAGATTGAGCAGCACAGCATAGTGGGAGGCTGTGGCTCACCCCCAAATTGCATCCAGTTTTGGACTGGATGATTCGAATCACTCAGACTCCATTTTTTTCAGCCACTTCTGGATCACAAGGCTGTTCTTGGGACTGTGGTTCAGAATCCACCTGGGGATGAAGTATCAACAAGAATCAATGAAAATTTCCTTGGTTGGAAAACTATGAGGTAAAAGCTAAATAGGGAAAACTAGCAAGTTGGAACCAGACACTCCTTGCGTGCAGCATGGGCTTCCTGATACTTCACTTCTTTGGACTTTCCTTCCAATCGTGCCTTCGTCGAAGCTGCTGAAAACACCTCGAGGTGCAACATCGGAAGGATGGACAATGACAAGTATCTGACATTTTTAGTGGCATCGAAAGGTGTGACATATGTCTGACATTTATACTGACATCAAAAAATGACATATGTCTGACATTTATACTTACATCAAAGAAAGTAGTATGACATATGTCTGACATTTAAACTGATATCAAAAAGTATGACATATATCTGACATATAGTTTTGATTGCTCAAGGTTTGACAAATGTTTGACATATGTCTGACATATGTTGATGGCATCAAACAGCGTTACATAATATATAATGATGTGCAAAGGCGTGACATATGGCTGACATATATTATATTAATATTATAGTATATTATATATGGGTGACATCAAAGGTGTGGCATCAAAGGTGTTACATACGATACCTTCTACATGGTCAAAAAGGGTGACCTATAGTTATTTGATGTTATTTGATATGTTCTGATATTAGGTGCGACATATGTCAATGTGGCATCAAAAGGTGTGACCTGTGCTATATTCTATGACATCAAAACCCAAAAGAAAAGCACTTAACCCTCCAAACGCAGGAAACAATGTAAACCAGTTTAGTAATTGAGGAACCGCGTGAAGCTTCCTTGCAATGGCATCCTCATCGATCTTCTCAGGTTTCTTTTCAATCGCACTGTCTTCTCCCGTTGTCTTCCTCTTCTTTTGCTTTGGCTCCTTCTTTTGCTCTGGCTCCTTCTTTGGCTGTGCTGACTTCTTTGGCTGTGCTGACTTCTTTGGCTGTGTTGTCTTCTTCTTTGGCTGTGTTGTGCTCTTCTTTGGCTGTGCTGGTTTTGCCCCATTTTTTTTCACATGTGTCGTGTGTTCTGGGGCCTTCTTGTTTGCAGCATCCTTCTCCATCTCCTGGTTCTCCGGATCCTCTGTCTTGGGCACCTCTGGGACCTCTGCAGCTGTCGTTGTGTCAGTCTTCTTGTCAGTGTTCTGGGGTTCCTCAAGGTCCATCGCATCCATGTTGTTGTCACTTGTCTCCAGGGGCACTTTCGGGACCTCTGCAGCTGTCGTTGTGTCAGCCTGCTTGTCAGTCTCCTGCACCTCAAGGTCAATCATCCCTTCGATCTTTTTCTCACTTGTCTGCAGGGGCACTTTCGGGACCTCTGCAGCTGTTGCTGTGTCAGTCTCCAGGGGCACTTCCGGGGCCTTTTCGTGGGTCGTGTTGTTTTTGCTGCTGCCAAGAGCTGATTGGTTTCTTTCCTCCTGTCCAGCACCAGTGTTGTCCATGTATGGATCGACTTTGCACTGTTCAGCTGCCTGTTTCTTGGCCTTCTTGTCAGCATCTTTTTGAAAAACGGAGTCCAGAATTTTGGAGAACATGTCTAGCTCCTTGAGCTTCATCTCCTTCTTTGCTTTCTCTGTGCGTGCATTCTCTAAGACTTGCAGTGGGATCTCATAACCAGGTCGTGGCTTAACACCAAGGTCCTTCTGAATCGCCAGGCGGTCATTCTCAGAAATTGGGTCCTGCCAAGCAAACTGAAGGCACATACAAGAATTTGGGTCAAGTTTTTTTTGACAACTAGCCACATTTTTGCCAACTAAATTGCCAACATCCACTATTGAACGACTGAGAAAAATCCAAAGCTCAAGCCTGCTTGGCATAAGGATTGGTGTTCCGGCAAGGGGTCGCGACTGGCTGGTTGGTGTGCTTTTTGCCATCCTCCTGCAACTTCTCATTGTCCTTGGGCATGGGTGGCGGAAACATTTTCCAAACATAGTATAAAAGACAAGCCAAGTCAATGATGCAAGACAGATTTGCTAACGTGCACCCCCACATCATTTTGGTTCATAACATAGGAAAACATCAGAAAATTGAAGGTATGAAATCAATGCCAATGATATAAGGGTAAGTGTCGCATAAGGCATCAGGTCATTTATCCAATATTTTGTCGTCATACGTTGTCGAACATAATGTAAGTGATATGAAAGCCTTATGGTATCATGTGGTACTGTGGCTAAGGCCACTCCAGTTTGGAACCTTCCCAACCCAGTCCTCATGGCCGTTGCCTGGGAGAATGAAGGTCTTCTGGGAATCGCTATCATCCTGGAAAGTGTGTCACAAAAAATGGAAAGACTGACCCTCTGAGAAACCCGGAGCTGCTTGATTCAAAGACTGACAAACCCCAAGAGCAAATGGCAATAAAATCTTGGAGTCCTCGATGTGCTCACAATGTTGGCCTTCTGCCAGGCTTGCAACATCATGCAAGGACATGCATTTGACAGCAGCTGTGAAGTCTTCCATCTCTGTGTCTTCTGCGTCACCATCGCTTTTCTTTTTGCCCTTTTTGTCAGACTTGCGTCCCTTGCTATCCTTTTTGGTCTCCTTGGTCTTTCTTTGTGCCCGTTGGCCCTTTGACGCTGGTTTCTTTGTGGCACCCTTTGAAGGTGCTGTCGCTGCGTCCGGCTCTTCATCATCATCATCGTCAGACCCCTCGATGCCTCTGAACATAGCATCGGCAGAGTCTTCCTCATCTTCTCGCTTTTTCTTTGGCTTATCATCATCTTTGCCTTTCTTTGCTTGCTTGTCCTTCTTGTCCTTCTCCTTGTTCTTCTCCTTGTCCTTCGCCTTGTCCTTCTCCTTGTCCGTCTCCTTGTCCTTCTTTGCGCCCTTATCCTTGTTCTTCTGCTTGTTTGTCGTCTTCTCCTTCTTTTTGATCTTCGCATCATCCTTTTCTTTCTTGTCAGACCCGGTGGGGGAATCAGAAGAGCTGTTCAATGCCACACGCCCGAACTGCTGTGCTTGTGAAGCAGCACCGGCACCTCATCATACTGATTCCACTGCTGGGATCCAAAGATATAAAAGATAGAGACCAAACGTTTTCTTGGACTGAAAGTAAAAAACCTTGACCGTTCTTGCTGGTGCTACCCGGTGGCTGGAAGCTGCTGGCTGGGAAGGTCCTGGGGTAGTCCTAGTAGTACTTTGGCCAGACTGGTTCAAGAGCTCTGTGTAGTCAGCCACGCTGAACTTCCTTTCAAACCTAACGTTCCCTGCCTCCCCATGCGGCAAAGAATCTTCAGAGTCAGACACCGAAAAAGAGGCCATGATGGCCCAGAAACTCCCACTAGTTGACGAGAAAATGGCTGAAGTTAGATGGTGTGACTATCAAAATGATTTTCACAACAGTAACGGAAGTGCAATGAAGTGAATTTTAATTTGCCAACCTTTTTTTTGAACCCAGCCAAAATGCTGTCACCAGTTTGGTGAAGATTGCCCGTTGACAATTGGCAACAGGATTGCCAGCACAAGCGCACACTGCCATCTGACGTTTCAGTCAGTGTGGAATGTGGGGTGCTGCCAAAGACCCAAACTTTAAGCGGCCTGTAGAAGCAAACCCGTGTTGGATCCAAACAAAAAAATATCTATGAGTATGGTGGCATATAATGGCGAAAAGTACCGAAAAGTTATGTAATGTTGCTAATGTTTGGAATGTTTTTCTTGGTGGTCTTGGGTCCTATCAATTTTTGTCATTCGAATCCAGGGGCCACGCCATCCACAGACATGACACTTTGTGTGTCCTTTCACATCAAACGGTACATTTTCCCAACCTCGCACGACAAGCTCCCAGGAAGCACAGCGACAGGGCGGATCGGGACCAGCTCTTTGCTTCCCTCGCCACTAGATTGCAGCCTAAGTGCCAGATTTGGATTTGGGGAAAAGGTTAATGGGTCGGTTGATGATTGAATTGCATTGATATGATTTGATATACCAATACTATATCATAGTTCCTTTTTGGGTTCAGCACAACCAAAACTATTGCATTGTAAATGATAAGAACTCAACCTGCGGCATAATGGGGTTCCAACATTATGTAATGTGGTGAAAACATATAATATAAAATAATATAATATATAAGATAATCTTGGGTTACTGGAAATTTAGGCCCCAGGGAAAACCTTCATAATATTCCCCATTGTGCTGAAAAATGCAATGATGATTTCCAAAAAGGCAGGTATGCTAGCTTGGAGAGACACCCTTACCTCAATTGTGGGGAAACGCTAAAGATAGGCCAAAGCACTTGACACGCCAGCAGATCTTGAAATTGGCGCAATTCCTGACCTTTGCCATGTTGAGCCGGGCTCCGAATGTAGGAGCGGATCCCACCTGGTCAAATGTGATGTCAAAAATTGAAACCATATTGAATGCTGCTCGCAAAGTTTTATTTCCAAAACTCTGTAAGCTGATTTAATATATTATGAAGACCAGCCTTCTTCTTCAGAGTTTTTTCCTTTGGCGCATCGAGAACGAAGCAGCATGGTTTGACCTTTGCCACACCACGACCTTCCTGATCGATCGTGTGCAAGGCGATGCTCACACCGATCTCGCCAGCATTCTCCAGGGTGCGGAAGAGCTCCGCAATAGGCAGCACCTCGAGCTGCACGATTGGGAAGGATAAATTTGGGAATTGGGCCACAACACTTGGGACCGTAAAAGAATAGTGATTCCAAATTTTTGCAAAGCAAAAAGCATCTTGGAGAACCTTGTTGAACACGCTCAGGGCTTTGATGTGGTCCCCTAGTTTGCGATCAGCTTCAGCAATCACCAAGTCATCCATGGAAGTGATTCCGTAGGCCAACCAGCGCCCAGACTTGCTGCTGTCATTCATGATATCTGTAGCTTCCTGATCATTTTGATTTACGTTTTGGAAAAGGCCACAGACAACTTAAAATTTGGATTTGACCACTTAAATCAACCAAAGAGTCGTTGCTCAAAGCAAAATCACCAGAGCCGAACCCTCAGAGCTCTGTCAAAGCTGGAATCTCGACAGGTTGGTCGGGCTTGTCTGGGGAAATCCACAAAATCTCCTCTGTCTTGTCAAGGATGAGCTTGAAGCTGCCAGCAGCCAATGTCACCCTGGGAAGCTAGGCAAAGTGTAGCCATGGATCATTTTTGTTTTCAAACATAGGCTTCTCCATTGCGCATGTTTGCAACCAGTGTTTTTTGAAATGGGATGATCAACCATAAGTCATGTTGGATTTTAGAAACCCCCACAATATCCCCTCTTTGTTCTTATTGATTGGTTTTAGAATGTTTTAGACACCCACCATATCCCTTTTTTTACAGCACACAGCTTTAAAAATGGAACATCGTTCCTAGGACTATGATATTTTGTTGAAGGGGAAAAAAACCTACTGGCCAGTAACTTGACTAGTAACTTGTCCTCGATCATGGACTCTTCAGTCATTGGCACAGACTTCTCAACACGAAGTCGTTTGTGTCCTGGCCCTTCAGACTGGTCAGATTCAGCAGGGGCTTCTGCTCCTCGCTTCACGCCACGAGGATTGTAGCGGGCATTGTGTTCGCGGATCAGCCTCTCCTTGGGAGTCGTGGAGTGGCTTGGCATTGGCGCATGTAGTTTGACGGAAATGTGGGAAGGTCTTATCAATGTCTTTTATGAATTAGCAGGTGTCCGACAAGACTTATATAATATTATTAATTATTATATAATGTCCTTTTTTGCAATGGGGTTATGTTTTGACATGTCTATAGTTAGCACGGAGGCAAAATTTTTAAACAGTTTGAGTCAAAATGCTGCTTCATCTTTGTACCCTTCATTCTTGACCGTCCACAAGTCAATGAGGGCCGATTTGACGACAAGGCCCCCATCAGCCAATGGGGTGCAAACATCATACTTGGCCGGGCCATTGGGCCTTCCACTTTTTTTCAACTCCTCGATCACATCCAAAAAGTTGGGAAAACCAGGTATCCTGAGTTTTCCATCTCGGGCCATGGAGAAAATCTTGTTGTTGATGATCTCCCCCACAAAGGCGGCTTCATGGGCATGATGACAAATCGTTCCAGCAGCCCATTTGTTGCCCCGAGACACTTCATTCACAGTGGAGGCTGCAGGCCATCCATCGAACCCCATGAAGTCCACGATGATGTTGAAGTTGTCAGCAGGATCAGTCAAAGAGGTCACCATTTTCTCAACAACGCTGCTTCCAGCCAGGTGCTGTCAGGGAGCATGTTTCATGCCAGCTTTTCAAATTTTAGTTCTGACAGATAAATAATAAATCATATTATTGAAGGTATCATGCTTTGAATGATTCCTTGCAAAACTTCTCAGATATGAAAGTGGCAGTATCTTATTTCTGCATCGAAGAAAACCTTTCATGAAATCCCAAGGCAATTTGTGTGATGGGGGGACGGTATACCATATTTTGCGGAGAACAAATCTGAAAATATTTGGACCCATCTCACCTGTTTGAGCTCCTGGACGCGAGTCAGCTTGGCTTCCGAGGCAAATCCTCGACAGGAGCGCTCGACCTTCACCATCTCACTCCGAGGGACCATGGAGGCGCCTGAGACAACACCAGTGCGCCAGCCCTTCGATTTCCAAAAGACATTGTTCTTGTCAGAGGCTGTGATGAGTAGGCACTGGTGCCACCCAGTGCGGGATCCGTAGACTGTCGATTCATCAAACACCATGGTGCACGTTTTCACCTGCAGGGGGAGCCACATATGGTTAGAAAATGATAAAATTATGTGTTCCTACGGATCCTGAGGAAGTGTTTATTTGTAGCTTGTAGTTCGAGTACCTTCTAGGAAAATGGCTGGATCCATCTATGATATGTGTGGGCTAATAAGATTGTTTTTGAACATTATGTTTTGGAAATTCATTTTTTTGGAAGCAGGTTGCAACAAGTCAATATCAATCCTGATTTCTTGAGAAAAGGGTCAAGAGCATGAAAGGGTAGCAATGGAAAACAAATCCATCCCTAGCTACTGACGGATGGAATGCACTGACAACCTTCCAACCCTCAGGGAAAGCACGCAGGAAAAGGAAAAGCATACTGTCACAGCTAAGTTGCACGAAGCCCACGCTCAGATTCCAGGAAGTAGTTCTTGATCTTGTAGGTGAACTCATGGAGGACTGCCTCAGCTGAATCACCGTGTCTCTCTTCCTTTTCTTCGTCATCATCATCGAGGTGGCAGACATCAGCGGCTCCTACATTGTTATATGTCAACCATCTAAATTAAAAATATGGTTACAGGCACCCACAAAATGGTTTTCAAAGAAAAAGGAGTTGGATATCCTGTCCTGGGTCTCTCTCTTGATCATCATCATCGTCTTCCTCCTTCTTCTCCGACCTGATGATGTGTTGGTGTCAAGTGCTGGGAACTGCAAGAAAGGAAAATTCCACTCCAAAACCAAAGAACTTGTACAGGAAAAAATTGGAAAACTATGGAAAATGGAAAACATGATGCTATAACAAGGCACTTGGTTGGTGTCCTCAAGTCACCAGAGCGGTTGGGCAGCATCACAACAGCTATGAACGTTTTTGGGTTCGCATGGGCCATCTGTGTGATCGAGTTCGCAGTGAACTCGATCTTTGGGGCTGACAGCACTCCAGCTGTGACGTAGTTGCACCACCCAATCAGTCGTTCACTGTCGTTCCTCCTAAGACCCGCCCCAAAGCCTTGGGAAGTTTGCTCAATCCACGGACCAACTTTGGCAACAACGGCACCAAAGTTCGACTCTTTCTCGCCATCTGAGACAGGGTTCGGGTTGCCCACACAATCCCCCCCACACCTTTGACCCTCCGTATCCTTCTTTTTCTTAACCACTATATTGAACCAATTCAAAGTTGGATCCAAAATGGAACGCCCACAAGATATAGCATCGATCATCAAGAGAAACATAAAGACAAACCATAATAAACCTTCCCCATCAACCATAACAAACCATTGATGTAATTATGTTTTGACTTTGATTTCTCTAAATCTTATTGGCCTCCTATATTTATAGTGGGTTGCAATTGTGGATAATAATATATGTTGTCTTGTAGTAAATCTCATTACGCGCTAGAAGTCAAAAAGCCACACCTTGGCCCTTCTTTGACGCAGCATTCCACGTAGGAACCGTCTCCGTAGCGAAGCTTTGCACCAGCCCCCAAGCAGTGGAATGCATTTTCTGTCAGGGTATTGATGAATCTGAAAGTGAAGTGGAAGCAGAAACAAAATAAAAGGAAACAACATGAAACAACCAACATACATAACCACCCACCTCCAAAGATGTCAGGGCTGAACTGCGAGCTCGAGCTTCATCAGTCTTGGCAGCTTGTAGGTAGCGTTCATGTACCACTTGATCATTTTCTACTGATGTTCGGAACAGATTCCAAGCAGCCTGCAATGAGCTCTTTCGGGCATTGTTCACTGCATTCTGCGCATCAAGGATGTGATTCTCCTGCACACTCCCAGTAGCTTCAGCATAGAAAGCCAGCTTTGACAAGTCGAAGTTTGGGTCATTTCCCTTGATATGGGCACGAAGCTCTGAATCCAATGCCCTCAGCTTTTGGCAGGTGCTGGATGAGAAGATATCAGAAGCCGGATCTTGGCAGGCTATAGTGAGTAAGATCTGGGCATTAAACATCAAATGCGGTAAACATACATGGGTGAACACCATGGTACTTTGGCACGGGCAACAGTCAGCAATGAAAGGTGGTAAAAACCAGTCAATGTGTTGATCATTCTTTTCAGGGGCATCATTGCATACTGATATGGATTTGTCCCATCATGAAAACACCATCATCGGAGGACACCCGGAAAACCACAGCATTAATGGACCCATCAGTAAACCCACGACATTTCACAGGTTTGGAAAACCCATCATTTAGGAGATTGGTTTTCAAAAGAGCTAAACTAACTTTCCAGCCGGGGTGCCTAACAAGAACCTCCAACATATACCACATGCCAGGGTGGTCATGGGGATGTGTTGAAGTAGCTATTCATCACAGCATGCCAGGGGTATGGCTACACATGGTCTAATTTATTTAAACCGAAATGACATTGGGTTCGTATCATTGGGAACCATGTTTTCCTTGGCATGTGGCTCACATGGGGGATTCAATTTGCTAAATCTTTCTGATGGTTAAGACGTGACCCAACATGGCACCCAGTTAAGTTGGGGAAGTTAACATGTCTCCGATTTGATGTTTAAACGAAAAAGGACATTTTGCATTTGCCATCAAAAGTGACATAACATGAGAATCAAAAAGTTTGGTTTAAGATCCAGATACTTTCGAGCAATACTATAATGACAAATGAATGATTCTCAAAATGGAGGATGCTCGAAAGTGTTCACAATTAAACTGTTTGTTGAATTTTCGAGCATCCTCTATTTGAGAAATACCATTCCCCTTTCCCTTAGATTTGACAGCCATAACAAAATAGGTACTTGTCCCAATATTTGCCAGCCTGAGTAAAGCACGTTCTTAAGATTAAGAAATGGATTTATCTTGTTTCGATGATGAATATTCATTTTAAGATAGCTTGTAATTTTCCATCCAAATCTCCTGGTCAGTTCAAAAGTCCCATAGTCAATTTTCTATTCACAGGACTTCAGGCCCAAAGGGGGAATGAGAAACTATCACAAAACATGTCTCATAAATGGTATTGCCCATCCACAAAAAAAACAAAGTGTTTCATAGTTCCATCTACAATATTCCCTTGTTCTGGGTCAGCAAGTTGATTTACCAAAAGCTGCCGTTTGTGGAGTCCAGTCTCCTGGAATGTTGCATTTTTTTGCCAACTCTCTTGGAGTGTTGCGGATTTTTTTGCCAACTCTCTTGGAGTGTTGCGGTTTTTTTTGCCCACTCTCTTGGAGTGTTGCGGTTTTTTTTGCCCACTCTCTTGGGGTGTTGCGGTTTTTTTTTGCCCACTCTCTTGGAGTGTTGCGGTTTTTTCCCACTCTCTTGGAGTGTTGCGGTTTTTTTTGCCCACTCTCTTGGAGTGTTGCGGTTTTTTTTGCCCACTCTCTTGGAGTGTTGCGGTTTTTTTTGCCCACTCTCTTGGAGTGTTGCGTTTTTTTTGCCCACTCTCTTGGAGTGTTGCGTTTTTTTTTGCCAACTCTCTTAAAATGTTGCGGTTTTCAGCCATGAAGTAAAAGTGAACTGAGAGAAAGCACAACACTTTGGGCCATCCCCCAAATATGGTTGAGAGTCGTGCGGTTTTCAAAAACCACACTACGATTTGCTGGGTTTGAGGATGGTGGATATCCAAAACCAAATCCAAAATGTTTGGCCCAATGTTTCCCAAATCCAAAACCAAGGAAAAAGTAGTGCGGATTTTGAAAACCACACAACTTGATGGCTCTCGAGTGAGCCACCCAGGAGTGTTGTGGAATTTGCCCAGTTACTCCACCATTTTGCATCCAAGGCACCCGAGCTCCCACATCTCCCAAATCCTCTCGAGCACTGGGGAGTCTTTGCCGAGCTGGATTTCCATCTTTGGGCTCAACCAGCACATGAAGCAGGCCAGGGAGAACACATCCTGCAACCCTGGACCATCGCGCTGAGCCATTTTCTAGCAGGGTTTCACTTTGTTTCAAGCACCCCAAGTTTGAACCACTTTAAAAACAAAACAATATTTAAACTTCAGTCCTTCTGCTTGGAAGAGGCTGTCTTTGGGGCTTTGCGGTTGTAATCGGACATCACTCTCTTTGCCCACACCACCACTGCATCTTCATTCGATTCCTGCTTTATGGCAGGGAAGGGGCATTAAAACATATCATAATTGCCATAAAAAAAATACAATCCAAAGGACCCTTAAGGAACCTTAGGGATTTCTTGGCCCCAAAGTAATTGCATCCCAACTTTCCCTTGGATACAATTTTGGGGCAACTGAATGGATGTCCTGAATCTCCTTCCAGATGCCTTGGGCACCATCAGGAACACTCCCTGGGATGTAGTAATCGCCATCCAGATTCTCAATGCACATAGCTGTCAGGGAATGCTCAGTGAAGGTCTATCGCATTCAATGGGAATATAATGATATAAAATAAACATTTTGAACAGTTTTCACCCCAAAAGCCTGCAGCTTCCGGTTTGGTGAATTCGTACATGGCCCCCAGGATGTCCAACAACTTGGACGGGCATCTGAGCAAGTTGTAAGTCAATCGACGGACATCATCTTTCACTTTCCAGTTCTCAGGGTTTACAACTTGTAGGGAGGTAAAGACAGAAAATATAATATACTATTACTATATTGGAGCATAATCTGGAAAATATAATTTGTGGAGTTTGTAATGGAATTATTTCCCCACAGTCCTTCGTGGTGACTGTCTTGTTGTATTCTGCCACAGCTGTCCATACACGATCTCGAAGGCTCACATTGGGCGACTGAACCTTCTTGATCCTGGCAGCCTCTCGGAAGATAAGGACATAGTCCAAGCACGACGGTTTGACTTTCTCGGCTCTGCGGTTGGCAAGACCTGAGCTAGGCAAAGCTTGGAGAACAAGTTAAACTTTTAATCTGATTTGATGTCATTTTGATTCAAGTGAGTTTTGGACTCAGCGATTCATAGATGTACTGCTCTTCTTTGTTGTGTTTCTTGAAGTTGCACCGTATGTAGCGGAACGATGCCAACACAGCTGCAAAGTGAGGATCCTCTTCAATCTCAGTTTCCTTGATGTCCTTAGTTTTCTTTGCTCATGAACCATTGATTTACTGACATTTACTGACTACCACCCTGGGCCCTAGCTGTCATAATACCAATATTAATTCATCCAAAAGTCACACTGCTCGATCAATGCCATGATGGCCTGGATGATCAGCATCTTGTTCTGTCCATCGACGAACTGCACCGAAAAAGGTTCTATGGTCTCACTTTGCCCTGCGAAGCGAACATCGATCGGCTCCCTGCTCGCTTCATATCCATTCGAAAGGAAGGAATGGAAATGCGCCTTGAACTGCAAGTTCGTCGGCCATCGCCCTTTCTCTCCATATTTCGCTTTCTCAGAGAAATCGAAGCACCATGGGGATAGGTGAAACTCCTTCGATGCCACGGGAACTGACTGGAGAATGGGCTGGCCTTCCAGCAGCTTTTTGACACATGCCATGTTGAAAGTGTTGGACATGGCCTTAGATATGGACATTCAACAAGAACTAAAATGAAGTAAAAAATAAATGCAACATTGCCAATATGTCATTTGCATCGTAAGTGTCATTTGCCCAACAACTGTCACTTGAATCATACTGGAGATGCGCCAAGCCACACAGATAAAAGCCTTTTTGCCATCATCGGATCCAAGCTCATTCCACAACCAACGGCCCATGTTGTGGTGCGCGCACACCTGGGCCAACAATTTGATTGTTTACTTTTTGGCCACTCTGAAATTCTGAAAACATCTTGATTTTGAAACCTGTCTTCAATGTTTGCTTTCGCACCTCTTCCATCTTTGCTGTCAGCCTTTCCGAAATGGAACTTGCCTTGCCATCACCACCGAGGTCACTGGCCTGAGGCACAGGCGTGATGGGCAGCGACAGGAATTTGAAATTTAGGAAATTTGGTGTATGTTCATGAAATAAAAATACAAGATAATACAAGTAAATAGTGCCAACTAGGCACCATTTGGTCAGCCTCTTCATGTTTTATCTTGGTAAGGCTCCGGGCGGACATGTCAGCTATGCTGCAACGGCTTGCCAACTGATCCGAAAACACTGCAGCTGATGTATTAAAAAACATTGAAGATCTCTTATGATACAGGTTTTTTGGACAAGGAACGTTGATCCATAGGCTGCTGAATCATTTTTCACTATGCATGCCGGTGAAATCTGACAACCATTGTGTGCATGACATGGGGCGCTGGGTTTCCCAGAACAACACCCCCGCGCTGCACACCAAAGTTTGAATCCTCCAAGAAAGGTAGCTGGGGAGGCGGTTGCCTTTGAATTGCACAGTCACCTGCAAGTTGCAGCAAATAGTTGACGCCTCTCGCATATTGCTGGTAGTTCTGGTTCAGGTACTCAGCTATCTCTCGCAGAACCTCCTTGCGTTCATCTTCAAGACTGCAAACCAGACCTCAGATAAGACAGAAAAGATACTTGACAGCAAAAAATCATTTTGGAAGATTTTTGGGCAGCAACAAACTGTTGTTAATTCCAAAATCATATTCCAAGTAACTGTTCACTTCATTTCTTGCGACTTTGCAAAGTGCATCGAAAGTCTCTTGTGAGCAGGAGCCAGGCCACACAATCAGTGGCTCTTGACATAGATCATGATCACTCACATAGCCTTTGATCAGCAAAAAGATATCACCAGGTGACTCCATGTGGCGTCGTGGCAACTTGTTGCTGGCCCTGGCTTCCAAGTCGCTTGGCAGACCTGAGGAGGTGTGAGAGCAACTTGTCTTAAGTAGCAGGGCACCAGCCACAAACTAGGCAGTCAAGGGGCAATCTCGTCTCAGGAATGTGAAGGAATGAGGGATCTCCTTCTCATCTTTGTTGCGTTTTCGATAGGCCCCAGAAGTCGTGGCAAAGTTCGGCAAGTTGCCAGTCCAATCACGAACTGTAGTTATATAAGTGGCTTTGAAGAACAGGTTCCGCTTTTGGAAGTGCTCAGCCAGTTTCAGATTCAAGAACCTTGTCTGATTTTTTCAACATAGAACAGTTTGAATTCTGAGGGCATACCATGTGATATGTAATCATTTATTATGTTAGATTGCATCCAAGATGCGACACTAGATCCTGCGGGCATTGCCTTAGATAATGTGAGTCGTGATTCTTGGCCATGGGTTTGATTGTCACTGGAGGAGAAAGTAGTTGCTAAGTGATGGACACATCTTCATCTCCTTCTCTGATGATTCGGGATATCAATCCAAATAGCGCATCTTAGGTGCTGAGAAACAATTTGCTGGAATCAGAAAATGTGAAGTTGTTCCACAACAACTGCCATTGATTCTTTATAATTCTTCGTGATTCTTCAACGTTTTGACTACTAAGTTTCTAGCCCACGTCTTCGTGCGTGTGTCCAACGCAAAGATGTTCGTGGCCAATGCTATCGAAGCATTGGCTAACAGCCAATGCCGAGCAAAATCGGTCAAATAGGCTATTGCGAACTTCCTGCAGGGATTAGATGCTCCAAGATGTTGCAAGTCACTGATTAGATACATGCATCTTGGGGGAACTCTATATTTGAACACTGTTTGATTTTCAGGGATCCTTTCTGCAAACCAGGAATCTCATCTAAACATTTATTAACATTTTTCTCTGCCCTGTGCTCTGCTCCTTGGGTGTATTATCAGCAAAAAGCTTACAATGTCGTGGCCAGGTGTCCCCAAACTGTTGTGCTCTTTCTCAGCAGACTTGCAAGCTCTGGCAAAATACCTCTATGGTCCAATTTGATCCGAAGGAAAGATCCGGATCAGCTATGTAAACAAAAATGCCACGGCCATGCACAACACATGCTGTAAGCTCGCACTCCGGGCGAACCTTTTGCTCCAAAGCTTTTGGGACGATAGATTCACTGTACCTTGGTAATTTGAACTTTGATTTGTCCATCGAGTCCTGGATGGCCACGATCAAGTCCCGTTGGTGGGCTGCTCGATCCCTCAGCTGCCAATAAGCTCGCCTGTCAGCAAAGGTGCCACCCAAATGGCGCAAGTACATATCTGAAGCTGCTGCATGCTCCTGGAGGCTCTGTGCCTTCCTGATGCGGTTCTTCAACTTGTGGCATGTAGAGCATTGGGCATGGGTTGTCTTGCCTCTGTGCCGCAACTTCTTGCGCCACCCTGAAGCTTTCAACGTTCTAAAAAAAGAAGCTGCACTTGCAGCTGGTTCACTTGCAGCATGGCAAGCTGCAGTGTAAAGCCGGAACAGGTCGCTAAAACGCCCAGGTGGCAAGTATCTCCGGGGCAAATTTTTAGGCGATGCTTCCATCAACCCAGGGGCAGCGCACAGGGCAGAGTCAACCAATGCTTTCACCAAAGTTTCACGCCCATCTTCAGTTGTAAAATCCACTTTCCCAACTTCCAGCCTCTAGTGTTAGATTCTAGTAGGAGTAGGTTCCCCAAAATTGTATCCTTGAAACTTGGGTTCATCTTAAATAGTATTTGTGCGTGGAGACTAGTAAAAAAATTGGCCAACCCTCCAACCAACCAAAGTGCTCATGAGGAAGGGTCTCCGCAATGCTCCAATACGTATGCTGCAGAAATTGGAGCACAGAAGCTGCCGCTCGGCCACAACCAGCCCCAGCTCCTTAAATGTGATTTGGTTGCAACATATGTGACATGTTACAATTGAATTCATTTCACTGGGCAAAGAAGAAACTTGGGAAACACTTGGGGGGAATAAAACATAATATTTAGACATAATTTGCTGAGGAGTGTCCATATTTTCGGGCATCTTCCCCTCGGAAAGTTTGTTTGGTTCGAGCAAGCCTTGCCCGGCCAATGCCAAGTAACTGCAAAAAGGCTGCTCTACATACAGATATTCCTTCCAGGGGTGAGCTAAATAGGGAATGGTTGCAATGAAAGATGAACACGTGTAATTTGTGGAAACATGTGTCCTGTCCTTCTATGAACCATTTGGACCTTGAGGATCTTGAAGATGAACTGGAACTACTGCTGCCATTGGATCCACAGTTTTGTGCTTCGTCGTCATCAGATTCTTGGCAGTGATTGGCTTGCAAGCTCCAAAGCCTAGGGGCATCGTCGCATGAAAACATGGACAAATGGGACATGTTATTTTTTCTCATTTTCCCATGAAGACAAGCAACAAAGAGTCCTGGCCAGCTTTGCTCAGGCTCCAAAAAGCCAGGCAAAAGGTGAAAACCATCTTGAAAGTCAGGTTTTTCTTGCATCGGCTCTTGCAGCATGGTCTCTTGAGGGCGTGTGCAATACGATCCGGGTTTTTCCCATTTTCAGAAGCTTTGGAGTGGTCTCCTTCTTCCCCTGTATCCATGCAAAGAACTTGGTTCAAAGTAAGACTCCTCATGTTGTTCACAACAGCAACATCAGACTGCCTGTTCGAAGAAGAGCTCTCATCAGATTCACTTCTTGCAGAGCTGCTAGATTCATCGGAGCCATTTGAGTCATCAGAGTCAGACTCCGGCGCATCATAGCGCATCATGGGCTCAACAGCGTTTCTATTGGAATCTGTTCGAAGGTGTTTAAGCCTATCCTGTCATCCTATTTGGTGAGTTATCTTATATAGTATAAATTTCCTATCATGCAAATATTCATACCTTGCTATAAGTAAAACGAGACGCTGATGAATACATAATACAGCATAATATAATATATCATAATATATCTTTGACATGACTGTCAAACACAATGCAGGAAATCAATAAATATAAGAAGTTTCTGGTTTGAACTTTGAACTTTGAACTGATATGATGTTGCAGTTCCAAACTCCCATGTCTAAGGACTGCTTGAGATCACATAGTTTCACGACGACAACCTCTGGATGAGTGAGGGCTCAGAAGTACTGACTTGTGCCCTGCAGCTAGCATTTTTCAGACCTCAGCTTTGCAAACGGTACTCCATCGCTTGGTTGAATTTCTCCAAGCTGCACATTGACAGGGCACAAGCGTACGCCGCTGCAACAGACTTCACGTGGTAGGAGTTCCCACCCAAAGAATGCAGTTCCTGATATGCAAATCTGTTTTTTGAAAAACATATTATACAGGTTCATCGTGCTACCCCTCAATTACAGTAGGGGCAAATAATTGCAAATAAAATCCATCCAAGAAACTGCACTTGACAGGTGCGAGAGTCGGAGCTGGTGAACAGGGAAGCCTTGACACAATAGTTTTTCTATGCCTTCCAGGGTTTGTTTGTTTTCTGAGGCCATTGCATGCTGGAATTTATGAGAAGGAAACATTTGAACACACCAGGCCTGTTATATATCGTTTGTGCCTCATCGAAAAGAAAGTGCCATTTGGTGTAAGACACGGTATTGCATTACCATTTTTCGAAGCCATGCGCTTGATATTCTGGCTGGTGTTGATAAAATGGTACTCGTAGGACCCAGCTGTGTTGAAAATGTCCAGGGCGTGTTGAACACGTTGACAATGAACAAATGGGTGGCTCTCTGTCAAAGGCTTCAGGTTCGTTGGAGATACCTGCAGGGGAAAAAAATGCAGGAGTGTCTTTAAATAGGTTTTCCAAGTTTCCAGTTAGACTTGAAACTGAAACACTTGTTTTTGGCAAGTGAAGCCTTCAGTTCTTGCATCATTTCCCAATGCAATTTCAGCCACTTTGGGTGCTTCTCTTTGGGTTCCTCGGTCCAATCTAGATTGTATTTCTTACCAGTCTTCCCAGACCCAGCTCGCTTCAATCTTTCAATATCCTCCATCACCACCGGATGAGAATTCTCAAAGAGATAGTGGCCCCTCAGCAGGCAAGGCAAAACAAGTCCATTTGTTTCTTTGCAGGTTACCTTTTTTAAAGAGGATACATCCAACTAATCCCAGCTAAGGATCGGGTCTTGCTCTGCAAAAACCTCTAACCTCTTGTAGACTGTCTCTACAGCTTTTTCCAACTTGTCATTGCTGGTGATGTAGTCTTTGAGCACAGACCTTTCTTGAGAAACCAAAACAATCTAAATGCACAACAGGCCGTAAGCCAAAGCAAAATGACAGCAACAAACATAAATAAAAATCACCAAACAATACTGAACCAGTAACTGATGTTTATTCAAGAGGCTTGTGGACTAAGATGATGTATACACGTCTCCGAGAAAGTGCGTCCCCCAGTCGTCTTGGGTCGATCACCAGATAACACCATCTAAATGCAGTCAATTTGTCCAAGTACTTCTTTACCACATTGAACACCCGAAGCAATCCTAATACATTCTCTAATACGCATAGGAGAGGCTCGTTGGAGTACACAGTGCGAATTGTTTCACGAAAAATTTCTGCATCATCAGCTGCAAAAACGGGACTGAGACTCCGAGGTGTTCAATCATGAAAAAGGACGGCAGGGAAATCCACAGTCGTAACAGGCATTGTCCCGGGGAAGTCGGCCCCTGTCACGACCCAACATATTGCTGAACATCCTCAGGCTTTTTGACCATGGAAATAAAACAAGTTGAAACAGAAATCATCACACCCCCGACAAGAAAGAAGGTTTTGGCCCTGGTAATTTCAATAACTTTTGTCAAGTATCTCTCGAGCATTGGTATTTGCAAGGAGAAATTTCAGACCAGCTTGTCCTTTTTCAGTATGAGATATCATCCTGCATCGGTCCCCTGTAAGTTCTTTCAAAGCGAACCACGATCCACAGGCACCAGAGCCTCAAATAAACAACATGAATCAGAGCAGCAAAAATCAGCAAGATGTAATTTATTGATGTCTGTTTCCAACAAGACCCAACCAAAACAAAACAAAAGTATCACACAGAAATCAAAGTTTTTCAGGTTTTGATGCAAGGAACAGTCGGACATCAAACCAAGTGGTACGCTCAGCCCTGCTAGAAAGTCAATGATGCCTTATTTGCACAACGTTTGCAAAATCAATATGCCATGGATCCAATTGTATCATGGACCTTTGTCTATTGTGGGAAGGAACCAGTGTTCAAAAATACCAAACACTGCCAAAACCTTAACAGATCAAAACCAAGTTTCCTGCTTGATGTGCAAACCTCCGCCCCCAGCCAGAAACATGCCGTGCTTGGAGTTCAGAGATCTTGACATGAGGCGTCAAACCACCTGGCCTTAGGTGGCAAGGTTTGCAACTTGAAATCATGGACCTTTGTTTTCAGAATCCATACTAAAATCATTCAAGACAAAATCAAAAAACAGGTGTAAAAACCAGTAAGTCGAAACAAGAATCACTTCCCTTTGAGCCCGCTGGATTGTGTCAGCTGAAGAGGTTGTTGATACAGAGGATGTTGATACATCGCTGCTAACATCAGAGTCAGACTTGCTGCTCAAATCATCATCGCTGGTGCCATCATCATTGCGATCACTGCTGCTATCAACAGAGACCCTGCCAAAACCAGGTGACCTAGACCTAGACCTTCTGCTAGTTGAAGGCATGAGCCAAACACCTCCCCATCTTTTTCAGAAACAAGTAACGCATCGAATTGAAATAATGACCATCAAATTGCATCCCTTTGAACTTTTGTTGTAATGCAGACAGGCAGCTCAAACGGAATATAATCCATTGAAGAACAGCCTCAGACGCAGCAGGAAAAGCATGGTGACATAGACTGGAATCCACCATCATCACATCACAGTATTTTTTCTCTGTTTGCATCCATTGCAAATGGTCGCTGCCCTATGCTGCTAGCTGACAAACTTTGTTGACAGCCACAGATGTCTTCACTAAGTCATAAATCTTGGCCAAAATCGTTGACGGGGCTTGGTCACACCTGTCTCCATCGAGAATAATTCGGTGGACCTTGGACTTGAAGCTAACAGAATCTTTCCAAAAGAATTCAAAACTAACACCCCCAAATAAACAGACATAATAAATACAAAACATTGCTATCAACAACAAAAACTTTCAGTAAATGAATGACAGATACCCGGGTCAAAGTCTCACTTGCTAGGACCTCTCCTCCCTCCTTGCTGCTCACGATGTAGGATTGCATGGCCTCAACAGAACTCTAAAGCGAACAAAAAATCAAGAATTTGCCAAATCAAGAAAACTAAGAAAACTAAAGTCTGCAAAACAAAAAGGGAATGAATGAGGATGACAGCAAGGTACAATGTCAGTGCATGGGTGTGGCAAAAGAACTGCTCGTGGTTCCTCATTCTTCTGCTTCTCATTTTCCTCCTCCTCCTCATTCTCGTGCAAATCATCATGATCATCAGCTCCTTCATGAAGTTCTTCATCAGGTCCATCAGGTCTATCCGATCCTGCATCAAATAGTTCACCTTCAGGCTGTGTCTCGCATGCAGTGTCATTGTCATCTTTCAGATTGCAAATATCAGACTCAGGGTCACTTCCACATTCATCTTGGCTCCTTCGGTAACCTTCAGGGGTTGGCAAGCTGTGGCAAAACTCTTGAAACACACTAAAAACAACAACAAACAAAAACTTGTGTTTCTTTGTCGCAAACTAGTGCCTGGAACTATGATTCTGTCAGCCCGGGCTGGTCGCAGCGGTCGTGGTGTGTCTCCTTCTGGTGACGGAGGTCGAGGAAAAGAAGGTGGCTGTTGCTCTTCACCAGTCAGTGTAGGTGGTTGATTGGTAGTGGTCACATCTGGTAGCTCATCCTTCTTTGTAGCGGCACCGCTGGGCTTCTCGACTTTCATTCGTTTCGAAGGACCTGCAAAAGTTATTTTATGGTAACTAGTGAAAAATGACAAACTGTTTTCACAAATGACTAAGCCGCAATGGGACAAAAAAACAGTACAAGATAATACAGGCATGGCAAGATGCCTGGTGCAAGAAGTCTGTCTGGACGGTCATATCTCACAGGGGTGGCACTCCTTTCTCGCTTGCATGTATCACTCAGCTGTGGCAACTGTTTGATATTGTAATCTTTGAACTTTTCAATCATCTTCGGAGTGGGGGCCAAGACAAGTCGCCTCGGTTTGACTAGCTGATTTCAATAATAATAAATGTGTAGGTTTGCTGGTAGATTTCATAGGAACCTATTTCGACAGGTGGGAAAAAAAAACATTGAACCAAACTTGAAAGCGAAGAACGTTGTAATCACAGCTGAGTGAATTGGCAACCCCTGCGGCGTGCAGAGATCCTTGTCCGCACTTGCGAAAGAAATCCTGGGAGAGGCAGGCAGCAGCTTTGTCCCCAAACAAATCTTGGTGTTGAAGCAGTTTGTGGGTTGGAAAAAAAAAGTGCTTAAACTATATCCAAGACTCTGAACTGATCGCTTCACATCAATCTTTATGTTTGATGGGTGCTCGGCACCATCCATGGATTGTGGCATCCTATATGCCATCTTGAGCCGCTAGGCTATGTAGAGGCCAAGATGTTTTCTCATGCATCCTTTCCCACTCCCCTAACCACAACCTTGTGGAGCCAAGAAACTGATATTCGATCCATATCACTGTGGGTGCCATTGTCCACCTGGATTGGGAATAGGCAATTGAATGATTTCAGAATAAGATCTCAAATCTCCAACATCTAAAATTTTAAATAGGTGGAAACATAAAACCTGTTAATTTGAGTCCAGCTGCTAGGGGCTGCCAAATAGGTCCATGGGGCGATGAGACACACTGCAAATTTGAGCCAAACTTAGAGACCTGATTGCATTTGATTAAAGACCCATATACAACGAGAAGCTCTTATATATATATACCCTCTGGTTATTTAACATAGCCATGGAAAATTGCGCATTTATAGATGATGTTCCCATTGGAACCTCCATTTATAAGGGATTTTCCATGGCTATGTTAAATAACCCGAGGGTATATATATTGTACTACACAATAGCCTGAGTTCTTTTACCCTCCAGTAAACGTTTACATGTGGAAAACCTACTAGACTTGTTGATCTTTTTTTTAAAGGGAAACCATGGGTGTTCCATATCTACTTTTACCACATGAGTGCTGAAGCTAACCACAAGTGGAATGGCCACTGATTTTGACCCAGCCACTATATGCTGCTCCACTTGGCCGTTTCTGCAAGGAAAGTAGAGCCTGGCAATGTGCGAGCCGGGGCCTTTCGAGCTTTGGAACATATTTCTGAGGTTAGATCGAAAAAATCACAACCAATTTGCCACCAATTCCTTGCTTGACAGTGAAGAATCGTCCAAATCACAACTCAGTAACTATACGATGACGCACTGAGGATCCCCCATCCATAGGAAATCAGCTCACGCCTGCTCCACCGAGCCTTTTGCCCTTCGCATGGACGTGGCCGTCGCATTCCGTAGCGCATCGTTGCCATGGCCGCTGGCGTTGTCACTGGGGATGTTTTTCCCCCCAAGCTTGAAGATGAAACATAGCTGAAACCGCGAGTTCCGTGAACCAGTCAGGGTGTGCGTAAGCCTTTTTCAAAATGGAGATGGGGATTGCTCACCTCTGCGGTATTTCGAGGGGTTTTGTCCGCCTGAGCTTCACATGGCGAGTGTTCCAGCATGGCAATGCTTTCAACAGTCACACTTCCAGCAAACTCCGATGGTCAATTGAGAATGCCCTAAGTTCAACGAGAAGACATGAAAACACTCCGTTTGAGAATGAAAATAGTTGGCCCAAAAAATGTACTGCTTTTGAAGCATCTATTCCTACTTGACAGCTGATGCCGGGCTCAAAAAAATCGGAGGTTGTCGTCACATCCTCTCGAACATCCATATGTTTCTGGCTCAATTTGTTTGACCTTTGAAATTGCCTGGATTGGTACGCACCAAAATGGCCAGTTACTTTTTCGGGGCTGCAACTGGTACAATACAGTTGTGATCATGATTTACGTACACTGATTGTTCAAGCACTGTATGAATCGCTACCCTCTGGTAATTTAACATAGCTATGGAAAATCACCATTTTCAATGGGAAAATCCACTATAAATGGCCATTTTCAATAGCTATGTTAAATTACCAGAGGGTAACGCATACGAAATTTGGCTGCGTGGCATTTCTTGGCCACGGAATATCCCTTGCTCAAATGATATGCAAGTAGATCATTAAGTCCCAAATCCCTGGCCTCGTTCCAGCCATCTCTTTCCAAGTCCACATATATAATATGTATAGATACATATATATATATTATATATATATGTTATATATATAAGAGAGAGAGAGAGTATAGCTTGAAATCTCCAAAAAAAAATAAATGGTAAGCAACCAACAAAAAGGCTTGGTCTTTTCTCCAAGCGACGCTATGATGTGCCCGCTCCCATGATGTGCCCCCCATTTTGAGGTCCTCCAAGTTATGCATCACGCTAGCCTCACCGTGGAACATATGTGGGATTCTTGGGTAAACATGTGCCACCCTCAGTACAGGTCTCCTGAGGGCTGGGCTCCCCATCATGGTTCCTTTAGCTGTTTATACCCCACTCACTTTATATTGATATATCTATATCAATGTAGAAAATATGATGTGTATATGTATATAATGTATAGATATTATATATCTAATATATAGATATATTGTATATTGTATATAGATATGTATATATATATATGTGTGTGTGCATTTATTGAAAAGCTCAAAGCCCCACTGTTGCTCAATATCTACGGCCACCCCACCTTTCGGAGACAATACCTGGGGGAGCCAGACCAACTAATGGGGGAGTGACTCTCCAAGGCAACAAACGTCGGGCGATGAAGATCACGAAAACTTGAATATATATCTGACGTTAATGATATAATGCAAGATAGAGATATACTGTAATATATAGATATATCTGATAACATTGTTAATGATATACTGTAAGATAGAGATTTATCAACATTAGTGATAATCATGAAAGAGATCTGATGCAACATGATGTGCTTTTTCATGATAGAATGAAGAAAATCGATGAAAATCGAGGATAGAATCAACAGGAGGTCACGATGTGCATCCTGTTTGGGGGGGCCTTCTCATTCTCGTTCCTATCCCAAGGTCGCCCTCACGGGGATTGCTGTTACCACCACTTGACATGCTGAAGTCCTAGCTCCCCCAAGGCCTAGCGGGCCTCTCCTTCAAAGGCCACAAGGTGGTAATCACTAGGTACAACTCCTATTTTCGTTTCGTGATGCGAAACTCACCGTTTTCCGTTTTCCAACCTCAACTGGACAGTTTTTTGGAAGTCAAGATGCTCCACCACCTCTGCGAAAAGAAATGCAAAGATGCTCAAACTCACTTCGTTCCTGCTGGGGCCGAAGATTCCCTGAGGATCTATAGGATTGCTAGCGATTAATAGTGCAGTAACTTCATGCAACAAATGGGGAGAGTGGTCGGTAGCTTTTTTTAGGTCAAAACCAGCTGGTCGTTTTTTTGGTTTCAAACCATCCCCAACAGATATAGTCAATTCCGGTTCATTGTACCCAATGTGACAGAAATCACGAGGATGTGTATCTCATGCTCATAACCGCATGAATGTTGGATGCACATGGATGTTGCAAAAAGGCCAAAAATGATATCCTAAAAAACCTATGCATGTTCGAACCAAAAACAATTCAATAAGGAAATTTCAGTGTCCAATCAATGGACATACCCTTTCTAAGAATGCGGAAACCTTCGGGCAAATGCAGCACTTGAGCTGGCATGTGGTTTCCTTTGTCTAAATACCCATTCAAGTTCAAATATGTGTGTCAAACCAAGTCTTCCGTGACAACGGGAGAACCCTCTAATTATCAATTGGCAAATTTCAGATTTGGATATGGCTCCAAAAATTGGGCAATTGCCGCTTGTCATTTCACATTTGGCCATGTTCGTACAGAGAGACCCAAAGTAAAAGGGAAAATCCAAGCTGATCTTGAGCCATACCCAGTTACTTTCCAATGTCCAGGCTGTTCGAACTACTTCCAAATATTCAACAGCCCAAGAAGGAACCCAAAGTGGAGCCAATGCGCGCCAATGCGCACGCTTTCGAAGGTACTGGATATTTGGAGATATGGCCATTTTTGAATGTCATCTTTTCATGCCGAAATTGGCGCGAAAATGACTTGAACTAACATACTTATTCTATGCTTTTTTCCGGTATGTTTCCGTACGTTCTTCCAAAAATCTTCGTATTTCTTGGGGCAAAAAACGTCAGCCTGGTCTTCTGTAAGGGCCGGTCGTAGTTGTTGAGCGCCCTCGGCCGCCTCCGGGGCTTCGGTGTCCATGATGGGTCAAGTGACCTATGAAATGACCATATTTTGGGGAATTATCATCCATTGATTCACCAGCTATAGCAGCTATAGGCTACCAAATGGTACCAGATGTACCAGGCTTTTGATTGGAACCCACATGTTGATTGTTCGCTGAAACTGTGCAAAAATCATTCGAGATTCCTGGTGAAGTTATGGTGCATCCAGGTCCCAACATTCAGATTCAGTCGTGGATGTCTGGGAAAAATGTGCAGATCTGCAGCAAATCCCCAAGGTGTTACGGGGCTGCAAAAAAAAAACTCCTTGGGAATGGTGACTATGCTATTCTACCTCAGAATTATCCTATAGTTAACATTGATTAACCATAATCATGATAAATTTATCTCAAAATCATCCTGATTGTCCCGAATTTTCTTGTTGATGGCATTGGGTTTACCATGGTTTACCATGTCTTGGTAGAACTCCCCTATATCTTTGAGCCATAGCCCATAGCATCGCCTCTCCATGAGAACGATGGGAAGTTGTCACTTTAGGCACCTGATCAAGGGGCGAGATCGTTGAGCCATTTTGTCTTCACTTGGGGCTTATGGAGAATCTACACATGTGTGTTTACACATATCCATGACTACATACGAATTCCATACCTTTAAATGTGTTTTGTTTTTACACCATACCAACTAGGGATCTTTGGAAGAGCAATCAATGTGATAGTTCTCATCCCGACTGGGAACGGTTTGACTCATCATCGTCACCCCAAGTCATGACGCTTCCCGGCAATTCAACAGGGAAAACAGTGACAATCTGATGGAATTTAAGGCGCCCCACTGACACAGCCCTATCAGAATATAGCTGCCCCAAATGCACGGAATGCAACTACTTTAGATGGACCTTCCGCAGCTAAAGCAATGCCTTGCATTACATGTTCAAATGGTGGGATGCACGTCCGTATTTTCTGGACTGTCACAAAACATTGGGTACAGAATCACATGGTCGATGATGCTGCTCTGAATTAAATCATGATTTGAGGGCGTCCGGTGTTTGGGCAAACCCAAATCGACTTTCAATCCGTAAAATCTCCATGTGTTGAAAAATCCATGATCAGCCCTCGAAAAATTGATGGTTCAATCCCTACTTTTTTCGGTTTCCCCTACTGGATCTACCAGAATCAACGAGAGGCCCCTGCATTCCCTCAAGACGCCTCCTCGCATGACTCACGCGCGCGGCGAAAATGAACGCGTGGCGCGACGCTTTCAGCGCGACTAAAGGGGTCTGTAGTTGTGATCAAAGGTTCAAACCCAACTGTTTAGGCACTTTGATATACCTTGATGCATTGCATGAATCATTATTATCTGTATATATTGGTATCATAGACATACATTTACTATTTTATATATATAGTGCTACTATTATCATGTTGATATTACCCAGTGGTTTGCCAATGAATACGATTGAAGTTCGTGGGTAAATCACAAGGGAGTCTGTGTGGGTTTCAGGGTTTCACATCTCTGTGACTCATTGGTTGGAGGATTTTGCAACCAGCCATGGAGACTTGCATGTAATATGTCTATGTAATCAATGGCCATGCAACAGGAACTTAAATTGGAGGTACCTACCATATATAACCTTAAATTGGAGGCCCTATGTAAGGGAATATCCCTACGAAATATGGCCTTATATGCTACAGTACCTCTATTTTAGGATCCTGAAATTCCCATTGATGTAATGTATGTACAAGGGCCTATTGTGATTGGTGGCCAATTTGCCAATGACCAGCCTGGCAAGCTGTGTTGGGCGAATCAATCAGTGCACCTCTCGGTAATAATTCAATATAATTCATGTGCTCAATCAATGCTGTTCTTTTCGTTTCTGTTGCTTGATGGCCTTGGCTCCGAAGGAGCCGCAGGTGACAGTCCAGATTGGTGGTTCTTAACTATGGAGAGATGAAGTTAAGAAAAAATGAACCAATCGTTCTTAGCTATGAGTCTCGAATAAGGCTGTTGGCTATCAATGGATAATCCATTGTCAACCCATTGTTATGATCCCCCTGTTGGCTATCCATGGGTTACTCGGAGGCTCGAACTTTGTAACCGCAAATCACGTATCAGGTCATGTGTTTAGCCTCTACAAAATTGAAAAAGGGGACCCATCATAGAATGTAAACCTTACAAAGCTCGAGCCGGTCGCTCTATGACAGGTGTTTTTTAACAACATAAGGCTTTACAAACTTAGGATTCATTTACCCTCTGGTAATTTAACATAGCTATTGAAAATGGCCATTTATAGTGGATTTTCCCATTAAAAATTGTGATTTTCCATAGTTATGTTAGTTTACCAGAGGGTATGTTGCAAAAAAGATGCCAAATTAGCATCAGGACTTGAAGCTCAAAAACCCAAAAATCCCATCGTTTTTGAGCTTTGTAAAGCCCACGTGGTTTCACAACATTTGCACATCTTTTTCAAGGTATCCCAACCTCACCGCCAGCGGGCAGCATACATGCTTTTGTCTCTTTTATGCGTTTGCACCCCAAGTTTTGGGTTTGAAATTGTTTCTGTACAACTCGCATCAGCTCATCTCTCACGTGTTTGCCTCACTTTTCTTTTCCTTTGGCTCATCATCTTTCTCCTTAGGTTCTTGTGCAGCCACATCTGCAAACTCACCGTCATGGACAAGCCGCAACCATGCCTTCCTGACTGCACTGATTGTCCCCATCGGTCTCCAAATCGGCTCGCAGAATGTCAAAAACAAAAACCGTCATCATAATTCATCAAATATCATCAGATCTCAGAAACAATCACAAACATTGAACAGATTTCATAAATGTTCATAAGATATCCAATCATAGTCACAAAAAATGTCAAACACATCAGAGTATTCAACTCATTCCCCCGATATTCTCTGAACTTCTCTGATCCTTGTTGTGAACAAAAACATAAAAAAATATGTCATTGTCTAGATGAGATATTGGATGGTTGTTGGTTATGAAACCCATATCCTCCCCATGAAAGGAAGAGATCCTCCGTTGATTCTGAAGCAAGCGGCATGGATGTAGACTGGTGCGACGCCAGGTGAAGTTCTGAAACCTCACGAAACAACCAAAGAAATTAAAGCCAGATATTCTAAATGGATCATCATCCCAACTATTGGGGGAAAATCAAAAATGTTCCAAACCACCAACCAGTAAAGCCAGATATCCAATTGATATCCCATGCCCTGTCGTTTAACGGATCAATCCACCATTCTTGATCCCCTTAGCAGGGCCTGGTTATCGGCGGACATCTCGATCAGCCCAGAGTTTCAGCAGCGCAGCTCTCCCTGGCTGAACGGTTTCACCTGCGGAAGCAGATTGCTGGAAGGGTTCCTAACTTTTTCACCATCAATCCATGCGATGATCAATGGAGTACCACAATTTTTGCGGGGTTAAAATCTGATGTAGTTGAAAAAACACTTGCGATCACTTCTCTGTACCCTCCAGTAACTGACATGGAGTTGAAATGCTCCTATCCAAGTTACAAAGACTTGATGGTAAAGCTTGAGCGACAAAAAGAGCCAAAGTTGCTTCCCAAACATTCTGCATCTCAGCATTCATGTGGTTTCACCCAGACTTCCGCAAAAAGATGGATAAGTCTATGCGAAATCACCATCCAATAAAATAGAGAAATCAGGCATAATCAGGCAGTTCAACTTTTCATATTATGTTTTTGCTCTTCTTGGTTTCGCCAAAAAAATGCTCCTGAAATCAACACGGCCCTTTCCGGCTACGCCATGCTGTGCCTCTGCGACACCTGCAGAGAAATCAGCAGGTTTGTTCAGGGCCCCCAACAAATCAATCCCCAAAAAGAAAAATATCCAAACAGTACCCTCTGGCTATTTAACATAGCCATGGGAAATGGCCCATAGAAATAGATGGTTTACCTATTGAAAATGGTGATTTTCCATGGCTATGTTAAATAACCAGAGGGTAGATCATAGAAAATATTCAGATCCCAATTATCTGACCCATATACAGTAGTAGATTAAAGCCCAACAGTAGATCATGTTCTACAGATACGGTCAGAATAAAACTTAGCAGCCTTCAAAACCCACAGCATCATTTCATGAAATACTGGCTGGTTAAGAAGGGGATTCATTGGTGATAACCCCCGAACTAAGCATCAACCAACAGGGGGTTTGAACGCTGCTCAAATGGTTAAAAAGAATATCAAACATTCTAATCGTCGAAACCTGCTGTTTCGTTGAGAAAAATAGATCTGAGATCGTTCGAAACCAATTGATATCACCCAAGATTCCATGGATCACTAGATCCACTAGATCCAATTGGTACCCTCTGGTAATGACTAACATAGCGAACTGGAAAATCACCATGCTTTTAATGGGAAAATCCACTATTTCAATGGTGATTTTCAATAGCTATGTTAGTCATTACCAGAGGGTATCCAATACAGTAGATTCTGAAACCAATTGGTATCACCCAAGTCACCGGGTAAGAAACCATCGACCACAAGGGACCTCGACCACACCGTGCCCAAATGGACACAGAACGGCAGTGATGGAGGTATCATTCTCATTGCTTTTACCCTCTGGGAATGACTAACATAGCTATTGAAAATGACTATTTATAGTGGATTTTCCCATGAAAAATGGTGATTTTCCATAGTTATGTTAGTTTACCAGAGGGTACCTGATGATACCAAAATTCAGCTTAGTAAGTGAGCAATTTAAGTTCGTATGCCCACTACGTCATTCGGGTTTTACTCCATGAATGAAACGTGTTCCCACTAAAAATCCAGAAATCCACTGTAAAAAAACTGCACTCTCACAGCGTGCAGAAGGAACTTGGGAATGCCGGGGAGGCACAGCAGAGTTTCCAGCTTCTGAGGTGATATGCCGCCCAATGAAATACAGGATGAAACCACCTGCCCAGAAATCTGGGCAAATTATATAGTGACTATAGTGATGGTGATGAGTATATTAATTTGCCAAATTTCACCAGCCTGGTTTTTGTTGAAGAATTTGGACCACTTTGAGTTCTAGCATTAACGCTGTTTGTACTCCTGCGTGGGTATCAACCCATATTTTGGTACCCAAAATCTGTGGCCCCCATAGGTACTGACCACTGGTGAGATGGCAGCTGCACCTTGAGTTTGCAAAGGGAAATACAGCGTTGCCTCGGCAAAAATCTGGCAGCAATGCTGGCATCTCGATGTCATGGGCATATCAAAACTGAAATTTGAATCAGTCTGCAGACCAAAGAATAATGGGTGTGGTAAACTCAACATAGACCGTAAAATTTTGGGAATGGTTTCTAGTTTCTACCAGCCATTTTGTGATTGGGGATTGTTATTTTTGGCTTTACCACAAGAATCTATGCTGTTCATTGAGAATTTCAAGCCATGGGGAGCTTGATTGCCACTAACAGCCAGATGTGGAAAAGCCATGCTTTCCCTAGGGAAATGATCTACAGATGGTGGGGTTCCACATCAATGCCCATGTGAGCGGTGCCCATTTCACCTTCTGTGATCCCCAGCACTGCTGGCTGCTAGGGCTTCCAATAGTGGATTCAATTGGATTCCTCATTAAATAAGTTGGTGCAAGCCCAAACAAGAGCATCAACCAATGAGGGTCAAATGGGGTATCAATACACCCACAAAAGGCGAGTCATGTTTGGGATTTGAAAACATCCAGCTTCAAAAAGATAGACGTTCTCTTGGTGAGCTGGTTGCCCTGGGTAACCCCTGCAAATTTTCCGCAGCTTCAGAAGCATCACCTCAATCGCGGCAGGAAACCATCATGCTTGTGCTTGTGCTTCAAACAAATTAGATGTCTCTTGAGATCATTAGTCTGAAAATAGGGTACCCCAAAATGTGATGGTGAATCAACATGTTCGCTATCAAGTTGCCATAAATTAGGGTATATATAATCCATATAGACTCATAGAAAATCATTGAAAATCATAAAATCCCCTGAAATTCCCATGTTCGCTGAAAACTTCGTTCCAAGGAACCACCACCCGCGCAAATCCAACATAGGCAGCTCATAGAGCCGCGCATGGGCTCGTAAGTGGCACCCTGCAGAGTTCACCGCAAAGCTGTGGAAACATGCTAGGAAAAATATCATGTGATTAAAACATACCATTAATGGATTATCTACTATATTTAGTGGATATTTCATGATATACCATTCATACGTTCATGGTAGATATACCATTAATGTGGATAAGACAATGTCATAAACCATGACTGGGAATGGTAAACATACCACCTACAAACATGGTGATTTGGAAGATGGTTTATGGCATTGTTTTCACCACGTTAATGAAATAGGGGGTTCACAGCCAGCAATAGATAAACACCGGGATACTTGATGGGATAACTTAACCAAATTGGTTTGATATTTGCAAATGGGATGAAATATCCGCAACGGTGTCATCAAACATGGCTGGCTTGGAAATCGCCGAACTAAATGGCGGTTGTAACTAGGCGGGTATGGGAAAATTAAGAAAATTGGGAAGGAAATTTAGGCCATATGATGAGATATGGTGAAATATGAGAAAGAAACGTGACGATTGAATTGGCAAGGAATGTGGAATCAGCAAAAATCGGGATTGAACAAAATCTGGTGATGAAATGTTCGTGGAAGGTCCTGGCTATTAGATTGGGGGTACATCATTTCTGTTCCGTATCAAAATTAACCCACAAAAATAAAGATGTGCAGCAACCAACAAGAATGGAGGTTTGACCAGAAAAAATGAAGATGTCGCTGACAAACATTGGGTTGCAGTTTCAACCAACAAAATTTGGTGGGTCCACACCCGGATCTGGCTTTTCCATAAATGGACAAAAAGTGGAAACGAAATAACATTGTCCAAATTATGATTGTATTGGAAAAGCCAAATGGTCCCACATGTTCCATAAATACAAAATAATCATACTGGGGATCACATGGTGTTTTGCTCCCCAAATTCTTCACTGCATCCTACCTTTTAGCTAGCCAAACCACACACTTTGAGTGCCTTGAGTCATAACTTGTTGCTTGGTTGTCTTGTCTCTCTAAGTTTGCTGATTTTGCGTGGTTCTTATTCCTGTAAAGGTTCCATCACCCGTTTTTTGGGGCACTGAAACTCCATGTTTTGAGTAAGCCTCGAACTTACCACCAGTTTAGTAGCCTCCTGCAATCAAATATGGTTTGCTGGAAAATATCCCATTTATAGATGATTTTCCCACTCAAACTCAAGTCTTCATTTATATAGTTCTTGCATGTCCCACTGCTACATTTGAGGACACCGGAAGGTAATTCCCTTCTTCCAAATCCATTATTATTTTCTAATGAATCCATAGTTTTCATGGTTAGTTAGTACCACCAGCTTATCAATATTATTTTTTATCCTATTTATAGATGATTTTCCCAGCTATAAACCTCCATGTATCATGGATTTCCCATTGCTACGTGTGATTGCCAGAGGGTAATGATGTTACTTTTCTATACTTTTCTATCTTTGACAGTGTTGCTACATCCAATTTTGGAGTGTCGAAGGCCCTAGTCCCACCCTGTCTCCTGGGTTCCAAAGAAGGCCGCACCAAGGAAATCTGGGTCGGCATACAGCTCCTTCGGACAGGGATCCAAATTTCGTCTGAAAATACCGTTTGGGAAAACTTCCCAAAATACCATTGAAATAAAAAAAATGGTAAAAAATGGATTTTGGTGGTTGTTCCCTAACTGTTCAGAAATTGTTTTTTTTCTAGTTCTCCTGGAAGCATCATTGGAAATGGCTAGCCACTGAAGATCTTCGAGGTTCTTTTTGAACAAGATCAGGTGGTTTGTCCGAAACTTCCTTGAAAGAACTACGTCAACTGCACATTTGTTGGTCAATCTCCTAAATATTTGTTCAACAAGATATAACAAAATCTAACATGGCAGGTAGCTATCCCCAAACTTTAAGGATGGCAAATCTCCAATGTTTGGTGCTTGGGATCCCCATGTTTCTTGCTTCAGGTTGGTTGAGCTGGCATCCAGTGAAGTAAATGGGTCACAACACATGTCCAATTCCAATTGGTTAGAGGAACAACCATCCATGTACAAAATTGTACAAAGGTCAGGGATCATCCAAGAACAGTGGGAACAGTGGGATGGGACTTGCCCTGAGTGCTATTGGCTCCTCTGACCCTTCACAGGCTTCCACAATGCCAGCGTGACTGGCATATTCCTTGGCTGGGCCGGCCGCCGCCATGCAGCTATTCGTCCGGTGGGAATGGTGTTGCGACCAGCAAAGGGTTGAGGTGAAGTAACGCCTTTTTTTCATTGGTTGATTGGAAGGGATCGCCCCCAAAATCTCGGATTTGATCATCATTGATTCTTGAATCATCATGTGGGGATGGGTCAAAACCTTGTACCCCCAGTGAACCCCAAAATAGTTGGTAAATTGATGTTCATCCCACTAAAAATGTATCTATAGGTATTGACCCATACCCATGTAAAAAAACACTTTTGTGGGTCTCCACCATCCGCAACGCCTAGCTTCATTGGTGGATGCAGCCACCTTGACCTGCATGCCAAGGCATTGGTGGAGGGGAGAAGAAGTTGAATGCTGAAACTGCCCAGTAATATGACTCATGGGTGTGGGTCACACTACTGTACTGGGATGTAATATGTAATATGGCACACTAATGATTACAATAATATTGCCTGGGGTATGGATCACCATCAGAAGCAATCCTCATCTCATTTCCAAACAACGGGGCGCGCCTTGGGTGCGCAGTGCACGGGCCATGGAAACGGCTGTCCCAGCGCCAAGCACGCAGCTGCCAGGGGGAGGAAGATCCCCGTGACTGCCTGGAGGGCAGCTGTCCCCGTGGTTGCCATGGGAATTGATGCGTGAATTAACGGACAAAAATGTAGTTATTTGATGGGATATCATGGGATATTTGATAAAATATAACATGATATAATTCATCAATTTGATATGAAGTGAGAAAAATGGCGACGAGTCAAAGTTTAAGGCCCAACCACAGATGTTTCATCGTATTTTAGCAGTACTCATTCTTGACTCAGACCCGTTGCCAGGGTGACTAAGATGGTCATTCAACTCGGACAACGGATTTGAAAAAACACTGGCTGATTAATAGTGATTGAAACCATGGTCATGAACAAACTGGGCTGTGTCTGTATTAGAGACGCTTGGTGTTTTCGCGTGGGCACCAAGAAGATGTGACATGATTGAAAATGTTTCTTGCAAAAGGTGCTTTACGTGCATGTATGCATGCGCAAGCTAGGGCGTACAACCCGATATGCAAAATTGCCTGAGGGGACGGCGACTTCTTCCATGATATTCTTGATGGTATACCGGCTGCGATCCTCGCAAAAGAATGCCGGCGCCCCACGTTGAAAGTGAAAACTCCTTGGGCAGGTCAAGTGGCTAAGTGTTGCCGGATTGGTGCCAGCGCGGCGGCAATCAGCACTGCAGGGCTGAAGTAACGTGACATATGAGCGCCCAACTGCTCAAGACCTTTTCAACGGGCAGCCAATCAAGGCTTTGATTCAAGCGCTTGGCTGCTTCATCCTGGCAACACGGCAGAAGCACCCACTAGCCCCGTCAAAAAGACCACATTTTTTTGCTGCGGGCGAGAAAAGTGCAAGAGAGAAACATAGAAACAGCATGTCGCCTTGTGCTGCTGAGCGGCAGAACGCGTAGTGTGCAGCGCACTGCCATCCCACTGAAAACATTAATAACAAAAATAAAAAAAACTCGATTTCAAACTTGATTAAATCCCTTAATAGCTAGAATATTGCCAAAAACTGGATTTCGAAGCTTCCCCCTAATATTCCAATAAGAAGCTTAATGATTAAAAAAACTTGTGAGATGGGACCCTAATAAAAAAACCTCCAGGTGGCAATCTATTTTTATTAATAGGGGGTTGAACCCATTGTTTCACCATCCTGTTCTCCTATTGACTCTCAATTACCACAATTAAGAATCCAACTGTGCCCAACCAAAAAAAACGGAAGTACCACACCAATCCTGTTTTTTATTTGGTGAAGCTTTAGCAATAGGAAAAAGGGATTACTTGCACGTAGTTGCACGTGGGCGTGCGCAGACCGCTGCCGAGGCCTGTGCCGCCATCTTCCAGAGCTGCTCCAATAGAGCCGTCCGCTTTGTGTGAATGCAATAACGCGCCTGCCGCGCGTTGACCAGCTTCCACCAGTTTGAATGTGGGTGCCGCCTTGAAAACCATTTGCACGAGATTTTATCTGAGTCAATTGAGTTGAATTGCAGCTGCCCTGGCACAGTAGAGGTTAGTCATCTCTATTGTTTCCACTGCATTAATTTCCTTCGGCTTCGATCGGGAAAATCCCTGCGCTCCTTGAATTAATGCATCCAAATTTCCGTCCTGTACACGCGATCGGAGATTTGGAACGTTAGCCAAGCGATGGAACAAGACACCGTCAACTTCGTCCAGTGCCATATGTTCCAAAGGATCCGCAAGGCCATTCAGGCACCTGGGGTGAAACATGCGGTCACGGATGATGTGACCGGCAGCGGCCGACAAGGTGACTTGATTCAAAGGAAGCCAATCCTTGCCTAGTGGGATTCGGGGCAAGAGGGCGTGCAGTGCATGGTGCGGTCTTGCGGGCACGCCTTATATTTCAAATGATGTCCGGATCTTCTGAGTGGAGCGTGGTGACTGGATGGTCAACCCTGCCTCTGTCAACAGCCGGCGCCCTCAGCTGAACACGGATGGGCGTACAGGGCATCGATTTGGCGAATGCTCCTTTCTTGGGATTTTGATATGGGCTTCGAACGCGCATGTATGGCGAGAGCGAGACAAAAAGAAAGAGATGCCCAGAGAATAAGCGATGTTTCTGCATGGGGCACCGCGCTGAGGAAGCACCCCGCCGTTGTCGAAACCTGCCACGTTGCTCGCACAAGCACAGCTTTGATTCTACACCCAGTAACCGGAAGATCACGGGCTAGACGGTAGCTCCACAAGAAGGCAAAGTACATAGCATTGACGCCGTTACTAGGTTTATATTTATATTGGACTGGATGACACTGCATACATGAATAATAAGGTAGAAAGGAAATGATGCGATTTCTCCAGGGACGCACAGACGCATGAGTGGATGAATGGACAGACAGACATGTAGAAGCAATGCAACGAGGTAATCACATGATGCAGCGCTGCCTTGCAGTCGTCAAATCGCACAGCTGCAACCCACAAACAACGAAAGAAGATGCCTTCAAACGGGGAAATGGCATGTCATTTGGTTTCAGAACAAGAAACAGGAGCGCCCGCAACGAAACATGCCAGTGCTCGAAACGGTGATCTCCGTTGGTGGTGAACAAAACGATGAAAAGACAAGAGTTTGGAACGTGCGTGACAACAACATGGGGCCATGAAGGCTTCCATTTCCTGGGGTCGCTATATTGCATCGAAGCATTCAATGCTATCTCGTGCAAGTTTCCTGCGGGAAAGTTAAATTTGAGCCCCCGATGTCGGCAGAACAAGGAATCCCCGAGGCAGGAATCCCTGAGGCAGCCGCCTGCTAGTAGAGTTGGTGCCCAGTCACGTCTGACCCGTTGGTTAGGCATGCGCTATAGCACCCTGTCATGTTCCGGATTGCCCGAGTTCCGGGCACAGAGGGGGAGCAGCCCGATCCGCCGTGATCATTTTTCGCATCATCCTTGCAGTTCGTGTGTTGAACCCCTGCTACAGGTGAAAAAGAAGAGTGGAGTACCATGGCCGCAGCATGCCAACACACCTTAACCGGTGAAATGGATGCTGCATCCTCCTGCTCCAGCGCCAGTCGCAAAAGGGGAAAAGTTGTTAGGATTACCGGCGTAATGCTAAAAGTGAGTGCCTGCATGTTTTATAATCATACAAGGCTGTACTCACTTGGGCTGAGTGAAACGCAGGCCGGCAAATAACAGCACAAGCAAACGCCGCGCCGTCTCCACATTGCTGGTTGCGGTGGCCACGCTGGACCTGCACAGTTGCTACGCATGCAACAAGAACATAGAGGCAAACCAGCAGGAGAATAGAAACACGTAACAAGTTCCAGATTGCCCGAGTCCCGGGCACAGATGGGGTGCGATTGGAGCCACCGTGATCATCGCTTGCTTCATCCTAGCAGTTTGGTTGTTTACCCCCTCCTACAGGTATAAAAATAGAGAGCAGGACACTGTGAGAGTGCGCTTTTTCATTCTTTCTTCAAAAATGTAATCAATTGTTGAAGTTTAAACTACAAATGAAGATGTGTTGATGTCCACTAGAGAGTATGTTTTGCTTGAAGAAGTGTCCAGGTGTTCACTCCACCTTGGATAAATGCTACAGTGTCCCTTTAACTAAACACAATGTCTGCAGCATATGCTAGATGCTGCTAGATATCTTCAACATACAGTAGCTGCAACATTCCCATACCTGCCAACAAATGCAATATGCAAAAAAGAAATGCAGCATACCGCTCTTAATAAGTGTAATCTTCCTTTGGAGCAATGCAGTGTGTTTTTGCCAGAACAATATCCCCACAAAATATGAAGCATTCCTTTAGAAGATACACCATGCCCTTTTCAGCAGTGCAGTGTGCATTCCCACATGTCTCCTTTCAAAGGAGCAGTGTCCCTTTTAGAAAAGGCAATATGTCTGCACTACATGCAGTAATTTTGACATAGAGCATCCCTCCCAAAAGTTCAATATGATTGAACATGTGAGCATTATCAAAGAATGAAGACTCTTCGCGTCTTACAACATGGTCCTGTATGGCAACTCAATCTTCTTATGAAGAAGCAGCATTGTTGGAAAACTGGATGACTCAGCTGCTTGTCCCCTTGATGAGCCCAGCCTTCATTTAAAGAAATGTGTTCAGTGCTATCCAACGATAATGTATTTGTTTAATCAAATATCTCACTCATGTTAAGGGGATGTTGCACAAAATAAGACAACATATTCTTCAAGGACGACTATACCCTTTCAAGAGAGTGCTGCATGCCTACAATATACTATCATATGTTATTATATATATATATATATATATGTTCAAGCAATGTTTGTCTTAGGACTCAAAGATGCACATTCTTCAAATTATAATACTTTCCAGGGGAGAGCTGCCTACATCAAAGGGTGTTATTCTCAGGATGTGTGTCGCTGTCTTCGAAGAATATCACATGATGTATTCAAAGAAACAATGTACAAATTAAAGAACATATTTGACATGCTAATAATGTGGGTAAAACAATGTCATAAATCATCCCCCAAATCATTATAAATAGGTGGTATGTTTCCCATTCCCAGTCATGGGATTATCACATGACATCCTAGAAAATCGCGAAAGCTTAGAGGAACCCATCTGCTGATAGGAAAGTTGATCTGACGTATGAATCATAGCTGATTTGTGGTTGATACTGCGAGGAATGAAAGCACCTAAAGTTTCTAAAGGACACCCCACATTCTATCAATATGTTTCAATATGTTTAAGACCGGCGGTAATTGCCTTTCCTCTTTTTTGATTGTCTTAGCAAAAAAAGGCAGGTTAATTCAAGAAGTTAAGAGCGTCGCATCAAAGGTGTGCTGGAAGTTACTTGAAGGTAGGCGCGTAGCATCAAGAGTGTGTCGGACGTTACTTGAAGAAGTTGAGAGTGTAGTGTCAGTTGCATCCGCAAGTCAACATAAACGTTATTGCCCCAGACCATTCCTCCCCAACCTCACCCAAGCAAAAAGAGTCAATTTTCCCCGCGTCGTTAAGATGTCCTTTCTGCCTTTGATGGTCAATAAAATATGCATCCGTTTTCTAAGCCAATAGTCCTGAGAACAATGCCCCTTTTCTAAGTGAGTCAAATACACAACAAATATGGTACATTACAGCTAGATTCTGTAATATACCTATATCCGCTACAATCTCTGTATGTGTTTTTATAATTATATATAGTATATATATATAAATAGTATATATATATATATATGAATAAGTATATATATATATGAATAAGTATATATATATATCATGTTGATATTATATTGTGTGCTGTTCATATTCCATGATATATCTCACTATGTTTATACTATGCACACAACGTATAGATCTTGCCATACGTCGCTACGTCGCGATACGTCGCCTCCACCCCACAGGGGCACTCAGCCCCACCGAGGCGTAAGTTCAGCTCGATGGGCATCACCTCCTTCAAAACGCCCGAGCCGCGGATAGGGTGAAAATTGGGTTACCCTCCATGAAATTATGTCTATATGTAAATAGTAAATATATATATATATATTATGTAAAAATATATATAGATATAGATATATAGACATATAGATATATAGATACATGGATATATAGATATATAGAGTAATTAGTACATAATCTATATATATATATGTAGATATGTATAGATAGATGGTCCACTTCGGAAAAATAATATATAATAAGTAAACAACCTCAAGCTATCGCTATTGGGTAATAATCTACAACTGGTCCATTTGTTTGGTGATTTTGTTTCATAAGTAAATTATCTAGATACCCTGCGGTGTCCTCAAGCATGGTAATGGAAAGTCCCCTGGAAAATGGAGCTTTTAATGAGAATCTAAGAAAGATAAGTATATAAATCATATGTACATAAATGAAATGATCTATAAGTACATCATCTGTAAATGGACCACTTTCAGTGGCTATCTAAACGTTTACGGCTAACCATTGAAGATGGCTTAACAGGTGGATTTGATCCCAAAGTGGATTGCGCCCGTGTACAATGGATATCACAATGATATTGACTAAGATCTTATTGCTGGTGAAATAGAAAACAACGAACATAACTCCACGGATAATCCATTGTTAACAAGTGATATGTTCAGCAACAAATATCATATTCGTCAAGTCAAAGCCCAGTTTGGTGAATTCTGCTGTTTCTACCAGGGATGGAAGAGCCTAATCTGAAGACATTTGAAAAACCGCCCACATGTAACCTCTAAAATCCTCTAAATAAAAGAATGGTCAATAGAAATCCACCCAAAAGATATGTGACCGCTTCACCACGTTTCCCAGCCTTGCTTTCAGGGTTGATCAAGGCCTGTCAGGATGGCATGGGTCTTATGGGTCCAAAAATCCATCACTTGATTTCAGCCCCCAATGGTCTTCCAATGTTGCCAAAACAGGCTTCTTCATACTTCCTCTGTAAACCTCACCTTTTTGGCGGGTTAGAATTACCTGCTTGACCACCAACAAAATGTCTTCAAACCCTTGAAAAACAGCAAAAAAAATGAATTTGGTTGAAAAATCCAGAGGATATTCTCAACCCGCATCTCCCCAGGCCTCAAAGTGGAAGGCGGAATGCAGCCCAGGACACGCTAGGACCTGGCCATTCTGTGGATTCCCCATCCAGCCAAGCCACACCTTAAACTGTGCCCAGTGTGCCCAGCCCGTTTTCATCATGGCAATATTTCAATGGAAAATCCAATGAAAAAAAACACCACAACTGGTCAACTGGTGGTGGTGGTTTTAACCAATCTTGAAAAATCATGGAGTGAAAGTCAATGGGAAGGATGACAATGATGACATCCCATATATATATATTATGGAAAATAAAATTCATGTTCCAAACCACCAACCAGAGAAAAATTTGGGGTCCCGATGGCCCCATGGGTCCGCCATGGGACCATGGGACCATGGTGTCCAGGACTGCCGAGTCGCGACTTTGCGTGTGAGTTCCCGCAGCAGTTCCACGAGGTCTTTGGGCAGCTGGGATGGATACCTCGTAGCGAACTGGAAGCGGCTACGCCATGGGTGATGAAGCCATGGATGATTTATGACTTACCGAACTCAAAAAGCGGTGATGTTCCATGGATTTCCATAGCTATGTTAAATTACCGGGCAAAATGGGCAGTTTGCCAAGAATAAAAACTGTGTGGTAAACTTGATCCAGTTTAGCTTTTTCAATGGTTTCTTGATGGTTCTGACCAACTGCTTGTGGCAAACTTGGAGATGGTTGATTTATTGATGGCTTCGCCACACTAGATACCCTCTGGTAAACGTTTACATTACTATGGAAAATCACCATTTTGAATGGGTAAATCCACTATAAATGGGCCATGTTCAATAGCTATAGATGTTTTTGGAAATCGAACATGGCCGAAGTATGCCCACATGGAAAATTTGTGTTGAAGCCGTCTACAACTTGGGGATTCTCCATTGCCACCATAGGCTTGGGGATTCTCCAAATCCCAACACTGAATTAGAAGTAGTACCCTCTGGTAATGACCAACATAGCTATTGAAAATGGCCCAGTCGAAATAGTGGATTTACCCAGCTGGAAAATGGTGTTGATTTTCCGTAGTTTACCAGGCCGGGTATCATTGGTACAACCAAACCTCGCCCCTTGTGGTCGATATCACACGCTACGCCGCTGAACCCAGGTGAACCATTCGAACGACATCATGAAGGAAACTGCACCAATTGGAACTGAGTGCACAGATGCACTGATGAAACAGCCGCAAATGCATGCAACATATGAAACTACAGATATTACATGTTGATCATGAAAGATGCATATGCATCTTAAGTGTTTGTTCCAGATGCTATTGATCTGGGTTTGTCTGAAAATGTGGTACCACCCCACATTCCAAAGGACTATCATCATGTTTCCTATGTAAAGGGTCATGTTGAAAATACATACTTCGTTTTCAGACACCCAAATGTCATATCAAGATACTTGGTTAGATCCCATCCAATATGCCCGTTTGTATATTTATGCAATATCCCATTAATTATTACTGCTCACAAACCTCCATGTTTTGCTGCGTAAGTCCCTTCCACTGGCCATTCACCTCTCCAAGAACCATCAATGGAAAAAAATGGAGGTTTGAATCGCCATGTCTGGTTGGTGGTTTTTCGCCCTACCCCTCTGAAAAATGATGGAGTGAGTTCGTCAGTTGGGATGATGAAATTCCCAACTGTTTCTGGAAAGTGAAAAAAAACCATGGTTCCAGTCACCACCAACCCGATGTTTGTTGGAATTCCCATGTGTTAAATCCCCACGGCCACAAAACAGCCATCGAACCATCGAACTCCAAGGCACACGCCACCTGTCTCACAGCAGGCATGGCTTAGCACGGCCTTGTTGTCCGACACCAACATCCATTCCACGTCCCCATCCTGGCGAATGCCAAGAACCATGAAGAACCATGGCACTGAGCATGAAATGTCGTGAAATCCGAGAACATCATGCTGCTCTTCTCCAGCTTTTTCATCATGGTTTTCACTGTTCAGTGGCTTCTGGAACTCTAAGCCCTGAAAAACGTTGGATTCATATTTGTCAGAACCCTGCTTGCTTGGACACTCGCACTTCCAAGAGCCAACACGATTGGTATATTGTATTCCCCTGGTTTCTACCTAAAAATCTCTCATGAAGCTACACTTCATCTATACAGGTCTTCCAAGGTTTCAGATACCCATGCTTTGTTGGTGTATATCCCAGTTTCTCTCTTTGAGATACCCATATTTCACAAATTATTCTCTAAACTTAACACTTGTGAAATCCCTATATTTGCTCGTGAAAAATCTCATTTTAGCTGGTGGATTGCCCCCAATAAAAATATATAAAAATCGCATGGTCCTTTGGTCCTTGGTCCTTGGCCCAGCCATCCACATCCACTTCCAGACCGCTGAACCACTCTTCCAGGATCCAGCCGGCACTCACATCATCCTGCTGGTGAGAACTGGTTTCATGGCGTGGTTGCTTAACCATGCTTTACCCACAAAAATGGAGCTTGTAGCTGGGTAAAGCCATAAAATATCCATAGCTGGGTAAAGCCAATAGCTGGGTGCCTGGGATTTACCTACAAAGCCAAAGCCACCGGCGTTTTTGAGCCGTAAAAATCAGATGTTAAGCTGCAAAAATCATGCCTTAATTCAGAAAGATCTGAACTGAATCCACAAACTCCACAAACATCAAAAAGCGGATGGCAGAACAACCTTCTAATGGCTAGGAGGAAATCAACCACGGTCTGTTTTTACCAATAAACAGGACTGCTCCCAACACCCTAAATCCGCCCACACCGCTTTGGCGGTGAAGGCGTGCTTATTGGGGGGCAACAGCAACACTAAATGCTTAATGACATTTGTTAATATAGCAGTCGCTATATCAGTTTTAGCTGGGGGGGGGCCCAAAAACGGTTTCGCACCGAGACCAGAATACGGTGGTGTTTTCGACATTTTTCGAGGATTTTTGGGTGTTTGAGCGCAAGAGGGTATTGAAATGGAATTTTGGGTCATTTTGGCAGCTTTCCGGCAATGGAAAAACGGCCAAAAATGAAAAAAACATTGTACATAGCCAGATTTTGCAGGGTTTTTGGATGCCAGAGCATTGAAAACACTGCAAAAACAAGTGTTTTGGACTGACGTTATAGCAAAAAACGTGTAAATTACCGTATGCTTGACTGGAAACATTACAAAAAACACTGTCAAAAGCAATGTTTTGGAAGGATCTACTGCCTTTATGGCAAAAAACGTGTAAATTACCGTCTGTTTGACTGGAAACATTGGAAAAACACTGTCAAAAACAATGTTTTGGAAGGATTTCTTATATATATGTTGGAGTTGGCTACCGGCATTGGCACATGGAAAAATTGAAGAAAACACTGTAAATAGCGGTATTTTCAACGGTTGGGGAGATAGGGGAATTGGAAGCATTGTCGAACATGATGTTTTCGACCGGTTTTATGGCGACAAAAGTGTAAAGTACCGTGCTTTGAAGGAAACCATTGCAAAAACATGGAAACACATTCAAAGAACACGGGATTTGGGGGACTATCTAGGCGTCGTTGTCTAGCTATTTGAAATTCCGCAGCTTGGAGAGCCTCCAAGGGAGGGAAAAGTGAAAATTCCATAGCTTGGGAAGCTGTCACGGCGGGGAAAGTGAAAATTCCCTAGCTTGGGAAGCCCCCACGGGGGGGAAAAGTGAAAATTCCCTAGCTTGGGGAGCCCCCACGGGGGGGAAAAGTGAAAATTCCCTAGCTTGGGGAGCCCCCACGGCGAGGAAAGTGAAAATTCCCTAGCTTGGGGAGCCCCCACGGGGGGGAAAAGTGAAAATTCCCTAGCTTGGGGAGCCCCCACGGGGGGGAAAAGTGAAAATTCCCTAGCTTGGGGAGCCCCCACGGGGGGGGAAAGTGAAAATTCTTAGCTTGGGGAGCCCCCACGGGGGGAAACCACCCTTAGCCCCTCTCACGGACGGAAATAAACCTGCGGTGTGGGCGGCCACCCCACGCGAAGCGGGGTGAATACTAGGGGGATACATACATATATATATATATATATAAACTGGCTAAATAAAGATCTAAAATCATCCATTAACCTCCCTTCTGGCTATTACCTACAAATGGTTTGAGCAAGCATGATAAATGTATTGTATCCGCAGCTTTTTTGGTCAACTGGTGGGTTGGGATGCAGACCATTCAGGAAATTCCAATTTTTTAGACATCCCGCTATATAATTCATAAAACCAACACATAAAAACGAGAATTGTGCACAAAGCCACTGCTTTCCCTCACACTCGGGTGGCTCCTGGGGTGTTTTCTTCTCGCTGCGGAACCGCTCCTCAGATGACCAGGCATCCAACCGGGGGGGTTGTTGAACAAAACTGGGAAATCCATCCCATAACTGGGGATTTGTCTGATGTAACCAACATGTCTGAAATTTCTGATTCTCATGTTGGATGGGACTCACCAAAGTGGGGCTTCAGGGTCTCGCTGGAAATGGGTCTCTCCAAGATTGTCTCAGAAGAATCCATCAAAATCATTCAAAATGCTTGGAAGTAGGGAACCCAATTGAGGGATTGCATCAGCTGGATGGATTCCTCAAGCGATGCTGATGTAGTGCCAGGCAGGCACGACCGAATCATGCTGTTGGCATGGAAAAACCTTGGGATTTCACACCATTTCGAATCAAGGAATATTCCCCATGACATGCAGAAACACTGGAGCTTCTGTGTTAGCAAAACCTTTTTTTTGTTTTCTCGAAATGAAATTTGGATGTTAAAGTCCAACAAGTCTGAAAATGGCAACTATAGGCTTCCCCCAATACCTGCCTCATTTGCCGAAAGACCGAGAAATTTCTCTCTACCAATTTCTCTATCGATGAACATATTGTCTTATCTAATCTAGTTCAATCCAATCCAATCTGATCGACCGATCTATCGATTCATCAATTCATATACGTACGTCTATAATTTCTATTCGGTGCATATATATATAATATATATAATATCTATCTATCTATCTATCTATCTATCTATCTATCTATCTATCTATCTATCTATCTATCTATATAATATCTATATATCTATATATTATATTATATTATATTATATTATAGTATATTATATTATATTATATTATATTATATTATATATGCATAATATATATATATATATTATCTATATATTATATAGTGTACATATATATCCTGTATTTATCCATCGCTACAACTCAGCTCCCCAAGGCTAGGCGACATCCAAGGCATCGAAAATCTCCAGGAGCTCGTCTTTGGACTCCACTTTTCGGCAGTAGTAACTCCCTGCACCTCGCGGAGCAGCTCGCGGTTTTGCAGTCCGCTGCATATGTGGGGTTTACCGCCAGAAACCTACCATTTGCAGATGGTTTGTTTATACGACTTCATGGTGATTTTGGGGATGGTTTATTGATGTTTATTAGTTGGGTTTACCACAATTACCACAGATTTCCCTCCAGAATGGGGTTTAGCCTCTTGTGCCCTTGCTTCGGAACGGATCTGGAGCAGCCTCGAACTACAGGCTGTCCCCCGAGTCGCGACCCCTCTGGCCTCGTGCAGGTTTCAAGATCAAGGGATATCTCCACTCCTTCTCCAAAGCCACGAGAAGCTCATCCTGCCATAGCTGATAACTATTCTGTCGTTGGAGGAAATCTTCTCCAACTTTTGGGACTTTGAAACAAGCAAAACCCATCAAAAATGCCAAGTGTACAAGATAGAATTCCAGAGCCATAGGAATGGATTCCTGGATGGTGGACGAATGGATGGTGGACCAGTAGAGACTTTGAAGTCCCAACACCTCTGATCGAACAGCAGATCTTCCCCTACTCAATTTGGGATTCCTCTCGCGAATTAAAACGATCCCTGGCAGTAGAGCCTTGCCAAATCAACTATTGTAGCGGATATTTCATCCCCAACTTTTTACCAAATCCCATTCTTTATATCTTGATATACCCTCTGGTAATTTAACATAGCTATTGAAAATGGCCATTTATAGTGGATTTACCCATTGAACATGGTGATTTTCCATAGTTATGTAAACCTTTACCAGAGGGTATATTGGCTATGCATCCACTTCTCTGGGTGCCATCCCCCGAAACCTTGAGAAAACCTTCCACCAGGTTGGCAAACTCCTCTCCTTCCGGTGGACGTTGGCGCAGCGGCAACTGGGCAAAGCCGCCTGAGAACGAGGATGAATATCAACTCCTAGGTGCTTCTCACCTTTCCGGGAGCTCCAGAATTGATCAACCAGGGTTTAAGTTCAAAAAGGGGGGCATGTACATAATGAATCATAATGACCAATACAATCCTAGAAACATCAGGAGAAGTCTGCAAATGGCAAAGAGTTTCCCAATCGACATGATGCCAGCGCAGGTTTCGAGAATTTGCGTGCCTGTCGGCAGGCCTCGCGGAAGTGGAATTTGTTGCGCACCTTGCACAGTGGAACTGCACCGGATCTGGTGATAACAGTGTCCCCACAGTTGCGGAATGATCCTGGTTCAAATCGATGCAAATTAGTCTCAGCTCTGTCCAACTCCAAAAGATTTGGGCCAAAACATTGGAATTTGGGATCCTTGAGGGTGAATCTGCCAGCATGGTGAACATCATCATCATCAACAACAACAACAGCAACAGCAACAGCAACCAGCAACCAGCAACAGCAACAGCAACAGCAACTAGCAGCAACAACGGCAACGGCAACGGCAACGGCAACATCATCATCATCATCATCATCATCATCATCATCATCATCATCATCGTCATCATCGTCATCATCGTCATCATCATCATCATCATCATCATCATCATCATCCTGGCAAGCTGACACAGTTGGCCTGACATACAGTGCTCAAGGGTGTGTAGGGCAGATGCAGTCTTTCTGGAGCACAAAGATATGCACACATCTCCTGAGTCGGCACCATTGGTTGAAAGGATCCAAGGTTGCCTCAAGACATAGGAATCCGAGGAATTTGGGTCAAGACAAAACCTGCCCTCAAAAGAGGGATGGTTTGCCACTGTAACGTGCATTAATCATTAATCGATGGGACATGCTGCGACCCATCTACCGCTTTCCAGGATCTTCAGTATCGTCTGCCAAGCATCAATGCCCCATTCATCCCAGGTGGTACAGCCTGCAGGATTCATGGTGTATTTCATGTTGGCTAGATGCCTGTTCTACCTTAGTTTTTCCGGATAGTTTTCTACCTCAATTTAGCTATCGAAATCCCATTAAGTCCCATTAAATCACCATGTTTATCCCATTAAATCCCATTAAATCACCATATCTAAATACCCATGAAATCACCATGAAATCACCATTTTTTGCTGGATTTTTGACCTATCCTTTGTTGTTCCTCGCCTTTTTTAAGGACGATAAGTTTCGAGAAATTCGCCTGAAATGCTTCGTCCACTGGATGCCATCCACTGGGACACAGCCTCATGGAGAAATGGGAACGTTCTGTAGGAAAACCATTGGAAAAATCAGTGGAAAAGCACATCATGCGGCAAGAAAAAAAGTCGCGCAATTCTGCGTGGACTACTGGGTGAATCTCTCCATTTCTGCCGCGGACTACTGCGTGGACTACTGGGTGAAGCTCTAAAATTTTTCTGTTGCCCAAAGTTGAATGGTTGCATGCAACCGAAACACTGTGGATGTATGGTTTTCTAACTTTTCCCCTACCAGGCCCTACCCTTTTCTTTTGATGGTCTATACCCATGGTCCACAGGTTTTTTCTGGCAAAATGTGAACAAAAAAAGAAACAGAAAGACTATGTGCGATTGTAATCCCAAATCAGCATGTTTCAAGACCTTTTTGCGGATTGGGTCTGGGTTTTGCAATAAGGGTTCCCACCGGCTGGTATGAAGCCTGGTATAACTATAAACAGGGATCTAGTGGGCATCGAACATCCCACCGCAACCCAACTGATTGGAAGTCCTGAACCATGCCCTGATTAGTAAATCACATTAAATCAGATCCCTCCCGGTTTCAGCTACTTGTATCAATCCTGAATTTGTGTTTCTGTTGGCTAAGTCATGCTCCTTTCCATGATGGTTGAACGCTGAGTTTCAAGAGAAAAAAAGCACATGTCCTGATCTTCCCAGTCCAAATCCTCCAAGTTACCCGCCATGCATCTTCAAGTCCTGGCCCTTGGAGGATGGAACTTTGATTTGAGGTGAATAGACTGGGCAGGATACCCTCTGGTAATGACTAACATAGCTGTTGAAAATGGCCATTTATAGTGGATTTACCCATTGAAAATGGTGATTTTCCATAGTTTTTTCCCGAGAGCGTCTGAGCGCAGGGTTCTTCCAATAGGGGGGGTCTGTATCTCATCTTCTCATCTTCTCACCTTCTCATCTTCACACCTTCTCTCACACCTTCTCATCTTCACATCTTCTTATCTTCACACCTTCTCATCTTCACACCTTCTCATCTTCACATCTGCTCATCTTCACATCTGCTCATCTTCACATCTGCTCATCTGCACATCTTCTCATTCTCATCTTCACACCTTCTCATCTTCACATCTGCTCATCTTCACATCTGCTCATCTTCACATCTGCTCATCTTCACATCTTCTCATCTTCACATCGGCTCATCTTCACATCTTCACACCTTCTCATCTTCATACCTTCTCTCACACCTTCTCATCTTCACACCTTCTCATCTTCACACCTTCTCATCTTCACATCTGCTCATCTTCACATCTGCTCATCTTCACATCTGCTCATCTTCACATCTTCTCATTCTCATCTTCACACCTTCTCATCTTCACATCTGCTCATCTTCACATCTGCTCATCTTCACATCTGCTCATCTTCACATCTTCTCATCTTCACATCTTCACTTTCTCTCTCTCGCACTCACATCTTCACATACTCACATCTTCTCTCTCTCTCTCTCTCCTCTTTCCTCTCTCCTTTCTCTCTCTCCTTTCTCTCTCCCTTTTCTCTCTCTCGCCTTCTTTATCTTTCTCTCTTTAGGCCGAGGGTGGTGCCGGCGGTGAGTCACGAAACGTCAACCCTTTCGCACGAAATGAGGGTCGATCGTCAAAAACTGAGGAAAAATTGCGATTTTACTTGTCCCCGAGCAACCTTTTCGCACGAAATGAGGGTCGATCGTCAAAAACTGGGGAAAAATTGCGATTTCACTTGTGCCGGAGCAACCCTTTCGCACGAAATGAGGTTCGATCGTCAAAAACTGAAGAAAAATTGCGATTTCACTTGTGCCGGAGCAACCCTTTCGCACGAAATGAGGGTCGATCGTCAAAAACTGACGAAAAATTGCGATTTTACTTGTGCCGGAGCAACCCTTTCGCACGAAATGAGGGTCGATCGTCAAAAACTGACGAAAAATTGCGATTTTACTTGCCCCCGAGCAACCCTTTCGCACGAAATGAGGGTCGATCGTCAAAAACTGAGGAAAAAATGCGATTTTACTTGTGCCGGAGCAACCCTTTCGCACGAAATGAAGGTCGATCGTCAAACACTGAGGAAAAATTGCGATTTTACTTGTGCCGGAGCAACCCTTTCGCACGAAATGAGGGTCGATCGTCAAAAACTGACGAAAAATTGCGATTTTACTTGCCCCCGAGCAACATTTTCGCACGAAATGAGGGTCGATCGTCTAAAACTGACGAAAAATTGCGATTTTACTTGTGCCGGAGCAACCCTTTCGCACGAAATGAGGGTCGATCGTCAAAAACTGAAAAAAAAATTGCGATTTTACTTGTGCCGGAGCAACCCTTTCGCGCGAAATGAAGGTCGATCGTCAAAAACTGCGGAAAAATTGCGATTTTACTTGTGTGTAAAAGCTTCTGTGTGTAAAAGCGTCTGTGTGTAAAAGCGTCTGTGTGTAAAAGCGTCTGTGTGTAAAAGCGTCTGTGTGTAAAAGCGTCTGTGTGTAAAAGTGTTTGTGTAAAATTGTTTGTGTGTAAAAGCGTCTGTGTGTAAAAGCTTCTGTGTGTAAAAGCCGCTGTGTGTAAAAAGCGTCTGTCTGTAAAAGCGTCTGTGTGTAAAAGCGTCTGTGTGTAAAAGCGTCTGTGTGTAAAAGCGTCTGTGTGTAAAAGACTGTGTGCAAAAGCGTCTGTGTGTAAAAGCGTCTGTGTGTAAAAGCTTCTGTGTGGAAAAGCGTCTGTGTGTAAAAGCGTCTGTGTGTAAAGTGTTTGTGTGTAAAAGTGTTTGTGTGTAAAAGCCTCTGTGTGTAAAAGCGTCTGTGTGTAAAAGCGTCTGTGTGTAAAAGTGTATGTGTGTAAAAGCTTCTGTGTGGAAAAGCGTCTGTGTGTAAAAGCGTCTGTGTGTAAAAGGCTCTGTGTGTAAAAGCGTCTGTGTGTAAAAGCGTCTGTGTGTAAAAGCGTCTGTGTGTAAAAGCGTCTGTGTGTAAAAGTCTCTGCGGGTAAAAGCCTCTGTGTGTAAAAGTCTCTGTGTGTGAAAGAGCCTGTGTGTAAAAAGCGTCTGTGTGTAAAAGCGTCTGTGTGTAAAAGCGTCTGTGTGTAAAAGCTTCTGTGTGTAAAAGCGTCTGTGTTTAAAGGGGTCTGTGTGTAAAAGCTTCTGTGTGTAAAAGCGTCTGTGTGTAAAAGCGTCTGTGTGTAAAGGAGTCTGTGTGTAAAAGCTTCTGTGTGTAAAAGCGTCTGTGTGTAAAAGCGTTTGTGTGTAAAAGCCTCTGTGTGTAAAAGCGTCTGTGTGTAAAAGCGTCTGTGTAAAATCTTCTGTGTGTAAAAGCGTCTGTGTATAAAAGCTTCTGTGCGTAAAAGCACTTGCGTGTAAAAGTCTCTGTGTGTAAAAGCTTCTGTGTGTAAAAGCCTCTGTGTGTGAAAGTGTTGTGTGTAAAAGTGTCTGTGTGTAAAAGTGTCTGTGTGTAAAAGTGTTTGTGTGTAAAAGCATCTGCCTGTAAAAGCGCCTGTGTATAAAAGCGTCTGTGTGTAAAATCGTCTGTGTGTAAAAGCGTCTGTGTGTAAAAGCGTCTGTGTGTAAAAGCGTCTGTGTGTAAAAGCGTTTGTGTGTAAAAACATCTGTGTGTAAAAGCGTCTGTGTGTAAAAGCAACTGTGTGTAAAAGCTTCTGTGTGTAAAAGTGTTTGTATGTAAAAAGTGTTTGTGTGTACAAGCTTCTGTGTGTAAAGCTTCTGTGTGTAAAAGCGTCTGTGTGTAAAAGCGTCTGTGTGTAAAAGTCTCTGTGTGTAAAAGTGTTTGTGTGTAAAATTGTCTGCGGGTAAAAGCCTCTGTGTGTAAAAGTCTCTGTGTGTAAAAGCGTCTGTGTGTAAAAGCGTCTGTGTGTAAAAGTCTCTGTGTGCAAAAGCGTCTGTCTGTAAAAAGTTCTGTGTATGAAAAACTTTACAAAAATACGATGCAAACTATTGTCTTGTACTAGTCATATATTGTCTTGATACTACTCTTCTCGTCTGCCTATAATACATCTTTAATATATTATCTTGTAATATAGTGTCTCCATACTAACAACAGAAGACTCTGCTCCTCTACGCTCTCGGGCCATCCGTCGTCTAGTTTGTATGTTTACCAGAGGGTACAACCAATGATGGAGAACAATTTTTAGAGTGATGGATGCAACCAAGTTGGATGAAACCTCGCAGGCTTTTAGAAAAGATAGATTGTACCTACGTTCCCGGACCCTTCCTTTGATATTGGGAGAACCATGTGGGATTGTTCAAGAATTATGTACCCCCATCCACCAAGAATTATGTGTCCATTGTTTTAGGTCTAGGGCAGCCTGATTTCTAAACCTATCCAGCATCTCTAGGACTCATAGCTAGTGCCCAGAGAAACGCACGACTTGGAAAACATCAGTGATGATAGTTGCAAATCATCTTCCAAATCGGACAGAAATAACTAGCGTTCAAACCAGAAAAAATCTTCCCGGATCATGAGTCGCTTATATTTCTACTAGTGTTGCTCCCAACTGACACCGTTTCACGTAAGGCTCCAAATAAGCGAACATATTGACACCAAAAGCAGAAAGTTCAGAAAGTCCACCAAAAAAGACCGTGGCTCATAAATCGTACCCTGGTGTGTGGTTTCAACCCATCCCAAAACTGTTTGTATCTTAGGTCTATTCAGGATCATCACAGATAGCAATGGGAATGAACATCAACTTGTGCTTACGTGGTGGTTTGGGTTGGTGGTTTGGAAGTCTGGGAATTGA